AATTACAAAATGTTTAATACTTTATTGTTTTTGCACATTAATCGCCGAAAGCATATTTTACAAATAAAAAAGGAAAGGATGACAGAAAATGGTCTATTTATTAATAAAACTATGTATTTAAAAAAAGCAGGGCCCTTAAATAAATTAAGTATCGAAGTAATGTGTGTTCAGTTAACGTACACGCTCACGCAATAATATCGCCACGAGTTTTTTTACATTTAATTGCTAACGAGGAGTAAATAAAAACATCTAGTTAGCCATCACCGTTGCTAGGTAACACATTTGTTTAATAAATAGTTTTGACAGGTTTTGTGTCCCTCATAAATTATCGTTGTTAGTCAGCTAGTCAATTAATAAAATCATTATTTAAACACGAAAAGTAAACCAGCATCTAAGGTAAGTTCAGGGTGTGGAAATAAAATTATATTTAGGATAAGCAAAGAAGTTAAATTAGCAGTATAAGAAAAGAATTGAAAGGCTCTTGAAATTATATTTAAATCAAAATTATGACAAAAATATTAAATATATATAACTATTTATCGCTATTTATTAAACTAGTGTTGCCTGGAACGGTGATGGCTAACTAGATCTTTTTATTTACTCCTTATTTAATTCGCAATTAAATATAAATAATTGGTAGCGGTATTATTGCGTAAGCGTATAGGTACCTCAACTGAACATACATTACTTAGGTACTCAATTTATTTAAGGGCCCTGCTTTTTTTAAATACATAGTTTAATTAATAGATAGACCATTTTCTGTCGTCCTTTCCTTTTTATTTGTAAAATATGCTTTCGGCGATTAATGTGCAAACTGCTGTGTTTTAAACATATTATAATTAAAAAAATCATATCTACGCCAATGATTGCGGTTGTTAAAGCATCATTTAATTGAAAATTTAGTCGTCTTTAATTCTTTATTTAAACATTTTTTCCTAAAGGGCTCAGTTTTCAAGAATTTCGCAAAAAATCTTAAATAAGTCACTAAATTGATATTTGAATTATAGTCCAAAATTAAAAAAAAGGATGAAATTGCGAATTAAATAAAAAGATCTAGTTAGCCATCACCGTTCCAGGCAACACTAGTTTAATAAATAGCGATAAATAGTTATATATATTTAATATTTTTGTCATAATTTTGGTTTAAATATAATTTCAAGAGTCTTTCAATTCTTTTCTTATAGGTACTGCTAATTTAACTTCTTTGCTTATCCTAAATATAATTTTATTTCCACACCCTGAACATACTTTTCGTCTATTTTCTTCATGACTTACCTTAGATGCTGGTTTACTTTTCGTGTTTAAATAATTATTTTATTAATTGACTAGCTGACTAACAACGATAATTTATGAGGGACACAAAACCTGTCAAAACTATTTATTAAACAAATGTGTTACCTAGCAACGGTGATGGCTAACTAGATGTTTTTATTTACTCCTCGTTAGCAATTAAATGTAAAAAAACTCGTGGCGATATTATTGCGTGAGCGTGTACGTTAACTGAACACACATTACTTCGATACTTAATTTATTTAAGGGCCCTGCTTTTTTAAATACATAGTTTTATTAATAAATAGACCATTTTCTGTCATCCTTTCCTTTTTTATTTGTAAAATATGCTTTCGGCGATTAATGTGCAAAAACAATAAAGTATTAAACATTTTGTAATTTAAAAAAATCATATCTCGAAAAAAACGAATTTTAGCATATTGACTTTTATACATATTGTTGTTCATACATCACACATTGATATAAAAAATTATCAAAAGAAAAAAAATGTGGCATTATCAAAAAAAATTTTTTTGAAAAAACAAATTATTTTTTACTTAATTAACAATTTAAAAAAAAATTATGCGCAAAATTTTTTTTCTTCAATGTACTTCGTAGATTGAACAATTACCTACAAATTAAAAAAAAAACACTCAAATCCATGCATTTTTACAAAAGTTATAAGAGTAGCAAAAAAGTTGTTTATGGGGAAAATGAAAAATCCGCATTTGTGCGCTCAGAGAAAAAATTAAATTTTTCGAAAACGCTGACTTTAAGAGCAAAAACAAAAAATATGTGTTTTCTGAAATAGTTTAAACAACCATTTCTGAAAGTATCGCCGAAAAAAAAATTTTCGACATAAATGGCCTGGGTGATTTGAGATGGATCGAGCCATAAATAATTGTAAATTTTTAAATAGGTATCGTATACATTACTTTTCTGGTTTGTATCTTTATATAGGGTGTAACTAAAATACCAGGCCAAACTTTTTTGTGATGCAAATAGCTAGTGTCACTTAAAAAAATTATACACGAATTCTAAAATTGCGAATCAATTCTTAAAAGCTTCTTTTTTTACTCTCTATTGTTAAATAACCAAAATAAGAGATTTGGAGATGTTCTTTTTTTACACTCTATTGTTAAATAACCAAAATAAGAGATTTGGAGACGTTCAATAGAAACATTTTTTTTAAGTTCCCTATATGTTTCACAATCGTGAAGTTTTACCAAGTTACACCCTGTTAAGCCTGTTTAAATAATATTTTAAATTTCTTTTGGGTAGGTATAAAATATACCCCATAAAATTTTTCTCATTCGTAAAAAACGATAAAACCAGCTTAATTAAAAGGGGCTTTAACTGTCTTAGGAGGGCAATACTGCTCAATAGACAAATTATCAGCACCTACTATACTATAAAAATGACATTTTAATAATTTAAGATTAGTGATGCAACGATTGCGATTGCGGTTATTATGGTTTTCCTGATTATTGTAATCGCATATATTATCGAATACGATTATTTTAAGATTTTTTAACTTAAATATTAGTGCAAATAATCCAAGAAAACCATAGAAAAGAAGAATAATAGAGACAAATTAAAAATAATTAATTAATTTATGTTAATTTTGAATATTGATATCAATTGTTAGCTAATCTTTTTAATTTTTCTTTTTTAATATTAATACTTTTTAAAGGAAATTACGTTTTTTATACAGGGTCCACCAAGTATCCTTCTATGTATGGGTATCTTTTTTATTTGAAGAGTTACAAGTTCGTTTAATTGGACAAAAGTTGCGTAATCACAAGTCTAACAAAATGCCATTTTAAAATTGGGAACAAAATTAGAGGTTCTTAAATAATTTGAAAAAACTGAAAACCTGTCAAAACTAAAATTCGTTATAATTTTGTTATTATATCGCTGGTTCAAGTTTAGTTTCTAAATTTCCTTTAGCTTAAGCGATTCCTTTGAGTTTGCTTGGTTAATTTGAATTTTTGATAGCTTATTTTTCATTTTTAAGCTAGATTTATATAGCTTTTTATCCATTATTTTTCTTTCCCACTCATTTTCATATTGGTTTAGTTATTGTTTTTTTAACCTCATCTCCATTAAAAAAAACAGAAAAACAATTGAACGTCGGGTTTCCGAAATATTTTGAAAGACAAATTAATTTGGAACAAAAAATTATTGTTGCATAACCTAATCTTAAAAATAAAGAATTAATAAGAACTTAAAATTTCTGATTGTTGCTAAAATAAAGTATTAATTTTGGTTATTACAGGGTCCAACTAAAAAAATGTAATTTTTTTGAATATTTTGGAAACCCGACGTTCATTTGCCGATTCTCTAGCTTTAATAATAACGTAGTTTATGGGGCGCCATTTTATTTTTTATTCAGGAATTAATTTTTTGTTAACCCTAGAGTAATATTTTTAATATGATACAAAATATCACATGAGAATTTTTATACTGCGAATTAATAATATCATAGCAAATATTTTAAAATTAGATTTAATTTTTATGCCAAATTGATATTTTTAATTTAGTAATTCACGTGAATTAAAAATATCTGTTTCTTATATTTGTATTTTTTTGTTAATCACATTTTTAATTCCCTTAATTAAAAATTAGATTTTATTTTTATGCCAAACATATATTTTTTATTTAGTTAATTTAAAATATTTGCTTCTTATATTTGTATTTTTTGGCACACGCTGGGTCAGTGCGACATCGGACGGGAATTTTATTATAAGAATTGGGCAAATTTATATTTACTAACAAAAATAAATTTCTAAAAAATAACCTTGTAGGTACATAATTATAAAACCATAAGTATAAATGCTCCCAATTCTTTAGGTATCCGTGCATTCAACCATTTTCCTCAGGAAATAAGAAATAATATTAACTCATTTAAATCAAGATTAAAAGCATATCTAATTAAAAGTGAGTTTTACAATTTAAGTGAGTTTTGGTTAAGTTAATTTTCTGTTTGTTAATCTAAAGTTAGTTCGTTGATTTTTGTGTATGTTTATATATTTATACATCTAATTTATATATTTTTACAACCGACGATTCCTATATTAATGTAATTAATCAAAGGAAAATAAAGATTATTATTATTAGATCCCAGTGATTGTGCCGCCATCTAGCGACAGGGGTGTCCAAAATTTCAATCCGAATGAAAAATATCTGCTTATTTTAAAAAATAAAAATTTAAATGTATTAATAATATCTCCTACGATATTATTAATGCATTTAAAAATTTCTCATATGATATTTTTAATTTAGCGAATTAGGAGTACTTAACTAAAAAAACAAATATAAGAAACAGATATTTTTAATTATTATTTATTAAGAATATCAATTTGGCATAAAAATTAAATAAAATTTTTAAATATACTTTTCTATAACTTTAAAATTTATATATTTTGTAATCACGTAACTTTTTTAATTAAACCGACCCTATAGCTCTTTAAATAAAAAAAAATACCCATAGGATACTTGATGCAACCAAATGGCAGAAAAACGGACAATATATTGTTTTACAGTTACATTACAATTTAAATTTATAAAATACTGTCTTGTTTTTCTCTATACTGGACATATATTTTTAATAAAACACTCTTTACATATATCTGTAAAATTTAAAGTGTGAGTTGCTGATAATTTGGAGCACAATTTATGTCTTAATGTTAAGTACGCACCGCTAAAACCTCCGTTCACACCCTGTACAGCTTTGCTTCTAGGCCACCGGAAGCGCAACCCGTCCGAGATGTCGAACCCTGAGATCGCCATCAACTTCGAGAAGGAGCACCTGCGCAGCGCTGAGGAGAGCGACTACATGGTCATGGAGAACCTGATCCAGCGCAGGTACGACGAGGAGGAGGAGGACGACATGAACCACGGGCAAGCGATAATGAACCCCGCGCTGCTCAGCGTCGTCACGGAGACCAGAGAGTTCAGGGTCAACTCGTGGCCCAATAAGGTGTTGAAGAGGGGCACTGCCATTGAGAGTGATAATCGTTTGGGAAAAGCGCCATATATAGGTAACAAATTCTTACTATGAATCCATTTTTTGGAAAAATTTATCATGTTTAAGGGTTTGAGGAAAACTTTTTAAAACGTAACTACATACAAGTAGACTTTTGAATGAAAGTTACTTTATTTAATAATTACACTGTGCGACAAATTTTGACCTTACAATTTGAACTGGGATGAAATGTGAAAAAATCGAATCTATGCACCCCCCAAAACTAATCTTTAAAGGGGTTTTGCTAGTTTAGCTCGAATAATGGAGATATATATTAGACTGGGCCAAAAAAATGGACTATTTTTTTTTTTGAAAAATATATCGAGAATGTCGTTCAGAATGACAAATGAAAAATTTCGTGAAAATTTGAGCCCTTAATATTAATTTTAAGAGGTCTATCATCGCTATTTTTGATTTTTAGTCATAATTTGATGTTTTACGTTAGAACTGTCAAAACATTAAAGTGATAAAAATTCCTTTTCACTTATTTTTATATAAAATTAAATTCTCTACAAAAAAGGTCTGATTGAAAATTTTCGTCAGACGAGCCGTTTCCGAGTAATTGAGCCTAATAAATCGATGTGTTTCTTCGATTTGCCCTTTTTACTTTGAAATTTTGTAACTAATGAATCAATGAATATTTTAAAAAGCTCACGTCGGATTCTTAAAGGAAATTTAGTGTTCTACAAAAAAGGTCTCTTAACATATTTGCCTAAATTTAATTCTACAAAAGTTATTCACGAAGAAAAAATTGAAATTTTAAGTTTTTCTTCGATTTTAATCGTGAATAACTTTTGAAGAATTAAATTTAGGCAAAAATGTTAAGAGACCTTTTTTGTAGAACATTAAATTTCCTTTAAGAATCCGACGTGAGCTTTTTTAATATTCATTGATTCATTAGTTACAAAATTTAGTAAAGTAAAAAGGGCAAATCGAAAAAACACATCGATTTATTGAGCTCAATTACTCGGAAACGGCTCGTCTGACGAAAATTTTCTATCAGACCTTTTTTGTAGAGAATTTAATTTTATATAAAAATAAGTGAAAAGAAATTTTTTTCACTTTAATGTTTTGACAGTTCTAACGCAAAACATCAAATTATGACTAAAAATCAAAAATAGCGATGATAGACCTCTTAAAATTAATATTAAGGGCTCAAATTTTCACGAAATTTTTTATTTGTCATTCTGAATGACATTTTCGATATATTTTTCAAAAAAAAAAAAAAGTCATTTTTTTGGCCCAGTCTATATTATATATAAAAGCCCCCTATATAAATGCTCGGACACGTCGATTTTTATTTTATATGACGCAATTTTCAGTTGATTTTGAAATTTTTATTTTTTCACAGATTCACCCCCAGTCACCCCACTTTTTTTTTAAGAAAACCGACCCTTTGTTATACCTTAAATAACAGGTAATGTATGTAAATGAATTAGTCAAAAGTAACTAATTTAATAGTTAATAGTGGCTGCTTTTTCACTTGTGCCATGGTTAACCATGGAATACCATGGTATCCCAAAATTTAACAGCCAATTCTTATGTAAAATTTTCCCCTGAATCAGAATATACCGTCAAAATTTAAGAAAGTAGAACAGATTTTGAGATATAGTCAATTCCATATTAAATGGAAAATTGACTATATCTCAAAAACTGTTCCATTTTTTTAACTTTTTCGGATTCAGGAGAAAATTTTACATAAGAATTGGCTGTTAAATTTTGGGATACCATGGTATTCCATGGTTAACTATTAAATTAGTTACTTTTGACTAATTCATTTTTAGAGAGTTTATTACCTGTTATTTAAGGTATAACAAAGGGTCGGTTTTCTTTAAAAAAAAAAAGTGGGGTGGCTGGGGGTGAATCTGTGAAAAAATAAAAATTTCAAAATCAACTGAAAATTGTGTCATATAAAATAAAAATCGACGTGTCCGAGCATTTTTCTATAAAATTCATATTTTTTAAGTTCTGGGGGCTTTTATATATCTCCATTATTCGAGCTAAACTGGTAAAACCCCTTAAAGGATTTGTTTTGGGGGTTGCCTAGATTCGATTTTTTCAGATTTGATCCCAGTTCATTTTTTGTGTTGCACAATGTTATTTTACTAAGTAACCTAAACTTACGTAAAACTGTGTAAAATGTCCTAAAATTGTATACAATTTTAAATTATCTTTGTCCTAAATCCTTCTAAATAAAATAAAACTTTAAAACTATAATGATAATAATTATTCTTATATTGCAAAAATCTAAGACGATACCATTACCATTATTTTCGAATTCGCAAAATTGCATTGAGTTATTTGATTTTTAAAGCTACCAATGAAAGCGCAATGTTTCTGCTCTGTCAGACGAGTTTTTGTTACCTATATTTTTTGTTTGCATATTCTATCATCGGGAAAAAGTAAACAAAAACAAAATTGGTGCGTGTTGACGCAAGCGCTGAGTCAAAGGCGGGGCTCGCCCTATGGAGCAGAAACACTGTGTTCTCATTGGCTAGTAATAGACATATCTATAGATATTTTAATAATTTTTACCTTTTTCCTATATTTTTAAATTTCACATATTTTGTACAATTTTAATGTATTATAATATTTAACAAAGCAACAAAAATTTTCGAGTTTTTTCAATATTTTATAATGTTTAGTATTTTTTTTTATCTCTCTTGATTATTTTTACACACTTTTTTTGGGCAAATTTTATTAAAAATAAACATGTTGTTAAAAAGTAATTGTTTCTCCTACCCCCTTTAAAACGCCCATTATTGTACAGGGTGATCCCCTATAATGTCGCCCCCCTTTAACTTTTTTATTTTAAGTGTCCCAAAAAATTTAAAAGTGTGGTTATGTAGGAACTAAAAAATACTTTTTTTCTACGTATTAAAAAAAATTAAAAATTGATCAATATACAGGGAAATAAAATTTTTATTTTTTTTCAATGGATCACCCTATATATGAATTTATTTTTCGATTCCTTGTAAAATTCTGAGCATAATTCATATAACAAACCATATCCTAAATTTAACTGTTTCTGAAATATTCGCATTCGAAATGTTATCATTAAATGTTTTTTTAAACTGTTAAAAATCAAGAAGCCTCAGTACACCAAAATTTGTATTGAAAATAAATTATTAATAGTGCCATTATGTCAATATGTCTTGTTAAATAAGTAAAAATTGCCTACTCAGACAGAGAAAGACAAACTATTTCAACTTATTATCTTAAAAATAATTTAAATATTTCAGAAACGCTTGAATTTAGGTATATGGTATGTTATATGAAATATGCTTAGAATTTTACAAGGAATTGAAAAATAAATACATATATAGGGTGATCCATTGAAAAAAAATAAACTTTTTGTTTTTCCCTGTATACTGATCAATTTTCCAATTTTCTTTATAGGTAGAAAAAAAGTATTTTTTAGTACCTACATAACCACACTTTGAAATTTTTTCGGACACTTAAAATAAAAAAGTTAAAGGGGGGCGACATTATAGGGGATCACCCTGTACATGTTTCCTTGAAACTAAGTGACCTTTTAAATACACATTGATAAGTTGTGGCTTTATGTCGTTTTAGTCACGGGCTGAAGTTAGCAACAGGTTTTTAGTAATAATAATAAAAAATTAAATGGTTTTTCAACACCAATAAGGGATAATTTTTTAAATTAAAGGCCTGGAAAAAACCGTTTTTTTTTTAATTTACCTGTTTTTTCACAACTAATTATAAGGCGCCGTTTGTGTCAAAATATATTTATAAATAATTAATTATACAGGGTGGTCCAGGATTAATCTGAAAAATTTTAATGATCGATAGAGCCTGAAAAAACAATAAAAACAAACCCAAAAACATTTTTTAAAAATACACACTAGCACACTAATAGCCCTTCAAAGGCAAAAAAAACGTTTTTTTTAAATAACTTCTGCTCAAATTTTGTGTAGGTAAAATTTCTTACAAAAAGCCCAGCGGCGGAGATTTTGGGGGGGGTTTCCCCTTTTTTACCCCCATATTTCGACACCACTGGATTTTATTGGAAAATCATCAGATTTCTTATTCAATTTAGAAGCAAAAATTGTGTGTTAAATTTTCATAAGATTAGTGGTTTCGGAGACTTTAAAATTTCAAAAACACCGAGTACACGGAATTTTATCATATTTTATTTTAAATCGGTAACTTGGTAACAATTATGCCACGTTATCAGTTTATAAAATATTATAAAAATAAACTAGCGTGTCATCGTGCAGTTGTTACTGATCCCGTCATATTTTTAGGTTGTTTTATTGTAACGTTGATTAAGGATTACAATCAACGTCTGTAATTAATAATTTAATTGTATTATAATACAAAATCAAACCAACCCAAAAACCACCCTATTGAAAGCGATTATTCCATTATTTCATTGGTAAATTTTTATTGGCCCAATACGTTCAGAAAAAAAAATAATTTTTTATTACTAAAATAATAACAAAAGTTCCGTGTACACACAAAACCATTGATCTGATAAAAAATAAACATAAAAGTTTTGCTTTTAGATTGAAAAAGGATAAAAATAAATCTGATGATTTTCTAATAAAATCCAGTGGCGTCGAAAATATGAGGGTAAAAAGGGGAAACCCCTCCCAAAATCTCCGCCACTGGGCCTTTTGTAGGAAATTTTCATTATATTATCGACGAAAGCTTAACCTACACAAAATTTGAGAAGAATCGGTTTAATGGTTTAAAAATTATTTTAAAGGACTATATCTCCGTTAGTATGCATTTTTGAAAAATATTTTTGGGTTTGTTTTTATTGTTTTTTCAGGCTCCATCGATCATTAAAATTTTTCAGATTAATCCTGGACCACCCTGTATGCTTAATTTCGAAATTATTTTTTATCAAATTACTTTTTTATCAAATTATTTTTTTACGAATAATTTTTTTTTATTAAATTATTTTTTATTAAATTGTTTTTTTTTTTAATTATTTTATATCAAAATATTTTTTCAAAAAGAATAATTTTATAAAAAAAAAAGGAATTTAATAAAGAAATATTTTGATAAAAAACAATTCGGTAAAAAATAATTTGGTAAATTTTGCATATAGGTGTATTTTGCATTTTTAGTTTTGACACAAACTGCCCTTCATAACTAACTAACATTTAGGTAAATTTAATTAAAATTGATTTTTGGGACTAGCGATTTATGCATATTTGAAGAAATATAAATTATTTTATAAAAAAAAACAAAAAATCTGTCGTTAAAACTAAAGGATAATTCATGAGATGGTCAATTCTCAAGCTTCGTATTATACTTTGTTATTACAATCATTTTCACGAAACAATACGGTTCATTCAGGCGGTTCAAGCAGCGAGTCCGCCGAACGCCAAGACTCGTCCGAGTCGCACGCGAGCAGCGACCTGGCCGCCGCCCTTCCGCAGCCTCCCCCGCCCCAGCGGCCCTCGATCGTGATCGACTCGTCGCAGCTGCCCACGATGCAGCGCGAGATCGAGCTCAACAAGGCCGAGTCCAAAGACAGCCTGCACATGCAGTCGGAAACCATGTGCTGAACGCTGAACGGTGAACGCTAACGTAGGTAGGCAATCGAATCCAAAAATTAATCGAGTCTCGCTGTACACTTTACGTCTTAGAACTGCCACTTTAGGTGTTCAGAAAAAAATTAGATACGGTTTTGTTTTTTTAAGGGTTTTAAGAGGTTTAAATTATTTAAGTTATGTATATACAAAAATCTAAAAAAGAAATAATTTGGGATTTATCATCAAAATTTTCTATTGAAAATTCAGATTTTTGAGAAATATTTTTATACAGGGTGTTTCACATTCACCACGCATTAGAAGTTTCTGAGGAACTAAAAAAGATATCAATTTGAAATTTTAAAATCGTTTATAATCCATTTATGTCTATTTTTTTTAAATATTTTGGGGGTGAAATTTTTGGAATCTTAAAACATTGTTTAAAAGATCCCATATCAATTCTTTAACATTTTTCAACAAATCACCTAAAGAAAAACAATGGCAAATTAGGCTAACTTGAATAGTTAATAACGTTTTTATTTTAAATGTAACACCCGGTATGTTTTTACATAATCAAGTAGTAAATTAAAAAGCCTTTTGATTGATTGATTAATTGATATTACCCACCAATTTGTTGACTAATTAAGTGTTTTGTAAACAATATTACTTATAAAAAATATCAGTCAGTGACATAAAAACATTGACAAGTCAAATATTTTAAAAAATTTACTGGTGGATTTTGGGCACACCCATACCTCAGTTATTAAACTTGGGACCCACATCAAATTTATTCGAGTTTATAATGACATTATATAGACAAATTCTGCGCAAGCATAATTCAAATTGAAGTTTGAGAAATAAAGTTAGTTTTTAAGTGTGCCCCTCCAGCCTCCTGCTACCCCAAATTAAGATAATTCAAATTAAAGTGGTACAATATTTAATTCACTGAAGTTTATCGACAAATTTCAAATTTTATAAAAAAAATTCAAGTATTACAGATTTTATAACATTTCTATTTTTTTTTTAATTTAGTAAAAGAAATAATAAAAATTTAAAATGGTATAAAACCTGTAATTCTTGAAATTTTTGAATAAAATTTGAAATTTGTCGATGAACTTCAGTGAATTAAATATTGAACTACTTTAATTTGCATTAACTTAATTTGGGGGGCAGGAGGCTGGGGGGGGCACACTTAAAAACTAACTTTTTTCACAAACTTCAATTTAAATTCTGCTTGCGAAGAACTTGTATATATAATGTCATTACTCATATAAATTTGATGAGGGTCCCATGTGCCCAAAATCCACCAGCCGCCACATTTTTTATACTGTTTGTTTAACTTAAACAAACAGTATAAAGGCCAGGAAACGGGGAGTTTTTGCCATTTTCTCAACATTATATTAAAATGGATATAGCCGGTTTTGCACGGATGCTCCTCAATTTAACTCAAAATTTTATACAGAGTTTAAAAATGAATAAATATATGGGGTGTGCTGTTTTAAATGACAAAGTTGATGTCACTTTCGGTTAAACCGGAAGTGGCATTTTGTTTAAAATATCTTTAAAAAATAGAATTAAGTAAATTACGCTTTTAAAATTTCAAATATATATCTATTTTCGTTCCCCAGAAACTTCTAAAGGACCAATGTGGAACACCCTGTATAATAAAAAAAATAGAATTGTTTTTAAATTAATGAATTAATGTACAGTGCTTGGCAACTTATTTTACTAACTCACAAATTTCTTTTAGTTTTGGGAATTTAAAAAATTTGATCTTTTCACAAAAATACCTTTTTGAACTACAAAAGTTAAAAACGCTTTTTAGAAAGATAAAACACATTTTAAGGATAAATAAAATTTAAAAATAACTTGTTTTCTAAACTCTAAACTTTTGCAACAAAATCACAAAATGTCGTTTTTGTGAAAAATATTAATTTCATAACATAATTTAAATATTTAAGTTTTTACCATTGCTGTTTTAATTGTTCGTAAATATATCTTTTCTCGTCATAAAAAGCGTTCTTAACTCGATTATTTTCATAAAATCACTTTTGCAGCTCAAAAAATCGTTTTTGTTAGAAGATATGGATTATTTAACAGATTCAAAATTCAAGAAAATTTGTGAGCGAGTCCAATAAATTGGCCACAAACGCTAAACAAAAAATGTTAAAATAATTATTTTTATATCAGGTTCAACCTAAAAACTATAGTTTTTCAGATTTTGCAATTTTTAAAAAATCATATCTTTAAAAATGTGTCAAATATTTTTTTGAAAAAAAAAATGTTTCTCTTAAATTGAAATTTATTTATAAAAAGGAGGTGGAATCACCCATACGAATTTATTTATATACAGTGTGTACGCGGACACAATAGGAAAACAAATCTTTATTAGTTTTTATAAAAGTTCTGCTTGTTAAGAAAATTAATTTACTTTTTATTCATTTTAAAATAAGTACCTACCATTTTTTTATTTCTTTTAAAAAGTCTAAATCCAAATTTTCAAATAAAAATTTCAATATTTAAAATTATTTGTTTTATAAAAGCAGTAGGATATAAATTATAAATTATTTTTTTTGTTTTTTATAGGTATGGCTTATAACTATAAAAAACTATAACTATAACTTATAAGGCAATTGCCTTTGTTTTGTTTTGATATTTTAAAATATCAAAACTTCAATAGAAAATTCAAATATTCCAAATAATTTCTTTTTTTGGGATGTATCAGGCTTAAAAACTGATTTTGGAGGTCAAATTTTTTAAAATTGTTTTTACTTATTTTACAGTATTACTTAGATAGTTCTTTAAAGTTTTAATCATAGAAAAACCTTGATAAAATAAAACAATACGATTTTATAATACAGCAATAATTTTTATAAAATTTAGTGTCTGGATATTGGTCAGTGGTTCTTTATTTACACTTTAACCTCTGCAACAGTAAGCAAAATATACAATTTAATATTTTCCTAAAAACTTGGCATAAAAACCTAAAGTGGCTGGACTATTTCGTGAAACGATGGAGAATGTCTTATAAATGTTTAGGTATAATTATTATACTTGCTCTCTAAAAGGTACAGCAATGTAAATTTCGAATTATGTGTTATAAAATGTGAATTGTGAATTTTAGAAATCTCTTGAAACGAAAAGAATTTGCCAACTACAAACAAAGTCTTTAGAATTATTGAGTACTTAAAATTAATCTTAGTAGTTGACATATCCTTTTGCTAATCACTTAACCATATCTGTGTATTGGGGTGATTCGTTTTGAGGGAACATTTATTTTTTGTCCCTCCCCAAGAAAAATTTGATGTACATATGGAGATGTGAGATGCCCTTAAAGTTTTAGCCCTTAATCTTACTCCTAAGTACTTTTATTTTAATTTTAAAGTTTTTCCATTGAAATAACATTAAATTATAAGGATTTTTTTTTAAATTTCCTAAAGCAGGGTGGTATTTTAGGTACATCAATATTTTGCTTGGGGAGTGTCCAAAAATTAATGTTCCTTCAAAACAAATCACTCTTCTGTGTATATATCAATTTTGACCAAAAATCATCAAATTTTAAGCGAAAAATTCTTCTAGTAAATTTTGTACCTACTCTATAGGTAAATGTATGACTATATCACTCTTATCAAGGATCATATGTAAGATTCACCTTTTTATGTCTAGAATTTTAAAGGTATTAAATGATTGGCATTTTTATGCAAGGTGTTTCATTACCAAGTGGACGATATTCCTCAAGAGTATAATTTTTTTGTTCACTTTTTAATAAGGCATGTTGTATGTTAATTTATTAGTAGTTAATCTTTACACAAATATTTTTAACGTATTTTCTTCTTATTCTTATTATTGAATTCTGCTCTTCCATTTTAGTGTATGTATTTAAAAACTTTTTATATCAAAACGTAGGGCAATAAGTGTAAAAATTCTTTGGTTAATTCAATATTATTGTGATATTTTGGTAAAATATGGGACTCTCCAATCGATTGATCACGCTTTATCTAGTAATTGCACAAACTTGGAGAGTCCTGTATTAGGCACATTAATTAATGTAAGTAAATTTTGACAATATTGTAGGAGTACCTTATCGAAAAATATTTAAACTGTAGAAATCCCTTACCAATAGTTTCTTCTAGTTGGTCAATTTACTTGACTAACAAAGTATTTTTTTCTATATTGAACGATAATTCCCTAATAATAAATAAGCTTTAAAATCAAACTAATGTAAAACGAAAAGTACAAACCACTATGAACATAATAATTTGGGAATTATCTTCATAAAAACTATCTTACAATCAAATCATTCCTTGCCTTAATTTTTGTGTTTTGATATGGTATAAAATTTATCCGTAGCTCAATGTAGTGCTCAAAATCGTAGCAATATTTATCTTGTTGTTTATATTTATTTATTTTAGTCACAACTTATACGGTCTTAAAACCTATCAAATATAATTATTATAAGACCTTAAAGGCAATAGTTCTTATGATTTATCAGTCAGCATATCAAGAAAAATATATTTTGTGAAGAATAAATGATATTCTAAAATACTATTATATTTACAAAGTCAGATAATTTAAGTAATAGTTTTAACCCAACTTGTGTTACCATAAAATCGGAGATTATAATTTTATGTAACAAATAAAGAATTTATTTCTACAAATTGTTTTCTTATATTACCTACCTCATCGTCCTGGTTTGTTTTCTAAAAGGCAATAAATAAAACGACATATGCATTCAACAAAAGTATTTTGTTTTATTTATAGAAAAAAATAAAACTGAAATTTTAAACATTTTGAGATCAGCCTATAAGAAAAAAATTATAAAATTGGTGGGGAAACTGTGAAATGGTAATTAATATTTTCACATTCAAATCAGATCCTAATGTCTAAACAGTAATATAAAAAAGGAACAACACCAAAAAAATCAGAGATAAGCAATCTTTTGCAGCAGAGAGTATTGCGAATTTAATTTAAAGCCAAATTCGTCACATAGGTTTGATTTGTTGTCAAGAAATAAAATTATCATTTAATACTTAAATCGCCATACCCTCCAAAGTAAAACCTTACACAGTAAATCAATTTGTACACAAAGGTAGTTATCACTTTTGCAACCACAAGCAAGTCAAAATTAATTAATTCTAATATCCAAAAATATAAGGGTTTAATTTTTTATTTACAAAATATAAAATTAATTTTTATAAATTAATGTAAACTTAAAAAAGTTTTTCTCCTTAAAATCTAGACAATTTCGTACCGTTTTGGACTAAATATCTAGGTACTTATATTAAATATTAAATAAATTTTATTTAAGAAAAATTTTAATAATTGATCAAAAAGTACCATTATTATTATATTAATAACACAGGGTGGGTCAATATAATAATCATTTTTTTTTATAATTTTACGTTTTATACAGGCTGTCCCTGTAAATGATACCACATATATTCCTGAGACCAAAATATAAGTAAATTAGGGCGCAAAATCACGTATAATATACACGTTGCAGTCAGCACCCTCTAAAACCAAAGTTTTTTTATTTTTATTTTTTCGTCCTGAAAAACCACAAATATCAAATTTTGTGGAAAAAGTTTGTTTTTTCCAAAGTTATGTAATAAAATCGAAAACGAACTTTCAACTTGGTTATTATTAATTAAGTTTAGTTATATCGCATTATTTTGGTCTGGGTAATATGTGGAATTATTTTGTACAGGCATTTCAGGGACACTTTGTATATTAAAAAACTACAAATTCTCCAAAATTCACAAAAAAAATATTTTCACTTTAGTTTATTGTGGGTTTATTAATTAATATCTGCATTTTAACTAAGTAATTACAAAAACTTGACAAATTGTTTCTAAATTTTAAAGTCCCTAAAATTAATTTTGTAATAGCAAAAATGTTAATCTTAATTATAGATATTTAAAGTAAATGCGTGTTTAATACTGAACGTTGTATTTTTTTATAAAACCAAACATTTTTGCTGTCCAGCCATTTCACGTTACTCGGCAATTTTTGTAGCGCTCATGTAGCGCTAATCAAAAATTGTGAGTAAAAACTACCGTAATATTATGCTTATAAGCTTAAGCTTAATTATTACAAGGATAATAAACATGTTTGCAATACTAACTATTGCAATAGTATTTACTTTAATTACGGTAGTTTTTACTTACAATTATTATTACGGACGCTACAAAAATTGCTTAACGTGAAATGGCTGTGTCATTTTTCTGTAGTTAAAGTGTACACTTTGTTGCCATATTATTAGGGACAGTAGCAATTTCTTCCAATTTCGAAGTTTGGATGGATTTAGTGAGACAAATAACTGACCCTCTTAAGTTTTTATTTTGTAAATTTGCTGTTGGTACTATATTTTTCAAAATATTATACAAGGTATGTTTATACCCTATGGAAAATGGATATTTTAAAACTTTTTAACATTCCATATATAGTTAAAATATAATTTTCAACATACAGGGTGCACAATTGTGCAAAAGTATCCCTCTATGTAAGAGTATTTTTTTAATTAGACCTACAAGGTCATTCAAATTAAAGAAAATTTGCGTAATTACAAGTTTAAAATGGCATTTACCACCACCACCTTTTGTTTATGGTATAGCCGCCATATTAAAAAAAAATCAAGGAATCCAACTACATAAGTTCATAAGAATAAATTGGATAATGTGTATGTTTACATGTAAAACTTGTTCCAATAAATAACGAAGTATAACGATTTTTGGTTTTGAAAGGTTTTTAATTTTTTTTTAATATTTTAAGAACCGCCGATTTTTTTTTCAATTTATGAATTTTATTTTAAAATGTTTGCTTTTAAAAACGCCATTATTCACGGGGTTAAAAAATACACTATATATTTTGTAAAGTACCAACATCAAATATATAAAATAAAAAAGAGAAGGGTCCGTTATTTTTCTTATTAAATCCTTCCAACTTTAAATCGAAAGAAATTGTTACTGTGCCTAACAATATGACAAAAACGGTATTTTTTATTTTTCTTATTTTCAGGACTTTTATAAAAAAATTTAATTTGTCAAAGTGTAAACAAAAAAACGAACTCTATGTTAAACGTTTCAAACATAGTGGATGAGAATAAATGTCTGTCTATTTAGCGCTTTATTAAACCACAAATAAGTTTTGTATGTTAAATTAACAGACTTTTCTACCTTAAATCTTAAATTAATGATATTTTTGATCAACTAGGTATTTTCTTCCTCGTTTCATTTCAATAACATTTTTCATGCAGTCGTTATATTTTACGTACCTATATGGCTTGCCGATAGTTGCTCACATCATCGATAACACTGGCCGACAGCCATTTTGGTGCAGGGTAGACAACTACTTTTTTAGGGTAATTTGAGTACGCCGAATCCAAAAATGACCATCATTTTGCCCAATCAGCTTTTGTTTTTTCGATGTAGACAAAAAACCATTTTTTTATATGCGCAAATCGATTTTTTATAAAAAATCTGTTGAAAATGACCAGTAGAAACATATAGAATCCGTACAGTGTTTCTATATGTTTTTATAGTTTGTTATATGACACTATGGATTCAATATGTAATCAGTATTATGAACTGTATGTGTTTATATGGTTTTATATGACAGAAATTTATATGAAAATCCATCTTAAATCATATATGAATGAATATGAATTTATAGGTAATAAATTGTATATGGTCAGTTTTTTATATGCCTGTGTAGAAATGAATATGAATATGGTCTTATATGTAATGTCTGTTTCAAAAATCATATAGTATCATATTGGAACCAGCAGGGATTTTTCATATATGATTTTATATGTCATTTACAACAGGGTATAGCCATAATTCGGAAATTTTTAAAATTCAAAGTGATACACCATGATCAATTTTTGCCCGATTTAAATAAAATTCACTCTATTTGTAGCTCTATTTATCTACTTTATTGTGATAAAATTTCAATGCAATCAAATAAAAATTGGCAACATGACAATAAAATCAACCAAAATTGGGTACTGCGTTTACCACTTAAATAAACTCCGTGAATAGCTATTAATATTCACAGAGCCTATTTAAGTGGACAATTTTTGTGCCTAAGATTTTAGACCTGATTTTAAGTAGGGATGTCTAATAAGATGTCAAAAATATTATTGTTTTAGTGTAGGAGAGTATGAGTAGAGTATCTGCTGCTGCTCTCAATATACTATCATACACTCTGCCATGCTAAAGTAAACCCCTGTATCTGCAATATTAAATAATAAAGGACAAAAGATACTTTTTATTGTTTTTAACAATGAAAATGATCTTTTATTTAATATTGAAGATACTGGGGTTTAGCTTAACACAGCAGCACTACTCTCATTCAATTTTTGATTGCATTGAAATTGTAACACTATAAAGTAGATAAATAGAGCTACGAATGGGGTAAATTTTATTTAAATCGGGCAAAAATTGATCATGCTCTATCACTTTGAATTTTAAAAATATCCGAATTTTGGCTAAAAATCGATTTTCTTTCGATGAAAGCGAGAGTTTTAAAGCGAATACCATTATCAATGTATATGGTATTTTTTTTAGTTTAATAAAGACCCATAGCAACATTCCCAAATTAGACCAGGGTCGATAATTTTTGAAACCAAAAAAAATAACAGTAGGATGAAACCCATTGGAAAAGGAGAAAAATATAATAAAAATGAAAGGAAAAATAAATTACGGGCGATCTGACTTCGGGAAGTGGGAGGGGGGGGTTTTAAGGGTAAAAAATGGTTTATCTCGATTTCCGGCAAAACTACAAGTCCTATGGAAAAAAGTTAAATGGCAAAGTTGTAGGTAATAAAAGGATCTACAACTTTTGTAATTAGAATTTTTTTTACATAACCTCAAAATTTATGTAAAAAATTAAAAAAAACCAAGTTTTTGGTTTTTTGTTTTTATCTTTAAAAAAAAAAAAAATTTTTCCACGAAATTTGGTGAAAACTTACCTTTTTAAGTCCCAAATACACTGTAATTTATTTGATTTGAAATATTTATTATTTCGCCTTATTTTGACTTAATATCAAAAAAGCACCCTAATTTTCAATCGAAAATTCTCGCGTCAAAATATCAGCTTTTTTCAAAAAGTCGGTATGCATTTAGCAATAAATAATTAAATTATACATCTTGTCTTTGGTCATCAATCATCAATCATTATGTACAATTTCATCAAAAAAATGTGATTGTTGCAATTTTTTTTAGTTAAAAAGTTTATTTATTAAATTCTAATAACATTTATGTCAGAAAATCTCATAATATTATAATATTTTTTGTATTTTCTGAGAACATTTACCAAAGTAATGTATATTTTTTTACACCATCAGAAAGTAGAGAGTTCATCAAACAAAAAGCACACAGACTTTTTGAAAAAAGCTGATATTTTAACGCGAGAATTTTCGATTGAAAATTAGGGTGCTATTTTGATATTAAGTCAAAATAAGGCGAAATAATAAATATTTTTTTTTGAAAAAGATAAAAATAAAAAACCAAAAACTTGGTTTTTTGAATTTTTCACATACATTTTGAGGTTATGTGAAAAAATTGTAAATACAAAAGTTGTAGATCTTTTTATTACCTACAACTTTGACATTTAACTTTTTTCCATAGGACTTGTAGTTTTGCCGGAAATCGAGATAAACCATTTTTTACCCTTAAACCCCCCCCTCCCACTTCCCGAACTCAGATCGCCCGTAATTTATTTTTCCTTTAATTTTTATTATATTCCCCTCCTTTTCCAATGGGTTTCATCCTACTGTTATTTTTTTTCTCTTTTTACCATTTTTAAAGGCTTCTGCACTGGTCTAAATATCCTTGCTTAAATTAGAAGTTTAAAAAAATATATATAAGAATTTGAATGTGCGCATATCGAAAAAAATGGTTTTTATTCTACATCGAAAAACAATAGCTGATGGAGCAATAGGATGTTCATTTTTGGATTCAGCGTACCCAAATTACCCTTAAAAAGTTGTTGGTTGCCATGCACCAAACAGAAATTTTACTTTTGTCGGCCTGCGTAATTAATCCTCTCGAGGATGAAGCGGTATGACGAACTTGGGCCCGAAGGGCGACTTGTACTTGATGCCGACCTCGTTGAAGACGTCGACGGGAAAGCCGAGGTTGCACAGGTACAGCTTGCCGTTGTCGGCGGTGTGCGGCAGGGGAAGCACCGGCAGCAGCGAGAACTTGGGCGTGACGCCGGGCGTGCCGACGGAGGGCGGGTCGAGCGCCAGCACGGGCGCCTTGTTGCGCCTCACCCAGTCGGAGACGGCCGCGTAGCTCTTCGGGCTGTCGGTGTCCTCGCAGAGCGCGAGGATGATCAGGTCGACGGCGCTAGGCAGGTCGGCCACCGAGTTGACGACGCGGTTCTTGGTCAGCATGTACAGGCAGAGTTCGCTCTTGATGAAGTGCGCGTCCATCGCGACGGTGAACGCGATGGTTTTCACGCCGTGGCTGGAGAGCTGGCGCGCCGCGTTGATGCCGGCCGCGCCTTGTCTGAATTCAATATATAAGAGTCAGCCTTCACCTTTGGTTTTGTTGTTCCAAGAGTACACACAACCAATCTTATATGCAATCACCCATTAATTACGAGAAAAGAATAGGAAATCGGAAAGATTCCATTTTAAGTTGTTTTCATTTTGGAAAGTTTCCAGTCGGGAATTTGTTTTCATTTTGAACTTCTTTTAAAGTTACCGGAAACTTTCCCTGTTTTTTTATGTAAATGTCAATTGTTTAACAGCTGATTTGCGAAGTTAAGGCCAATAAAATGAATAAGAAGAAGTTAATTTATGGTAATTTAAAGTAGAAGAAGTTTGTTAAAGATCTCATCATCACAATTCATAAATTGGTTCAAAAAATCTAATTTGGGCACGAGCGAGCTTGCGTGCGAGTGCTTATATTAATGAGTGTATAGAAAAGTTTATAAACGATGTGCATACTATACTTTTTCTACGACATATACTTATTATTATCTTAAAATGATTTAAATCAAAAATTTTTATAGAGCGCCATCTATGAAACAATATAGTTAGGGAGCTGGTGGCAGAAATTTTTAAGTCATTTGCTCGCGTGGCAGAAGTTGAAAATAATGAAGTTTGGATTATAAAAGTCACTAATGACAACTTCTGTCATACCATTATTGCTGCATTATTAATTAGTAGGTAATTAAATATGTAAAAAAAGAATGTCCTTAAGTCATTTGCTCGCGTCTGCCATTTTTTTTAACTTGAAGTCTCTAACAAGACTTTCAGATAAATATCATCGCCAGACGTGTATGTCTCTGCATTAATGAGTATTTAATTTTTTTTTAATTATGATATATAAAAATTTAAATGATTTGCTCGTCAATAAAATTTATACAAAATGTTAATTGGGTCATAAAAAAGCAAAAAATAAAAGTATGCCATTTAATGTTTACTGCGATAATGAACGAAGAATTTTCAAAATTGTAAAAAAAAATTAATATTAAGTTATTTGCTCGTGTCTGGCTCTTGGTTAAATTATTCTGTTATATGTAGGGTTGGGAAATTTTCACTTTTTGCTTGTACTTGAAATTTCACTTGAAATTTTCATGACATTTATGAAATTTATTAAAATTTCTGAAATTTATGAAATTTATTGAAACTTTCAATAAATTTCAATCACTTTAAGTGTAATATATTAATATTGAAATAAGCCCACTCGGTGACCATGGCAAATTGCCTCTCTTATTTCCTACCCCTCTGTGGGCCCCTGCACCAATAATATAAATAGTAAATACCTATGTTTACCACAAATTTCTTGAGATTTCCTTTTAAATATTTTTAAAATTACTAAAACTAAAAGAGATATAGCACTTTTTGGTAAGCTAATGAGATTGTGCCACTTTCATTGTTTTATATTTATATATATTTATTATTTTTATATATTTTACTGAAATTTTACAAAAATTGAAGAAACTTCATCAAAATTTTATGAGCCAAAGGCATTTTTTATCCGTTTTCCGATACAATTATAGCAAAAGTAAAAGTTTAAATTAATCATGACTTTTAAAAAAATTTTAAAGTCTGATTTAATTTAAAAATTAAATTGGTAACTGAATTAAATTATTTAAATTAATTTATGCATATAAGTAACAATAATTACTTATAGTGTATTCAAATCCAAGCCGAACTAAACAAAAACGCCCAGACGCTTGATAACTCGTTCTTATTGGTCGATTCGGAATCTGTTGTAAATTATTATTAAAGGTCCCAGGGGAGGCCGCATGTGAAATTTATGCGAAATTTTCAGTAAATTGCGAAACTTTCACTTATAATACCACAAGAGCTTCAAAATTATCGGGTATTTTTCCCGATAGGTTCGTTGCAAACAAATGAAGGAGTCAAGTTTTTCAGGTTAAAAAATCACGAGCGCGAAGCGCGAGTGATTTTTCCTGAAAAACTTGACGACTTTATTTGTTTGCAGGGAACCTTGAGGGAAATGCCAGATAATTTTGAAGCTCGTGTGGTATTCGGGGGATTATTTTTCCGTCCCAAATGTCGGCCAATAGAATTGCACCATGAGACGAAATGTACAGTTAACAAATAAGAATTTCATAATGAATAAAACAACATTTAATTAAGATTTAATTTGTTTTTTATATATAGCAACTACCAGAGAAAATTTTCAAAAAATTATCGCTGTAATTCGCTGTAGGTTCCCTCAACAACAATGCCTCAACAATGTCCCAACAATACAGAGAACTGTCAAAAAAAATAATCAATGAAATTTCTAAAAGTTTCACAGGCAATGTTGAAATTTTCAAATTGAAAATTTCATTTGAAATTTTTAAAAATTTCATTTTCCAACTAAATGAAATATTTCAAGTTTGAAAATTTCAAAGTTGAAATTTTCATTTGAAAATTTCAACTGTCCCAACCCTGTCTACTCTTGGAACTTCCAAGAGTAGACACAGACAATTAGGGATTGCAATACAGCAGGGTTTTTAATCCAGTTGGATCAGCATCAATACAGCGCGGATCCAGCAACTTATAATTTTTTTAAAGAAAATTAAAATAGTACATACAAGAACATTAGTTCTTGTATGTACTGTCATTTTGTCACACGCGGACAATTTATAATTGATAGTTTGTAATGGACGAGTGCGACAAAAGGTCTTATGACATGAGTTCTTTATGCTATTTTATCCATTTTGCAAAAATTTTATACCTTATATTTAATTAGGTCGAATTTTACTTTAGATAGTTGCTATCACAGTCATTGGTTTGACAGTTAATGTCAAAATCGATTCGACATGCCGTCCTTAAATTACTTATTTACAATAAGCGGCTGTTAATGTTAAAGAAGAAAAAAAGGATTTTCTTTGGTGTTAAACAAAATTTTTTGCCAGAAAAGTCTCGTAAGTACTAGAAAAATCATAAAAATATTATAACCAATATGCAAAATATTATTTTACTAGTATGCTGTTTAAAGTATAGCAGGTTTTTTTGAGAATTTTGGGAGAAATAAAGTATGCAAATAAATTTCTGTAATTAAATAAAAACAACTCTACACTGTACTATAGATAAAAAAAATAAGTCTTCAACAAAAATATAAATAAATATCACTTATTTTGTACAAATAGGTTACTTTGGCTAGTTTTTTAGCCAAATCGCTCGACGAGTGAGGAAAAATTACTAATTTTGTATATATCTGAGGTATACACACAAGTAGAAGTTTAACCGCACTTTTAATTTTATTTAAATAAAAGCATTCATAGATTTGGCTAAAAAAACTAGGCCAAAGTCAAATGATGTTATTTTTATATTTTGAGAAAAAAATTGTTTAGTGAAAAAATATGAAGTTTGCATAATACAGCAAAATATTCTTTAGATTGTTTACCATTTTAGCTATCATTTAAAAAAAATAAAAATTCTTTTGTTTGATAACACGGTATATTTTTGTCGAAAACAAACGAAATATGGCTAAAAATGACAATTTTGTAGAAGTCTAGGAGATGTAGTAGGATTTTGTTTTTAGGTATATTTTGTTGTTTTTTAAGAAAAATGTAGATATATTATTTTGAAAACAATTTAATAAACTAGAACATAAAAATATATTTTTTTTAATACTTAAAAAAAAAGAATTATTTTAGCACAACTACCTTAATTACACGCAGTCAGGTTGGCCTATTTATATTTAATTTTTAGGAGTTTTAGGAGATTGATGGCAATTTTAGTTTTCAATATTTAAGCCAAATTTTAGGAATTTTATGAGTTTTAGGAGGTGTGGGAGCCCTGAATTTATTAAAAAAGTATTTTTTTATAATATTGTAATTTATTGAAAAATAATTAAATAATATTGTCAAATGAGGATATTTTTGTAGGAAATTTAACGCTCTACAAAAAAGGTCTGATGTGTTTAATTGTTTACCGTTGAGGAGATATTCGTTTCAGTTAGGGTTGGGACAGTTGAAATTTTCAAATGAAAATTTCAACTGTTATTTAGTTGGAAAAGTGAAATTTTTAAAAATTTCAAATGAAATTTTCAATCCGAAAATTTCAACATTGCCTGTGAAAGTTTCAGAAATGTCATTGAAAGTTTCGCAATTTACTGAAAATTTTGCATAAATTTCACATGCGGCCTCCCCTGGGACCTTTAATAATAATTTACAACAGATTCCGAATCGACCAATAAGAACGAGTTATCAAGCGTCTGGGCGTTTTTGTTTAGTTCGGCTTGGATTTGAATACACTATAAGTAATTATTGTTACTTATATGCAGAAATTAATTTAAATAATTTAATTCAGTTACCAATTTAATTTCTAAATTAAATCAGACTTTAAAATTTTTTTTAAAGTCATGATTAATTTAAACTTTTACTTTTGCTATAATTGCATCGGAAAACGGATAAAAAATGCCTTTGGCACATACAATTTTCATGAAGTTTCTTCAATTTTCGTAAAATTTCAGTAAAATATTTAAAAATAATAAATATATATAAATAGAAAACAATGAAAGTGGCACAATCTCATTAGCTTACCAAAAAGTGCTATATCTCTTTTAGTTTTAGTAATTTTAAAAATATTTAAAAGAAAATCTCAAGAAATTTGGGATAAACATAGGTATTTACTATATATATTATTGGCCCACAGAGGGGTATGAGGTAAGAGAGGCAATTTGCCATGGTCCCCGAGTGAGCTTATTTCATTACATTTAAAGTGATTGAAATTTATTAAAAGTTTTAATAAATTTCATAAATTTCATGAAATTTCAGAAAATTTAGGAAATTTTAATAAATTTCATAAATGTCATGAAAATTTCAAGTGAAATTTCAAGTACAAGCAAAAAGTGAAATTTTCCCAACCCTAGTTTCAGTACGCATTGGTATTTGGATAATTATTATTAAGAGGTCAAATTTGGTGAGCCCTTTCTAAAAGTGCCTAACAACCAATTTTTCAGTGTCGGAAGTAAAAAAAATTATTTGATTTTGTTAATCACCCTAATGTGGAAGAATGTGCATAAATCATCTACCTGCTCAAAAACTAAAAATTAAAAAACTTACTTGTGAGGACCGCACAGGACGACCACGGTGGGCCACTGATGGGTGTTGCGCGGATTGAGCCTGTGGCCGCCGCCCAGCAGCTGAATGGAAATTTCGGCCGCCGCGCGTCCCATCATCTCCACTCGGCGGTCCCAAGTCAGGCCGTGGCGGTCCGCCGCGTCCCAGAGCTTGCGACGCAGGTTGCTCGATATGCTCGGTATGATGAGACCGTCGTCCGTCACGTATTCGCAGAAGTCCTGCTTCGGGACGCTGATCTGACGATACGTCGTCGGCAGGGTGGCGATCACGTTCTCGTCGTGTCTGAATAAAGAAGAATGCAAATACAGTCCGACCGAAATACGATTTTCGGCATAATCAAATAATAATCATCATGATTTTAAAGTTGGAATTGTTTGTCACTAATATGGCGCGCCGTTTTATTTTTTATTCAGAAATTATGAGTATGTGTTAACAGAACTTTTATTCTGCGAATAATAAGCAGATATTCTTAATTGAATGTGATATTTTCAGGGCCGGATTAAGAGTTTTGAGGCCCTGGGGCCGTCATTTAAAACTTATGGTAATTTTTTAAGCTAGCAAATTAAAACTTATGGTAATTTTTTAAGCTAGAGGAACTACGTGATTTTTTATAATCTTTAAATCATTTATTATTTAATAAACCATATTAATTTTAATGAATGATTTAAACGAAACACCCTTTATCTCGATAATAAAGTATTTTCGGACCCGTGTTTATAGGAACTTTTTTTCATATTTCGATGAGAGGAATTTCCCCTGAGCTTTTGTCACAAGTCAGAATCACCCTGTATATTTTGAATAATACGAACATAACCTTATATACATTTTACCCAAGTCTGAGAAAATAGCTATTTTCACGGAACTATTCCGGAACTAATTCCGGACATCCTAGGCATGCGCTTTTTAAAATTTGGCGTTCAAAATGTAAAGTGCGCATGAAAAATATTAAAATGCACATGCCTAGGATATCCGAACTATGTAGTTCGGGATTAGTACCGCGAAAACACATATTATAAATTCGTATGCAAAACTATAAAAACGTAGATAGTAGAAGAGAATTGTGAATGAAAGTGTTTTATATACTTTATATTTTATATAATATGAATAATACGAACACAATTACTCAAGGAAAATATAAATTGATCTATGTTTTGTTTGTATTTTTAATCTTACCGCAAACTGAAAAAAAGTGCATGAAAAGTCGTATTATTTGTTTTTTTATACAAAATCAAACAATAAAACAATCTTTTGTCCAAAGAAAAGCTCGAAACAGTATTTTGGAAACACCTGAAAATATTCTACAACACACCAATGTACCAATAAAAATCTGGGACAAAACTAACTTTAATATTAGATTATAAGTAATTGACTGTTTGCCTGTGTTTACAAAAACGTTACGACAAGCACTAAAGGAGCAACTGCTTAAAATTGTTATGAGTCATAACTTATGACTATTATGACTATAGACTTTATAAAAACGTCTTCGCGCACCAAAACTTTGAGTGTGATAATTTACATTCTGATTTGCAAGCGGATAAGCGATAAAAAATCCGCTAAAAAATAGAGTTATAACTCTAATTTTTTCGTAGATCTATAGATCTACGAAAAATTAATTGAAAATTATAGGATTCGCGGGGTATAACCGACCCAATTTTTTGTCTTTTCGCCAATTTTTTTCATGTTCGGTTCATTAAAAAGCTATTATTGCATTGGTGGGGGCCCCTAAATGGCGGGGGCCTGCTAAATCCGACCCTGAATATTTTTTATTCAGATTGAAAGTTTGGGCACCCTTGGTGTACAATTACATCGATTTAAAAATTTCTCATATGATATTTTTAATTTAGCGAATTAAAAATGTGTTAAAAAAAAATTAAAAAAACTAAGTATTCAAATTAAAAATATTATAGTAGTTATTTAAAAGTTTGATTTTATTTTTATGCCAAACTGATATTTTTAATTTAGCGAATTTAAAATATCTATTTCTTATACAGTGTGACCCATTTGTTTGCGATCAGTTTAATTTTATTTCAATGTTTTTTCATGGATAACTTGACAGAATACATTTTTTTACTTATTATTGTGAATTTTTCTACTTAAAATTTTTCAATAAAATTTAGTAAAGAGGCGTTTTGAGGGGTGGTGAATCCAGTGCTGTGCTTAGATTTTGTTTAAAAAAATCGCTAATATAAATTCTTAAAAATTTACTCTTAAATACTGACAAAGTAGGCCTTGTATTTTGTAAAATCATGGCGTTTTTTGCCCCAAAAATACAGGTTATCAAGATCTACACTTTAAAATAAATCCGGTTAAAATTGCACGATAAATAAATATTTTTCATGGGTGAGTCACAAAGAAATGGGTCACACTGTATTTGTATTTTTTGTTAAACCCATATTTTAAATTCGCTTAATTCAAAATTAGATTTAATTTTTAAGCCAAACCCATCTTTTTAATTTAATAAATTTCAAATATATGCTTCTTATTATTTTTCGATAAATTGATTTCTTCTAGAGTTATTCCAGGTCAAAGTTTGATTAACATCAAATTTTCTGTCTTTTTAAATTTTATGGTACAATTAGCAGACGGGGGTGAAAGGGGGCAAAACAAGGCAGCGGGGGGGCAAAATGGGGTACCCAAAAAATTTCGTAAAAAATTTTTTTTTAGATTGTTTTTTTCCGTTCTAAATTATTTGAAAATATATTGACTCACCACGCTTTTAATCGAAAATAATTATTCTGAGCCTGTAGAGGAAGAAAAAAAGTTTTGCCCCCTTTCACCTCCCATCTGCTAATTGTACCAGAAAATTTCATGTTAATCAAACTTTTACCTCAAATAACTCTAGAAGAAATCAATTTATTGAAAAATAATAATTATTAAGAGACCTTTTTTGTAGAGCGTTACATTTTATATAAAAAACTGCAATGATCATTGCCATAAGTTACTTTGATACAGAGGAATAAAATTCCAAACATAAAATTATTTTTTCCCATGTTAATTAAATGGGAAACTAAAATAAAAATAGCAACCTCTTAGAGTTGAGCTGGAACGCCCATATTTGGTGAGGATTTTTTTTATATTAAATAGAAACATTTGAGAGGGTAAGAGCGAAAAAAAAAATAAATTTTATTTTTTGAAGCACCCTAATTTACATACATCATCATACAGTTTGGACCAATTACAAAAAGACAAATTAAATGCCTACTATTTACATATTCAGGTAAGAATAAAAAATAAGATAAAAGGTTGATAAAATACGATAAATCTATCTATCATTTTATTCATAGATATCTATGGCAAAACAAAAATTAAAACAGGAATAAAATTAAAATTAAGTGCTTATAATAATATTTTTAATTGTTTTTAAATTGCATGAACAAATATCTTAAAATAATCAAAAATATAACGCAAAATCCTAAAACCTTGCTAGAAAATGTAGAAGAATTATAAATTTGAAAAATAATATAATTTAAGTATGGTTAAATTTAGATGGTGAATTGTAAATATTGTATTGAACAATCATTTGTTAAAAACTGAAGAATAAAATGTAAAGAATAAATTTTAACACCAAAAATTGGTTAATTTTGTAAATCCTTGGATAGCTTGGACTATTGTCTAAAATTCCTTTAAATTAAAAAATTAAGACCCCAAGTAAACTCTTGCTAAAACAACAATTTGGAAAACACAATCATGAAAATTGGTATTTAGTTTTCCAATTAAAAAATGTTACTCTGATTTCAAATAAAATAAATCAATTTAATTTGAAAAATTAGAACCTCCTTCAGCAATAACAAATTTTAAATAATTATATCTGTACAAAATCATGCATGATTAAACCATATTAAAAAAAGATTTAGAATTAAAAAAATGTTTAATAATTAATATTTATTCTTACCTATACTTTGTAGGCTTCTTGTTCTCAGTATGCTTGATAACATCAGGTTTATGGGCATTCAGTTCATCCCAAACTGCTTGTTTATTAAACAAAGCCAAATTCTTCTCAAAATCAAACTCCTTACTGATCTTATTTGTCAACGGTGAACCAAAACACTCCTCATCCTTCCAGCTCTTACCCCACTTTCCTTTGTTTTTCTCCCTCTTATTGGGAGTGCTATTCTTTAAATAGCTCCCATCGCCAACACTTCTCGGCTCAATGTCAATTGGTTTGGATTTGTTATTTCCATTTTGTATTAAGATTTGGGGGTTGTTGCCATTGTTTTTTTCAACAACTTTATTGTTTGTATGTTTATTTGAGGATTCTGATGTGCTTTGAGTTCTACCAGCTCTTTTAGCAATCGGTTTGGCAATGGTTACTGTGCTACGTTCTGGGGGTGAACTTGTTTGTTTTTCTATGAGCTTTATATCAACTATATCTCCAGCTCTATAAAAACAATGAATATAAGTTAAAATATAAGCCGTAATGTTTGTAAATATGGAGAAAAAAACAAGAACTGACCTTATTTTGATGTCATTTTGTTCACAAGGAAAGCCATTACAAAAGGCCTTTGTCAAAGAAATAAAATTGTTTGTTGCAGAGTTAATTTCACCCTGGAATGTGCCCAAGTCGTCGGCACATTTAATAGAAACCATATATCCAATCCACTGTGCCATTTTTTTACAAATATTTATAGCACAGGCAAAAATTTGAATATTTTACTAAAAATCCAGGATAAATAACTACTACGTAGCAATCGACTAATAACATACCAGTTTAAATGTTTCCAAATGTAGTAAACAAAGTAAATACCTAAAGCACGATTATAAAATTTAATACAGATGGACACAAGGAAATCTCTCCAACTCTTTCTTCCAATTTCTTTTACGCAGTTGCCAAATTTACCCCACTCTTGCTCAACAATGCATACAATGCCCAACTGACACACCTAAGCTTTCAGTTGAAAACGTGTCGATAAAGTGTAAGAAAATGCCTTAAAATATCATTAATAAGAAATATTCGTATTTTGACAAAATTTCATAAATTTATCAATAAAATTAGTCACGAAAAAACATTAAAACACAAGCCAAATTAATGTTTGGGCAGTGTATGTCAATTAGTTAGGCAACCATGAAAGACAAAAGGCAACGCTGTTTTGTTCTTGCAGTTGTCAACTTGACAGTAACAGTTCACAGTGTGTAAATTAATTAATTTTAATCATGCCTCCTAAAAAGGTAAAAATAACGCAAAAAGATTTTGAGCAAGCTGTTCAAGAAAATATAAACGATTTAGGATTGGACGAGGTGGAAGCAATTGAAGAGGCTTTCAAACAGTTTGAAGTGCAAGTCAGTAAACATTTTCAGAATAATTAATTAGATTCTTCGTAAAGTACGTTTTATTAAGATTATATTTTAATTTGAAGGGTGCTGATTTGAGTGGGGTATCAAAAAAATCTGCTGGTGTGGCAGGATCTCAAAAATTGGGAGAAATTAAGCTCCTTATTAAAAATATTAAAGAAAAAAGTAAAGCTGGACAAGAGTTTACAAAAGAAATACAAGACTTAAAATTGCTCTGTGATGAGGATATTTCCAATCGAGTAGCAGCTGGTAAATTGATCTAAATAAAACAAAAACTCACTTTATCTCACAAATTTTTAGGTAATGAGGGTGCCTATACAGTTTTACTGAAAGTACTAAACGATAGTATAAACAACAGTATTAAAACTGATGTACTTAAGGCTCTTACTTCCCTGATGACTAAAAATCCTGATTTACTCGACATAGAGGGTGTTAAAACTATAATTTCTTTTCTTAAGAAAAATGAGGAGAGTATTATTAAAAGATTGACTCTGAAATGGGCTAAACAATGCTGTGTTATGCAGGAAAAAAATAGGTAAATAGTTCATATTTTATTTTATAAAAAAAAGTTTTGTGGAATAGGTATTTTACTAAAATTACAATTTTAAATTAATAAATGTACCTAACTAATTATTGAAAAGGTTTTTAAAAAGAAAAAACTATAAAAAATTATACAGAGAATAATAAATGTTACTTTTAAGGCAATGTTTCATGGAAAATGACATTGTAGCTCATATTAAAGAGCTCCTTGAAACATCAGAGTCGGAAATTCAAAAAGAAGTTATGAGTTTAATGAGGGCTTTAGTTCTTGATGATGATGTTAGAGTAGAATTTGGAAATGCTCATGAAGCTGCCAGAATTATTGCCAGTGAAACTCTGTGTTCATTGACTGCCTTAATGAACAGTGAGTAAACAAAGGAAATTGTTATTTAAAAAACTTTCTAATTTGTATTAGAATGTTTAAAAAAATGCAATATTATTTTTTAATTTTATTATTTAAGGGTTAATTTTAAACATAACATATATTTTAGAAAACCAAAATGATGAAAAACTAGTATTTGAACTCATGAACACCATTTCTGCCTTAATGGTTAGATCTGAATTTTGTCAAAAAGTTGAGACTGCTGGCGGGTTAGAACTCATTAAGAAAGTTTTAACATTGTTTTCGAATAATGAGGTAAGCTTTTCTAAAAAAAAAATTAAAATAAAACCAAACTTTTTGTAGAAAATAGTGAAACAGTCCTATAAACTCATCAAGGCATTGGCTGGGAATGATGAGGTCAAAAAAGATCTCCTTCAAAGCAAAAATATTATGTTGGCTCCAATTATTTTTAGAAGCCTTGATAACCACAAGGTAATGCTTACTTTATAAAAAAATGACCTAAAGGTTGACAAATAAAAATTGGAAAAAAGTGAAAAATTGAGAAATCATCAAAATAAACCAAAATAATTATAAAAATATATTTTTTTGAATGTTGTTAAGTTAGTTTAAATAAAAAACAATAGCTAAATTGATTTTCACAAACTTTCCATTTTTCTGGAGAACATCACGGCCATTTCAAGCGCGCGAAACGCACGAATTACAAAACTGTTTTTATAAAAAAAATTGTAGATTATTTATTATATAATATTTTGGCATCAAAATTGACAAAAATATTCTTTTTTTATTAGGTTATACATTAAATAAAAAAAAACTCAAGAAATATTTTATGAAAGTAGATATAATTATAATAACTTAAAGGTGTGGACGGGACAAAAAAAAAGATTTATCTTGTCCCGTCCATCCCTGTCAATTATTGAAATTATCTCTACTTTTATAAAATATTTCTTGCGATTTTTTTTATTTAATGTATACCCTAATAATAGAAGAATATATTTAACAATTTTGATGCAAAAATAATATATAATAAATTAGCTACAATTTTTTTTATAAAAACAGTTTTGTGATTTGTCCCGTCCATCCGCTTGAAATGGCCGATCAGTTTTTTTAATTTTCATAGTATTTCTTTTAATTTAACACTTTATTTTGTGTTAATTTTTAGTATATTTAATATTTTAAAAAATGTTATAATTTTTTATTATTATTAATATACAAGGTGGCCCTGAAATGCCTGTAAAAAAAGATACCACATATTCCTGGGGCTAAAATGATGTATATAACTAAATTTACATCTATACAAAATTTGATAATAACCAAGATACAGGGTGTCTAAGTTAAAAGTTTTGCACCAAATTTGCATTTTGGGGTTTTTTTATACCGGGAAAATAAAATTTCTTCGACACCTTGTATAATTTTAAATGGTCACATCTTTTTTTGCCTTAGTTTTATAGTCTACGTTTTAATATAAATATTACTTTTTATCTTTATTTCGCGAAAAAGGTATACCTTCTAAATGTCTCTGCGAGTAACTATTATTTTTTAGATATTTGCACATTTGAATTTTTTTGAATATGTAATATTTTTTTAAGTAAAAAATACATTAAGAGACTACAAATTTAGTTACTATCCAACTTTGTCATTGATTTTCAAAATATTATGTCTTTAAATACATTGCCCGTCAAAATTAACGCGTAATAAGTAAAAAATCGCCTTTACCAAGCTTTATGAAATTTTGTATAAAAATACTTCAACTTATATCTTAGTTTACGTGTTCGAGGTTTTTTCGAGAAAATATTTAATAATAATAAAACGTTCGAAAAAATAAGTTTTAGGAATTTTTTTTTAGTAAATAAAAATATGCTATTAAAGTCCGTATTTTTGTTAATATATCCTAAAAATTTTGTACAAATCAAATGAACAGGAACAAAGATACTGCGCTTCAAAGTCGGTAAAAATTACCCCTTTTTGATTATTTTGCTGAAAAGTGGTCTTTCACAGCATATTATTTATTTACTTAAAAAAAATTCCTATAAATTTTATTTTCGAACGTTTTTTATTATTTAAGTATTTTTATCCGAAATTTTATAAAGATTGGTAAAGGCGTTTTAGAGTTGGATTTTTTTTACTTATGCGTTAATTTTGACGCGCAGTGTACTTAAAAACAAATATTTAGAGTACCTACAAATTAATCATGGTAAAATAAAAAATTTAAACGCATACATTTTGACAAAAAAACGTGAATAAACTAAGTTATTTAGTAAAATCTAAAACGAACTTTCAACTTTGACAGGATGTATCTTGGTTATCAGAAATATGTGGTGTTATTTTGTACAGGCATTTCAGAAACACCTTGTATAATTTATGTCTTTATTGTAGGGCAATCCAAGTTGCGCTGCAGCAGGCCTCTCTGCAATAGCTGCTTTAACTCTAAGGTCTCCAGAAAATAGTAAAATATTGTTTAATGCTGGATTACCAGAAACTATTGTGGAGATTATGAAATTATATCCTAATGATAAAACTGTCCAGGTAAAAAATACAATTTACTTAGAATTAATAACAAGGTAGAAACCTACACTAATTCACTTAATAAAACGCCGATTTTTAATTAACAAAATAATCCTTTATTAAAAATTAAAGTACCTACCTACCTACACATCATTAAAAACTAAAAAGAAAAGTTACAAAATAAATTATTAATTTGTTGTTATAATGGCAAAATTAAGGTAATATTTTTGTTTTTCTTCAGTGGGCGGCTAACAAATTGTTTTTTGAGATTTTTATAAAAAATACACTGTAATAATAAATTTTTAAGCTACCAACATGATTTTTTTCCTAGTTTGGAATCTAATTTTTGAAAGAATCTATGAGATTATAGTTTATTAGCATCATACACATAAATACATATTTAGGCAGTCAAAAAAATAAAAGTTTACTATGTGTTGGTACAAACAAAATTATAGACAAGTTATAACATGTTTTTAAAAAGCAATATACAGTGTGTCCACAAATGGACTTAACTATACTTTTTAAAATATTTATTTTCAATTTTTCGAAGAAAAGTCACTCATAATTTCTTCTGCTTGTTACTGATAAGAAACTTTTATTTTGTTATACAGGGTTCGCAAAAAAATACAATTGTAGATTTTGCAAAGATAAAAATTGTTAAATATTTGTTTTGAAGTTCTATTATGAAGAGCTTGTAAAGAGAAACTAAAAAGACAAATAAAGTTTTTTCATGAGTTGTAACTATATTTGTTATTAAAAATAAAATCAATTCAGGTCCTAGCTTGAGTGGTTCTATTATTTTTTAGAAATTGACTGCTATCTCATTTTGTGATTATGAATCAAGGTTGTTGCTTTCAAATGACATCTACAATTGAATTGGTGACATTAAGTCCAAAAGTCAAAATTTTGACAAAATATTTCAAAAAATTAAAACTTCTAAATGCATTTTTGTGGGAATATTTTAACTATTTTATAAAATATAATGTTCATATTCTGTAAAATGATTTATATCTTCTCACAAAAATGTATTTTGAACTTTAAAATTGATTTTAAAAAATGACTTGTCAAAATTAAATTTTTGGACTTGTAGGTACTGTTCTTATTCTCACCGTATCAATTATTTGTTAAAATTCGAAAACTAATATCTTAAATTTTCAATAACAAATATCTTAGTATCAAAAACTCAGCGCTTCAAAAAAAAATATTTAAAAAATTTTAATTTTGAAAATCTGTATTTTTTGCTCACTCTGTACAACAAAATTTATGTTTCTCAACGCGAATCGTATTTATATAACAAGCAATAGAAATTATGAAAAATGACTTTTCCTCGAAAAATTGTTATAAATATTTTTACAAGTCCATCTGTGGAGACACAATATAAAATATAAATAAAACGTTTACAAGTAGGTATACACAATTAGAATAATAAAACAAGTTGAAGCAATTGGTGCCCAATCATCTGTAAAACAAATTAAAATTGTAATTTAGATAACACTGTGCAGCAGTATAAAAATTACCTGGATGCGGTCTGGATGGATCGATAGTACTATTTTTGTAGACCAAAACCTCCAAAGGATTTTAAAAAGTTAGCTCGACTTTCAAAGTTATAACCGCTTAAAGTTTGAATGACTCGTTCGCGTAATCTGTGTTTACTTACTTCGCTATTAATATTTATTTAAATGTTTTTAAGGAAAATTATAATTGATAATGAAATAATAAATTTCTATAAAAAAAAAACATTCAAAAAAACTGTGTTTTTAAAATATTTTTGATAAAATATTACGTTTTATCGCATTTTTATGCTTGTTAATGTGGCTATTTTAAAATTATTTTTTTTGTAGATATATTTTAATTAATATACTCTTTGATAAAATTAAATATTTAAATTGATTTTCGGAATATTTTTGAATTATTGTTAAACTATCTTTATTTTTATTTCCTGTTAATTAAAATATATCTACAAAAAAAATAATTTTAAAATAACCACATTAACAAGCATAAAAATGCGATAAAACGTAATTTGTTATCAAAAATATTTCAAAAACAGTTTTTCTGAATGTTTTTTCTTAATGGAAATTTATCATTTAATCATCAATTACAATTTTCCTTATATTATATACTCTTTGATTTTATTACACATAAAAAGTTTTGCATTCAATAAGGTAAAGAAGCAGTTTTTAAGAAATTTTTTTATTCACGCGAAATATTGTAACTGAAACGGTAAATTGAGTATTTAAACGTTATACCTTGTTTAGTGCGAATATAAATTATATTTTTAACATGGCAAATTGTCAGGGCAATATTAATAACTTCTGTTATGTGTGCGGACATTTCGTACCCATTACCGGTCCATCTAAAGCGAAGCCCTTTACGGAAAGTTTCTTAAAGTGCTATGCATTATATTTTAATTTTAATGTTGTTGTTGATGTACCGTGGGCCCCAAAAAATGTATGTAAAACATGCTACGTTTCCCTTATGCGCTGGAAAGGGAAGAAGTTGGCTGCTTTGCCTTTTGGTGTACCAATGCTTTGGTTCGATCCAGGAACCCACGAAGAAGAAAATTGTTATGTGTGTGTAAATTTTAAAAATGGACTGAACAAACTCAAATTAAAAAACAAAATTTATATTGGGGTTTCAAGTGTTCAGTTACCATTACCACACTCTAATACCATCCCAATCCCAAAGGTTCCACAAAGTGTTGCATTTTCTGAAAATTATACCACCCCTAGTAGCCCTAATGTTTTTTCAGAATATGTTCCTCCTTCATCGTCATCGAATCAGCCAGTGAAAATTACGCAGGATTTATTGGATCATATTGTAGCCAAGTTAGAGTTATCTCAGAGAAAATCAGAAATACTGGCATCAATTTTGAATTCTAACAATTTATTGGCACAAGGGACAAAGGTAACGGCATATAGAAAACGAAGTGCAGATTTAAAAGAAAATTTTTGTGTAAACAATGAAAAGTCATTTGCATATTGCACCGACATTGAAAAACTAATGACTGAAATGGGAATTAGGTACCAAAAGAATGAGTGGCGTTTATTTATTGACAGCTCCAAGTTTAGCCTTAAAGCTGTCCTTCTTCATAAATTTAATAATAAGCCGGCCGTACCAATAGCTTATAGCACGGATACCAAAGAAACTTACGACAAATTAAAATTTATATTAGAAGTTGTTCGTTATAGCGAAAACCAGTGGCGAATTTGTTGCGATTTGAAGGTTGTGGCAATGCTTTGCGGCATGCAGGGTGGCTATGTAAAACATATGTGCTTTTTATGTGACTGGAATACACGATACCGTGGCGACCAATATGCTACTCATGACTGGGTTGCTAGAAGTGAGAGTCAGTTTAAAAATACAAATATTGTTCGTGTTCCACTGGAACCTGTCGAGAAAATTTTGATGCCACTTCTTCATGTAAAGCTGGGTATCGTTAAAAACTTTTTAAAATGTGTTGCCAAAAAGGAAAATGTCTTTCATTGCTTAAGAACAATTTTTCCTGGACTTAGCGCACAAAAATTGTTGAATGGTAAGGATTTAGTTTTATAAATCATCATAATATATTATGTTTATGTAAACTTTTAAGGAGTTGTTAACGGTCCTGATATACGAAAGTTGATGATAAGCAATGATTTTGAACAAGTATTAATAGATGAAGAATTGCTTGCATGGCAAGCAATAAAAGACGTAATAAACGGATTTTTGGGCAAACATCGCTTGGAGAACTACGAAGCCTCAGTTGCTCGTATGTTGGAGTCATTTTCGAAAATAGGGGTCAACATGTCCTTAAAAATCCACTACTTACATCATCATCTCCGTTACTTTAGTCAACAGTTGCCAACCGAATCGGATGAACAAGGAGAACGATATCATCAGATCGCAATCCCTTTCGAAATTAGGTAATTTTTTTAAATCACTGCTAATTTTTTATTAAAAAAAAACTGTAATTTCATTTACTTAGATTTAGAGGAAAAAAGTACCCAGACGCGATACTAGCTGAAATTTGTTGGTGGAGCAAACACATGTATGAACATCGCGATGAAGAAGAAACTGATGTAGAAAAACAAGAAGATGAGTTGTTAGATGATTTTATTATTTCAGATAATGATGATGACCAGGAGGATGATCATTATACCACTCAAATTACCAGGGAATGTAAGAGAGCTAAAATATAATAGGTTTTCTTATATTTTTTCGAATATGTTTTTTTCTACCTTAATTTTAAAGCATTTAAAAATTTAGATATTTGTAAATAAATATTTGGTGTAAAATGTATAAGAATATTTTTGTAAATGATTTTTAGGGGTAGTTTTTTCATAGAATTTTATTATTACATTATTAATAACCATTTTGCATTTAAAATATATGTATTTATAATAAAAATTATATGACCCATTGTTAAAATGCGAATAAAGTTAATATAGATTACGCGAACGAGTCATTCAAACTTTAAACGGTCATAACTTTTAAAGTCGAGCTAACTTTTTAAAATCCTTTGGGGGTTTTGGTCTACAAAAATAGTGCTATCGACCTATCCAGACCGCATCCAGGTAATTTTTGATGCACCTAAAATTGTTGCACTGTGTAATCTGACGTGGAATATCGAAAATAACACTTGTGCTATTTGTGTTATTTCCGACAGATTTTCCATATATTATTTCAAAAATTCGTTTCCAAACTTGAAAAATAAAATGGTTTTTTTTTCCTTTATTTTCTTGGATTTAGGCTGTAAAAAAAATCTGATGCCTCACAAAATTATATATTAAATTTTAAAGACTCCTCAAGTATCATTAAAGAAATGTGTGTTGGGTTTTGTTAACTGTGGTGACAAATGCCATAAAGCAGATGGCAACTGCATGGCAAAAACCTTGATATAAATTACAAAAACCACGACCAATTCTGATCAAAAGTTTTTACTCAAAAAAAGAGATACTAAGTTTTTAATTGAATAATTATAATAGTGAAGCTTTTTGTGCAGGTCATCAAAAAAGTGTAGCAAATCATTTAAAGAATTTTGTAGCTTGTAACCCTGGCTGTAGGTAAAATTTTTTGTAGTGGCCTCGAAAATGTAGTTTTTAAAAACCACATTTAAAGTTGTAAATATAGTATTGGCGACTCTAATTTTTTCCGATAAACTTTTTTATGTATCTAAATATTATAAATCTTTTTATCAAAGTTTATTATAAATATTTTAGAAATCCGGAAGTTGGGCAATTAGAAACATGGTTTCCCGCAGCCGCGACCAATGTGGAACTTTCCTGTCATTCGGCGTGGAGGAAGTTTTGCAAGAAAACCTCATAAGGCACAAAGATTTCGAATACGATACAAAAGCGGCGTTGCGTGATTTGGGCTGCAAAGTAATCTTAACTGAGCAATGGACTGGAAAAGGTGGTGCTTTGACAACCAAAAAAACTATTGGATAGACTTTTTTTGTAGTTTATTCGACTCACACCAATAGGTGAAGGTACTGCATTTATTAATTAAAGACTACTCACCTTCTGATTACAGCTTAGATTTGTTAACATTTTAATAAGATTTTATACCTTTTATATTATTCATGCTTTTTTGTTGTAATATTTATTATTATTCATTAAATTTATATTTAATAGCAATTTTTAATTTATTTGAAAAAAGCACAGAAAATCGAGAATGTTTCTAAAACATCCTGCTCAATTTTGGGAAAATTCGACAAAATGATAAGATATTTTTTAAATTAAGGAAATTCAATAAAATTCTATAGAAGTTACAAGTTACTAAAAAACTATACAATTATACAGTATGTGCATGAATGATGTTACAAAAAGGAAAACAAATTTATTTTACATTTCTTAAAAAAATTCATTCTCAGTCTCGTCCCAGCACTTGACTGAGTAGGACGCTTGTTAGCTGAGTCAGAGCTTAAAACGTAAAACGAGAAAACCATAGTGTAACAATTATAGTGAATACAGACTACTCTACGGTCAAGAATGAGTTAAATGCTAAGTGATAAGGAAGAGTGAAGTGACAAGTGCAAACTAATATAGTGAAAGGGTCAAAAGAGTTAAGTGTTAAGTGACAAGAAAGAGTTAAGTGACAAGTGTCAGCGTCTGAGCAGTCGCACCACCTGTCAACAGGACGATTTTCACTGGCCAAACAAAAGAGGTCAAACAAGGGAGGTATAGGCCACCTGCAAAAAATTGATTGAAAATTTAATTTCCTATAAAAAAAGGTTCCTTGCAATAATGCAATTATAAGTATAGTTTAAAAGATAGAGGATTTAATAAATTTTAGTGACAAACATTAGCTAATAGTCCTATGTTGTTTTACGGCAAAACGGTTAAAGTTACAGGTAAAAAATAAAAAAAAATAGAAAATTCAATTTCTTACAAAAAAGTAATATACGAGGTGTGTTCAGAAAATAACGGGAATTGTTAAATTTCGCGGGTTCAGAAGGTCCGGTTGTCATAAAATTTTCTTTATTATGTTGGTATACATGCCCCCAAAGTATGATAAAAACTTTAGCTGTTTTCATTGTTTACTTTGTCTGTGGCAGCCGCTAAGGTTAGACGTGTTTTATGAGCTCGGCGATTTTTCGTTCGTTAAAAGAAATGGATCAAAGAATTTGTATCCAATTTGCTTAAAAAATGAAATAAATTCTGTGAAATGTTAACAAAGGCCCTTAGTGAGTCTGCTATAAGTAAAACAAGAGTTTACAAGTGGTATAAGAGTTTCCAACATGGCCGTGAAGACGTTGAAGATGACGAACACACAAGCATGGACAGTGGAAGAAATGGTTATAAACCACAGACCTACAAACAAAATGGACTGGCCATTCCCCTTCAAAATACACAATGTTTTGTTGCCAAGAACTATTTAGATTAGGGGTAAAGGAGTAAGGGGTATTTATAAACAAGTTCCCACACCAGTGGCGTTCTGTTTTTAGGGATAAATAAAAATATTAAATTGTACATTTTTTATTGTGTTTTGCAATCCTATGTAAAAATTATATTTAATATATATAAATATATAGGTATAACAAAATACTAACCTTGTCAGTTAGTGTTCCAGATGATGTAGAATCTGGCTCTAAAATTTAAGTGAATTCATTTATTTATTCCGTTTCTACGCCCCTGGCAGGGTTTGTTTTGTAAATAAACTAACCTATGAAAAGAAAGTTTTAAATTCTTGGATCCAAGTCTTTTACAAACGTAGCACTGCTTCACCATTTTTATATCACTCACTATTGGTATTTTTCACTATAAAATCAAATAAAAAATATTAAATAAGTTGTGGATTGCAAGTTTCTTTTACGTAAAATATAGAAACTTCAAAACAAATAAAGTCAGATGTGACAACTGAGGGAAAATATTTATTATTGTTCCTGGCCACTCTTTTCAATGTAAATAAACCGGTCCATCTTGTTTGTAGGTCTGTGTTATAAACCATCAGAAAAGTCGCTGATGATGTTGGTATATCGATTGGCTATTCCCATGAAATTTTTTTGAATGATTTGGGTATAAAACGCGTGGCAGCAAAATTTGTTCTAAAATTGTTAAATTTTGAACAAAATTTTTGGCGAAAAAGAATACTGTAATGATGCCCCAGCCTCCATATTCGCCAGACATGCCTCTGTCTGACTTTTTCCTATTTCCAAAAATAAAGAGTACCTTAAAGGGCCGTCGTTTTGCAAGCATATATGACATCGCTGAAAGAACTAAAGGCTATCCCAAAGATCAAGTGTTTCGAGTATTGAAAGAAAAGCTGGCACATGTGCCTAATATCCAAAGGCGACAACATTAATGTAGACGAATAAATAAATATTTGTTTCAAAAAACAAAAATTCCCGATATTTTCTGAACACACCTCGTAGATTATTCAATAAAATGCGTAGTTTACAAGATTTAAAGCTAATTAGTGACTAATTATTAGTCCTATGTTGTTTTAAGGCACAAGGGTTAAAGGTATAGGTAAAAAGTTAAAAATAATTTTATAGGAAATTTTATTTTCTACCAAAATGGTGTTATGAAATAATGCAATAAAATCTATAGTTTGGAAAATATAGAGCATTTTATACATTAAAAACTATTGAAGTAATTAGATTTATCGAAAATTTTCACTTACATTTATTAAATGCTCTTTATATTTTAGACTACCTATGCCTTTTTTTGTACGACTTGTCCAATCGTCCGATCATCGGATGAATAAAATATATTAATCGTCCGAACATACGGACGACTAATATATATTATTCGTCCGGTAATAACATAACGTTAGTTACGTCATAATTATAATTCGCTTTTGTTCACCGACCGTTTAATATTTGACAACAAGCTAGATAGCTTATATGGTAGGGCGTTCGCTTGTCATGCGAGAGGTCCCGGGTTCGATACTAAGAAGCTGTCGAATTTTTTTTATTTTTTTATTTCATAAATTTGTTGTTTCTTTGTTAAACAGTGTTCGGTTGGGTTGGGTTGGTTGGTTTGTTTTAGTTTTATCGTAACATAAAATCTACTAGAAGTTGTCGAACTTTTTTTATTTCATAAATTTGTTGTTGCTTTGTTAAAAAGTGTTTTATTTTTATCGTAACATAAATTTGCCCATTTTAGTTGGGTTTTTTGTTCAATGGGGCGGGGGGGGGGCCAATGGGGCGGGGTCGGTTGGGTTGTGTTGTTGAGTTTGAGTCCGATAATCTTTTTATTATTTATTTATGTTATTACCGGACGATTAATATATTTTATTCGTCCGATTATACGGACGACTAGCAACGGCCTTTCGACTTGTCTAATCGTCCGATCATCGGATGAATAAAATATATTAATCGTCCGAATATACGGACGACTAGCAACGGCCTTTTTTGTATTAATGCATACAATATTTTTTATATAAAATTAAATTTTCTATAAAAATAGTTTTTACTTTTTACCTGTAACTTTAAACGTTTTGCCTAAAAAGGTAAAAAACAGAGTAAAAAATAATAATAATAATGTTTTTATTTAGTTTTTAAATTTCTGAAATTACAAAATTTACATATCTGGGCGAAGTTCAGATAGATAAAAAAAAATATTGCTTTTTTATTAAAAATATGACTTTTGTAAATCAAAAATATAGGTTAAAAGTACTTCCAACAATTTTTATACAATTGTATAAAAATTGTTGGAAGTACTTTTAAAATGCATCTAATCATGTACAAATTGCACCTATGCAAATTGTAATAGCTTAAAATACCGCTAAGCTATAGGAAACAAAAAAATATCCTTAATTTCCTATTTTATTTCAATGGATAAACTTTAAAATCAATATATAAATTCTTGGAAATAAAAACATACAATAAACATGGAAGTAAAAAAATACCTAAATCATTGTAAATTAATTTATTGTGATGCAAAAATGTTAAATAAATAGATGAACACATGCTTTTTTCAACAACTCTCGTAAGTGCAAGGCACATGATCGGCCGCAGTGACGTAAGGGTCGTTTTCGAGTTTAACTCCAAACGAGTAGCCAGGTTTCTGCGGCAGCTTCGGCATATAAATCGGACCTGGTCCGTCGGCGCCCAAGTTATCTGGCGGAAACACTCGAGGACCCATCGTGTAAGCCGGGTGACTTTTTTCCGTTGGAACGTTGTATGTCGCTGGACCCGGTGAACGGCTTTGTGCGAGTGCGTCTTTTCCCCTCGAAGATCTAAAATGTACATGAGAAGATATTATATACATATACATGCATATATACATGTATATGGGCATTCCACGCCAAATCGGATGGTTTTTATTCCTTAATTTTTTTTTTATTTTTTAGTACTCCTTGAAACAGCTTTCTCAGTAATTTTTGAGATTTTTTTGATCACGGGTTCAAAAGATATCAAATTTTCAAAAAACTGCTTTTTTTTTGTTTTTCGCTCATAACTTCTTAAAAAAGGGTCCAAATCAAAATGTTCATTCTATATAAAATTTTCGCATTTAAATGTACTTTTCGAAAAAAAAATATATTGAAGATATTTGAAGCGTTTTAAGTCATGATTTTTTAGTTTTAAAGTTTAAATCGTGTTTTTAAAAATGTGTCTTCTTCGACTTTCGCGAAAAAATTTTATTTTCAACTTCTATCTATTCAACAACTATTCAGCCTGGTCCGGGAGTGGGCCTTCCATAATTACTATTTTTTTTCGAAACTTACAATAATTTTTAGAGATTTTTTTTTTTTAATTTTGAAAAATCTAAAAAAGATTAAGAAGAATTATGAAAGGCCCACTACCGAAATAGATAGAAGTTGAAAATAAAAAATTTTCGCGAAAATCGAAGAAGACACACATTTTTAAAAACACGATTTAAACTTTAAAACTCAAAAATCTTGACTTAAAGCGCTTCAAATATTTTCAATATTTTTTTTTCGAAAAGTACATTTAAAAACGAAAATTTTATATAGAATGAACATTTTGATTTGGACCATTTTTTAAGAAGTTATGAGCGAAAAACAAAAAAAAAGCAGTTTTATGAAAATTTGATATCCTTTGAACCAATATCCTTTTTTATTTGTTACTCGATTTTAATGAACAAAGGCTCAAAAGATAGAGAATAAAAAAATCTATCTAAGCTATAAAAACTATTTTCAATGTCACTTGACAGATGCATTTTTTCTATGTCAAAATTTGGAATAAATTATTAGGGTCGTTTTTGTCGATGCAGCATGCTTCAAAATGGGTACAAACCAATTTTCATTAAAAACGAACAATTAATATCTATTTTAGACAAGTTTGGGAGGTTTAGGAGAAAAATAAGTAAGCCACTGAACGCGGCATACTTCAGAATGGGTACAAACTTAATTTCATCAAAAATTAACTATTAATAACCATTTCAGACAAGTTTATTTTACCACGTTATAAACATAAATTGGTAGAAAACTAAAAACTAAAATAGCCATGCTGAAAGTTTATGTTTATAACGTTGTAAAATAAACTTGTCTGAAATAGTTATTAATAGGTAATTTTTAATAAAATTAAGCATGCCGCATTCAGTGGCGTACTTATTTTTTTCGAAGAAACAACCCTAATAACCTTTTTCAAATTTTAACAAAAAAATGACATTGAAAATATTTTTTATAGCTTAGATAGAGTTTTCTCTGTTTTCAGGATTTGTTCATTAAAATCGAGTAACAAATAAAAAAGTTAAATGGTCCACACTGTATATTAATATTAGACTGGGCTAAAAAAATCGACTATTTTTTTTGTAAAGTATATCGAAAATATTGTTTGGGGTGACAAAAAAATTATGGTGAAAGTTTGAATCCATAATATTAATGTTAAGAGGTCTATCATCGCAATTTTAGATTTTTTTTCCTGAGCGAGTTTTTGTCTCAGAACTCCCAAACCATTGAGTTTAACAAAATTGGAATTTCCCGTCAGATGAACCGTTTTCTTACAATCTTGCCTTAAAAATTGGTATAGTTTTACAATTTGATCTTTTAACTTTGGAATTTTGTAGATAGATAGATATTCTTATGGGAAATCAATGCTCTACAAAAAAAGTCTTCTAACATTTTTGGCTAAATTCACTCCATCAAAAGTTATTCAAGGTTAAATTTGAAGTCAAAATGAAATTCTTGTTTTTTTCCGCTCTAGATTTTGTTTGGGTCAGTTAAAAACTTGGATTCTTTTATCGATGATAATCTTTATGTTATTGATAAAATTACTGAAAATTAAAAAAAATAACACATTAGAATTTTTTGCTTTAAGAAGCTATTTTCTTTAGAAAATATTATTTTCACTGTTACCTATTTAATCGTTTAAATAATAACAATCATGTTGTTTTTTATTGGAAATTGTTAATTAGTTATATAATACACATTTATAAAGAAAAAAAATTCATAATCATTCATAAAAAAATAAATCTACAGAGGGAAAAACTTCAACTTTAACCTTGAATAACTTTTGATTGAGTGAATTTAGCCAAAAATGTTAAGAGGCTTTTTTTGTAAAGCATTTGATTTCCCATATTTATCGGTTTTTATTATGGGTACTGATTTTTACATGAATTACAAAATTCCAAAGTTAAAAGATCAAAATGTAAAACTATACCAATTTTTAAGGCATGTTTTTAAGGAAACGGTTCATCTGACGGAAAACTTTTTTGTAGAGCATATAATATTCTTAAAAAAAATTTTGAGTCAATTTTGTTAAACTCAATGGTTTGGGAGTTCTGAGACAAAAACTTGCTGAGGAAAAAAAAATTAAAATGCGATGATAATATAAATATTATGGACTCAAACTTTCACAATATTTTTTTTTGAAAAGTATACTTTTTTTGGCCCAGTCTACTGTATATGACAAAATGTCTTGAGAGGAGCTTTGTGCAACCAGCTTTTCTTCACATTTTATATATTAGTTTTTAACTTACATACTGTAAGCGGCTTTAGCGGGCAAATCAGGTATTGTGGGACCAATAGTGCTTGGTAATAGATATGCATTTGGACCTGGTGTAGCAGAACCAGCTGTAGACTTAAACCTTGACCTGATTGAATAACTTGGAGGAATTTTTGTATTTAATGGGGGTACGTTAAGAATATTGTAGGCGTTTGGTCCAGGGGTTGCGGCAAATTCTAAAAATAAAAATTAATTTTTATACTTAACAAGATTTTGTACTTACGAAAATCTTTAACTCTGGACTTTAAAGAATAGGCAGGTGGATATAGTTTGCCCATGTTTGTCAAACCCCTGATGTCATAGTGAGGCCCAGGTAAGGCCTCCTTATCTTTTGTGTCAAACCTAGAAGCCATCGACCATTTTGGGTTTCTGTACCTGGTACAGTCGTGGCCCTCATAGCCAACAACAGTTGGGAGTTTGTAAGCTGCTGGTCCAGGTCCTAAATGTTATGTCAACATTAAAAATTGATCTTTTATTAATATTATACAAAAATTGATTATTACCAGGTCTTATTCTGGGCATTTTGGTTAGTTCTTTTCAATAATTTTCGTGAAGAAAATAAAAATAGAAAAAAGTTAGAACAAGAAAAATTGAACAGATGTAAATACTTCTTGACACTACATTAAATGACGGCATAACAAGATATTGTTAAATGACGTAATAACAATATAGGCATAGTTACCAGTACCAGTACATCAAGGCCGTGCGCAGGATTTTCTCATGGGGGGGTACATTAAAATAATAAAATTGCAACAGAGCTGCGATATTTTTTTTTTTCATGTTCAGTTTGTTTGACTCATTCATTCAAAAGATATGAAAGTAATACAAACGTACGAGATAACCCCAATTTTACCCCTAATGTACATTAGGGGTTGTAGAAAATTTAATAACGAACATTTTGTTATATTTAGGCTTGAAAAATCTTTTAATCTTCACGTTTATTTTCGCAAATGCGCAAATATATATTTGCAACAAAAATTGCAAAATTGTCAAAAATTATATTTTTCAATTTTATTGATTTTTTACGTCATTTTATTGATTTTTTACGTCATAACGTCGTTTTAAGTTATTCCAACTCTTGTTATTAAATAATTTATACATATTCTTTATTCAGCATCTCTTAGAAAATATCATTTTTGACAATTTTTTAGTTTTGAATTGCGAAAATGACGTAAAAAATCGTGTCTTAATTTTTCAAAATATTTAATACTACGGCTGACCTCCGCTTTTCTTCGCATTTTTCAGTTTTGGTTGCCCTGAACATGAAAAAAAAGACATTGCACAACCCACACCCACAATTACATAATTGTTGCATAAGAAACAAACTTTTATTTCATGTAAAGAAATTGAATATCTATATAGAATTTTATTATGAAAATTAATAATAATGGATGTCTCTGAAGTTTGTAGTTCTTAATTGATCAATGGTTGCAACCATGTTTACTTCACAATCTAATCCAATGGATTGTGGTTGACGTGTTTATTGGTTTTGTTTTAACAGTTACGATTTTCTTTGGGTAAATTTTGTGTGGTATAATATTTTTTTTATTTTAAAACTCAATGGGGGGTTGAACCCCCCCCCCCCTTGCGCACGGGCAGTATATTAAAACAACAAGTACATTTTAGCATGATAATAAGTTATCTTAACAATTCTGTATTAATTAAGTACAGAATTGGGTAGAGTTCAATTTTTTTTTAAATTTTAAACAATTGTACTTATAAGTATCCAGATTTTTGTATATAGCAGTTTAAAAGTTAATATATTTATTTAAAACATTTATCAGCGGCATTAAGGCGGCTTAACATCGGCAAGCCGATAATGACGTAGTCGGCCCGCCATTGTTTTCCGACCGTCGGCCCGCCGTCAATAGGAGACAAGTGGCAACGATCGGCCAACGATCAATTGCCGATCATTTTTTAGACATCGGCCCGCCGTTTATTTCAGACATCGGCTAGAGGTTGTTTTTAGATATTGGGCCGTTGTCAATAGGAGATAAGTGACAACGGGCGGCCAACGATCAATCGCCGATCGTTTTCCGTTGTTTTCAGCATATGTCTGTAAGGATATCCATCCATTATCTAGACAAGGGCGGGCCGATGTCTAAAAACGACGGAAAATGATCGGCAATTAATCGTTGGCCGACCGTTGCCCCTTGTCTTCTATTGGCAGGTCTCTAAGATTTTAGTTAAAAAAGGATTATTTAAATAATTATATATAAAAAAAATAATGTTTTATTCTTAATAATAATAAAAAAAATAATCACATATGTGGGTTTACGTATTTATAAAAAATATATTATTACTTTTGGTAAAGCAAAAAAATTAGCTATTAAATTAAAATATGAATTTATTGCCTTCTTCTATTTCTGCCACCATCCCTGTCTCCAGCTGTTCGTAGCCAAGCTTTAATACCTAACAGATCTATTCAACTTCTGTTGTGGAAGCGTTCTTAGTAAGGCTATTCATTCTAAGTGAACCTTAAAGTAAATATTAAAAAAGTATTGCTTGTATTTATAAGAAAGCCTTACCTTATAAGAGATTAATTATATTAACGTGAGTGGCAAATGTTCTTTTAGCTCCTTTTCCCTTCCAATTATATTCTATTGCTAAACTATTGGATATTATCTTAGATAATATTCGCCTTGTGAAATCAACCACATCCTTACCTCCAATAAGCCTTATAATTATAACTTAAGTTATAAGCCCTATAGTTTTGAGCACTAAAATTGAGATTATTAATAACTAAATTAAAATTTAATATCATATAGAATATAGGTAAAAAACAAATTAGGTATACATATATCAAAATTATTTTAAGTTAAAATACAAAAAAAAATAAAAACTATAGCTATACTGAGGTTAATTTATATATTATATAATATAATATATAGTATAATAAATAATATAATATATAATATAATTTATATATATTAGATTTTATTTTATTTTTTTTAATAAGGAAAATTTAATATTTGATAGAACTAGCAAAAATAAGAAATGTCACTTTACATTCGGGTTTTGCCTTGCCAATGAAAAGATTCATTTTCTAAGCAATGATGCCAATACGAAATGTGACTTTTACATAGTGGTCGTAGAAAAACAACATTTCAATGTAAAATTTTATCCTTACATATGTATACAAATTTACTTACTTGTTTTCCTGTGACATGGTGATCAACTAACACAGGCAAAAACCACTGAATTGTTAATAAAAACTTACTAACACTCAAAGAACAATAACAAAACAATTTTTAATCCTTCGCGTTCCATGGCCGGTTACAAAAGAACGACGCTGCGCAGTTTATATACGCACCATGCAGAACACCAAAGAACACGACACTGCCGCGCCGTTGCCAAATTGTTATTAAATTATTTATTATTTCATTTACATTTTTATGGTCTTGTATTATTAATAAATAAACAATTAAAACGCCAAATACATTTTAAAAATTCCAGAAATATTTTATGAGAAACTTTCTTTGAAAATTAGTTAGTAGGTATATTATACTTTCCAAAGCTTTGGTGCTGCATTGTGCAGATGATTAATCATAATTATAAGCTTGAAAATGATTTTACGCGTGAGTTTTCAATTTTTAGTGTAATTTATAAGTGTATTGTTCATTAAAACTAACTAAATTTTATTAAAAGATTCAAAATTTGAGTATTTCACGGCTGTCTGGCAACACTGTAGATTGTGCTCTAACCTTAAAACCACTCAACGTTAAAACTTTAAATTAGTAATTTTTATTTAAATAATTATTATGTATTTGGTATTGATGCAGATATTTGATAACATTAACAATTCATAAAAAGGAATTTTCTAAAAGCAATTGTATTAATAGGTCCGGACCTACACTGGTGTAGCGCAAGAAACATCAATAGTGCAGCAATATTAAGATAGGGTAAGGTGGGGCAGGTTCGGACACGTTTTTTCAAAAATTAATATTTCAAAGATAACAAATTTTTTTAGACTTAATGCAAATACTACGGATAGCTTAGTCTATTTCCAACATTTTAGCATTATCTTAAGCAAAAAATATTAAGTTGTTTTCGTTTGGTGATATTTTACTTAAAAAAATGCATTTGTCCGAATCTGCCCCATATTGGGGCACATTCGGACAAGTAGTGGGGTACTTTCGGACAGGCCTGAGAAAATTTAGAACCTATTTATTTTTAGAATGAATAAGAGACTATATTAGAAAAAGTTTATTAAACATTATAACCATCAAAATTGACGTTAAATTTAAAGAGCGAACACATCCTTGAAGTTCCTGGTGCTGCCTCTGGTGCTGCTTCGGTATTTTCGAAACTATATCTTCTCTGGAAACAGTCGAAATATCTTGCAAGTCCGGAAAGCGGAAACCGCTTTTATACTTCCTCAAAAAATTTAAGACGTAAGAGCCTTCATTATTGCAAGATTCTACCTTGCCGATATAATGAAGTGTCCTTCTGTTGGTCGGGTATTTGACAAGCAAATAATCATGACAATGGATCACGTCATCATGCAATAGCATGAGCACATCGTCATTGTCTTGAAACTCGTCCAGAGAATCGGAATCAAACATTTTTGTCTCATGCACAATATTCTGTGGTAAATCTATATTAGAATCCGAGGAGTCACTTTCTATTTTTTTTTACTTTTTCTTCGGCGCCTTTCCTTTGCTCTTCTCCCCAACTTTTGTATCATTTTTCTTCACTTCACATTCGCTTTGTAATGCTTTTCTTTTCGTGTTTTTTTTCTCCAACTTTTGTTTTCTCATTGTTTCCAATTCTTGAATTCTTTCCTTTTCCGGTGTGCTTGTATAAATTCTGGATTTACCTTTTACCTTTTTTCTTTTTAAATTAGTTACGTACCATCCCAGAAAGTTAAATCAATCAAAACTGGGTTTTATTTGTAAAATGGGGCACATTCGGACAGTCCGAAGCTGCCCCACCCGATTTGTCCGAACGTGCCCCATGTTCCAGAAATACATAGATATCAAAATAAAAATTTGCACATGGTTAACTGATGCTGTTTTATGAGGTTATGTATCGCCAAAGATATTAATATCTGCGGTAAAAGTTATAAAACTTACCTTACTGGTGTTCTCAAGCCAAGAAAGCTTACGATAGCCCTAATAAAATTTATAAGAATAACTATGTTTTTATATTTTCTCAAATAAATAGTTGTCGAGTGATCAAAGTCGCTAAACATGTACGGACCACAGAACTATTAGTGTAGAAGGATATTTACTGTCAATATGGAAACTCTCGTAGCACTTTAAGGCGGTAAATTTGATTTGTCCGGAGGTGCCCCATGTCCGAACCTACCCCACCTTACCCTACCTACTAATATTAGGCTACTATAGTAGTATCATAAAAAAATACCTTTTGTCAATCATCCTGACGCGTCATGACGTCGGCAAGACAATAATCTCTACGTCGATCCGTGGTTATTATTAGACCTCATTCCGCCGTTGTTTTTAGACATTGGCCCGTCGTTGCTTTTAGATATCTGCCCGCCGTTACTTTTAGACATCAAATTACTACATACTGTCGAGCTTAGGCCAATCATGACATTTAAATGTCAATATAAACAATTTATTATAATCAAACGTCATGATTGGCCTAAAAGCGGCCGTATGTAGTAATTTGATGTCTTAAAGCAACGGCGGGCCGATGTCTTTAAACCACGGCGGGCCGATGTTTTTAAGGCAACGGCGGGCTTATGTATCAAAATAACCACCAGCCGACATGGAATTGATCGTCTTGCCGACGTCGGACCGACATAATGCCGCTTATTAAAGTTTTTTGGTCAAAAATATATATTTTAAAAACAATTTTATTTTATGGTGAAAAAAGTTAGTTTATACTATCATAATATAGCAAAAAAGTGCCAACGTAAAATTGCTGTTTTATTAGTATAATCAAATGCCACCGTTGGCCTGACGGCGGTTGTATGTAGTAATTTGATGTCTTAAAGCAACGACGGGCCGATGTCTTTAAACCACGGCGGGCCGATGTTTTTAAGGCAACGGCGGGCTTATGTATCAAAATAACCACCAGCCGACATGAAAATGATCGTCTTGCCGACGTCGGACCGACATAATGCCGCTTATTACAGTTTTTAGGCCCAAAATTTATATTTTAAAACAATTTTATTTTATGTTGAAAAAAAGTTAGTTTATACCATCATAATATAGCAAAAAAGTGCCAACGTAAAATAGCTGTTTTATTCGTATAATCAAATGTCAATGTTGGCCTGACTGCGGCAGTATGTTGTGTTTCGATTATCATTTACTAACGCTTTGCCGTCCAAAAAAATAATGTTGGCCAAACGTCGCGCCGATGTCCAAAAAAGATAATCGTGTTGCCGACCGTCGCCCGCTGATTAATGTTTGCTGGGATAACTCGACTTCTATTTTTGCACTTGTACCCTTTTGCTTCTTACCCCTTCCTATATCATGAGAACAGCTGCAGTTGGTTCTTAATTAAGTTCTAGATGAAACCGGATGAAACAATAAAACCCATCTTATAAAAGTATACCCTTGTCTAAATAAAGGTATACCCTTGTCCAAAACTTTTACTTTTGAAAACAATATTAATATATACACACATGCTCAAAATGTAGGATTACATAAGTAAATACAGTGTGATCCATTTGTTTGCGACTCGAGTCGGGTGATCACCCCTGTAAAATCTTAATTTATTGTGCGATTTTAACCGGAACGCTATATTTTTACAAAATAAATTTTTAAGAATTCATATTAGCGATTTTTTAAAACAAAATCTAAGCACGGCCCTGAAATCACCACCCCTCCAAACCACCCTTTACTAAATTTTATTAAAAAAAATTTAAAAGTAGAAAAATGCAAAATAATAACTACAAAAATTTATTCTGTCAAGTTATCCATGAAAAAAACAATGAAATAAAATTAAACTAATATATATTAGTTTAATTTTATTTCAATGTTTTTTTCATGGATAACTACTACTACACTACTATAGTAAAATATAGTAACATGGTACTATTACTATATAACATGTTATAACATGCATGTATAACATGTTATAACATGCATGTATAACATGCATGCAGGGGCGTGCTGGCTATATCAGACCGGCCCGGGAAATTCAGAAAAATCGGCCAACTACACAAGAAAAATGGGGGGTGAACAAAACCAAGTTAAAAAATTTAAAAAATTTATTAATAATTAATAACATAAAGTATAAATTAAATTCTTGAAAAAAAACAGGCAACAAACACAACCAGACAATATTTTACACAATGCTAAAACATACACTTAAAATAAAAACTAATACAAATTATCATCGCTCAGGAAACTTATAAACAATATACAATCTCGAAAAAAGAAACAAAGCTGGCAGGCTGGCATGCATGGTATGTGTAAAATAATTATGATATTTATACATAAGTCAACTAAAAAAGTTTTTAATTGACCACGTGCTGCGCAGCATGCTGCCTACATAGCCCTCCGGCAAACCGGCCCACTTAGCTCTCCGGCCCACCGGGATTTCTCCCGGTGTCCCGGCGCGCCAGCACGCCCCTGCATGCATGGTACTACTACTATAAGTTTAATTTTATTTCAATGTTTTTTTCAAGGATAACTTGACAGAATAAATTTTTGTAGTTATTACCTTTGGTTATTACTGTGCATTTTTCTACTTAAAATTTGCCGTGCTTAGTTTTTGTTTAAAAAAATCGCTAATATGAATTTTTAAAAATTTGTACAAATGCGTTTTTTGCTCCAAAAATACAGTTTATTAAGATCTACACTTTAAAACAAATCCGCTTAAAATCGCACAATAAATAAAGATTTTGCAGGGGTGAGTCGCAAACACTGTATATATATAATAATCCTAAATTTGTTCGCAATATTAATGTTTCACTCTGTATATTGTTTTGCAGATTTTAAATTAAAAATAATTACAATCTAGAAAAGTTCTTATTCTACTTTACTTAATTGTATAATAATGATATTTTGGATTTATTATCAGTATACCTCCGGCTGAAGGACCTCGGTCAATGGCCATTTGTAAGAAATTGTATTAACTTTTTTTTGCAATAAAGTTCATTTATTATTATTATTATCAGTATACCATAATATAGTATTATAAGCTACTGTAGCTAAGTACCTAAGGTTTAAAATGTATTAAAATTCAATTATTTTAACATTATCACTGTCTATGACTCTGTAAATTTGCCCTTTAAGTTTAGTTATGACGTCAGATGTAGTTGTTTACAGTTTACTAAACTCATAAATGTGTTATTTGAGCAAAAGTAAACATTTTTATAAAAACAAAAATATAATTATAAATTAAAATTAAATTAATTTATTGCCTATAAATATTTAAAAAACCCTACAAAATTATTTTGTGAAAAACGCAATATTTCTTTTCCTTACTTAGAATATAATATAGAACAAACAATTAAATAGGTATTATTGTTAAAGGGTTATAGGCTTAATAAAAAACATTTTTTATGCAAAGGTGTCACTTTATAAATCATAAATTATCATTCTTTTAAACCACTCCACAACAAATAAAAATATATATCAGTTGAATTGTAATAATAAATATGTTTTGAACATAAACATAATTTGTACATTTGTGAATACTAACAAAAAATAATAACTAAAACAAAATAAATAAACATATTCATTAAACTTATTTAATTTAAAAAAACTATTCTTTTGCTTTTATTTCAATTGACTGAGACTTTGTTTCGTTATCTTCTTTTTTACCATTTTTTACTTCTGTTTCCACTGATTTACCAAGTTCTTTTCGTTCATCATTCAAAATGTTCACTAGTTTTTGGATGTAAGGACTGTTGAACTTCCCTTCTGTTGAATTAAAAAACTCTTGAAGAAATTCGGGTTTATTATCACGTTTTTCATAATAAGTAGCACTATAGAGCATGTCAAATCTGTCCAAGTCCTTAACAAATTTTGCTTCGGGCGTTTCTTTGGCTTCGTATTCCTTGTAGAGATCGTAAATTAATTTTCCAGCAGCATTACCTAGAAAATAATATAACTAAGTTGTAATAATTATGTTATATAGGGTTTATCATGCACTTACCTGCCGTAGAAGTGATTTCTTTCATAGCTTCATCCTCCATTTCATGTTTCTTATCTTCTGGTATGTTATCACTAGGTATGATATCTCCAACTATACTTTCAGCTAAGTCATGTACAAGAGACAATTGTAAGCACTTTAGCCTGTCCAATTTCGAGTTTTCACCTAGTAAAAAGGTCATCATGGCCATACCATACATATGACTCGAAATTGATTCATGATTTTTGATTTTTAATACTGACCATCCTCTTCTCGAACTGTGCTTTAAATTATTTACAAATCCAATGAATTTAAGTACCTCCTGGGGTTCCAAAGATTCCATTTTAACGAGAATTTTTTTCGTAGAAATAGTATGTAGGTTATGCAAATGATGGTTGACCTTCGATTTCACAATGCTAGTAACGGAAGTTTATACGCGATAGATAAACTAGACTGTATGAGAGTGTTTATTAATAAATGTATTGAACAAATTAACCACTAAAAGTCACTTTGACGTTAGCTAACATTGTTGCCGAATGTCACAGAGAGCGTAGTGTATTCTGGATTGCATAAATATAGGAATATTAACCTGCGCCATCTGTACAAGATTTTTTAAGCAGTAAATTATTCAAAAAATTGGTTACAAAATCGAGTAGATAGTAAAATAAAAATAACGAAACTGTTTTAATATTATATTTATTAAGATATGAACACTTTACTTGAAATTTATCCATTTAATTCCTAAAAAAAATCTCAGCAAATGTCTTTTTGAACTTTGCCAGTTTTTGGTGGTGTACACCCTTGGTCTTTTAAAGTAAAAAAAGGTATTGCGTTAGTTTTAAGTCCAAATGAGTAACCAGGTTTTTCATCCAACTTGGGTTTGTAAATAGGGCCTGGTCCATAGGCCTTTTGATTAGGAGGGTATGCTTTTGTTGCAATAGAATATGTTGGTAGTTTATGTTTGCAGACGTCCTGGGAGATTGCGCTATAAGCTGCAGGTCCTGGGGATATTGGTCTGGCTTTAATCCTCCAAGTTACTTTCCTAAAATGATAAATTTGTCATATGTTACTATTTTATGCTTTAATTTAGATCTAAATCGACCACTTTTGACCCCGACCCCTTTCGATTTGGCTAAATCTTTTTCTACCCTATTAAAAACATTTTTCCGAATTTTTTCATATTTTTTACCAACCGACACAATTTCAAAAATGTACTTTTCAGGACGTTTTTTTTCAAATTTATTTTTTGTTTTTTGTTAAAAAATATAAAAAAAAACTATTCAGACCGATATTCAGCGATTTTTTTTTAATTTTAATTTTAATCGAAAAAAAAGTTATGTATTTAAATAAAAAAGGCTTCTTATATTTCAGATATCTATAACTTTTTCAAAAATTGGCTTATTGGGACGTTTTTTTTAATTTTTGGTTTTTAATGTACTTTTTGGAAAATTGTAGAAATTATTATACTTAAGTTATTCCGACTAATCTTTAACGTTTTTTTTAATTTCTCAATTATTATTTTTTTTATAATAAATAAGTATATAGAAACATTTTCTGCAAATTCTCAATTTCTTATACCGGGTGTATCTGAGAATACGCGCACCCCTGTAACTTTTTTATTTATAAACACAGACATATATATGTCATATGAGATTTTGCCTGGTTAATATTAGGATATAAAATGCCACTTAGAGAGTACAAAATTTTTTGAACTTCCGGTTTCGCCGGAAATAATGACGAAACGTCGAAAGGTCAATTTGAGGATACTGCCTGACTCAGAATTTTCTCAGGATTTTAAATATGTAGAGAAATAAAAAAATTAATAAAATTGCAAGTTGTAATCATCAAAAAAATGTCAATGATTTTCTAAAAAGAAAAAAAATAAGAGATAGCTCTGAGTAATTTTGTATTGTATTTTGTATTTTTTTGAAAACTGTTTGGGAAAACAACATGCTTTTAAAAAAATTAAGTTGTTCATTTGTGATGGCATTCGTTTTGTTTTTTTACCACTTCGCTTTTAAAAAAAATCAAAAAATATATCAAAATTATTCAGAATGATCTCCTATTTTATGTACTTTTTAGAAAAATATAGAAAGTTATTCCGACTAATCTTTAACTGTTTTTTTTTTTAATTTTTGGAAAAATTTCTTGATTGTACAATAATGTTATTTATATTTTTTTTTATTGTAATATATATATATATCCACATTTTCTGCAAATTAATTCTCTGGAATTTTCAGTGGCGTTTTTTGTTTTCTATTTTTTTTCAATTGATTTTTTTAACAGCCTATTACTTATATACCACTGGGGATTTTTGATTATGTAGAGATATTAAAAAAAAATAATTAAAAAAGTGGTCATCAAAAAAATGTCAATGATTTTCGAAAAAGAAAAAAAAAATGGAGAAAGTTCTGAGTAATTTTGTAATATCCCAGCAAACACAACCGTAAAGGTTCTGTAATGGCCCTTTAAACGCGTGCCTTTAATAAACTAAAGGCCCTATAAAGGCTGACTTTAATGGACCTCTACATATTATGTCGCGTTCACCTTTTATGGGCATGTGACGGCAGTCGATAAAGACACTTACAAGAACCGGTAAAGGTTCCGATATGGCAGGTTAAAGGTACAAATGTGGCAAGCTAAAGGTTCTTATATGGGGTGTTAAAGATTCTATAGTGGTTAGTTAAATATTATTTAATGGATAAGTAAAGTACCTATTATGTCAGATTAAATGTGGTACCTATATATTTACTAGGTACGGATATTCCATGATAATTGAAATATTTTATCCCGACCGATTTTTGACGGTATATCCCTATAGGGATAAAAAATTCCCGATTATCGTGTAATATCCGACCTAATAACTATATTACAAAAATTTCGTTATTATGGAATTTCATTAATGTCCCTTAAACTTTCAAAAAATTAAAAAATACAAAGTGTTTAATGTGATATAAAATACATGTAATTTAAACATAATTATATAACATATTTAAATAAAAAAAAACAAATATTATAAAATAAAATCAAATTTCAACAGTTTCCATTTCTAAGGAATCGAATTGAACAAAAAACAAATTAAGTAGATAAATCCAGTCTCTAGTCCAGTCTTTAGCACAATGGATATATGCAAAGAACATTGGATATATGGCTAAATCACATGCATAAGAATCTCTATAGAATATATTCTATTGCTAAATCATTGACGACTGCAGTGCACTGTAGGAATGATCTTATAATGGGATTCTAATTTGCAAGTTTTTCTAGAAAAAAGCTTCGTTTTGAATAGAGATAATTAAATAGGGTTAAATATTCAAAACATGGTGCGCTAAAAGAAGATTTAAAATTTTAAAATAAGTCACATGAAATAGCTATTTCCTAGGTTATTAAATAGTACGACATTAATGTAAAAATTGTACAGTAAAAATACTTACTTGAAAAAGGTACTACCTAGTTGTTTAGTTCATTAATAATTAATTATAAAATACACCTATTAGATAATTAATTAATATATCTCATTTCTATATGCATATGCATAATACCACTAACATGAGGCAATTCATTAGTAAATATGGTGTAAACCAAAGGAAAACATTTGGCACTGTAATGGTGTGTTACAGTTCCATTAACTTGATACTTATAATTACCATATGTGGGCCTTTAATGGTAAATTATACATATCATTGCCTGAAAAGGGCCATTGCAAGACCTTACCACGACAGCCTTTGGTCTAAATTGACATTTATTAACGAAAAATTCCTGTAGAGGCCCAGTACAAGAACAGCTTGGGTTAAAAATGCCATCATTTAACCATTAAACGCTGTAATGGGCCATTACATTACCAGACTTATGTGTTTGCTGGGATATTGTTTATATATATATTTTTTTAAATATATTTAGTATAAATTTAAAAAAACTGTTCGAAAAACAACATGCTTTTAAAAAAAACCAAGTGGTTAATTTGTGATAGCATTCGTTTTGTTTATTAACACTTCGCTTTAAAAAAAATCTAAAAAATGTATAACAAAATTATTCAGAATCATCTCCTATTTTATTTTTTTTCAAAAATCATTGACATTTTTTTATGATTACCACTTGCAATTATTTTTATTAAAACTTCTTTCTACATCCTCAAAATCCCCAGTGGTATATAAGAAATAAGCTGTTAAAAAAACCACTTGAAATAAAATAGAAAACGAAAAAACGCCACTGAAAACTTTGGAGAATTTGCAGAAAACGATTTTAATACAAAAAATTAAAAATGACAATCAAGAAATTTTTGTTTTTTTCCGAAAATTAAAAAAAAACTTATTTCTATATTTTTCTAAAAGGTACATTAAAAACCAAAAATTTAAAAAAACCTCCCGATAATCAAATTTTTGAAAAAGAGAGCCTTTTTTTAAATGTATAACCTTTTTTCGGTTAAAATTTAATAAAGATAAAAAGTTTCAACCAAATCAAAAAGGGTGCCCCCTACCCCAAATAGCACACGACCTCCCAAGGACATCCTGTCTGTCTGTCCGGGCCAGTTTAGGATATCCCATTTCTGACGTACCTTGGACGTCCATGGGACGTCCTGAAATTAAATTTGGTATAGGACGTCATAGAATTAAATTGGCAATAGTATACCATATTCCAAAAGGCAAAAAATGTATAGCATTTGCATCATCTGTCACCTGTCTAATGATCCAAAGTGACACATATCTGTCACCTTTAATTTTAATGTTTATTAAATTTTAACCATGGCATTGTTTTCTCAATATGCGCATTAAATGCTTTTTATTTTTTTCATCGAAAACCGTTAGTCGTACGAAAAATGGTCAAGAAATCAAATTTGCCTTAAAATTAATGGGGATTTAAAAAATAATTTTTATTTTGAAAAATAGCAGTGGCGTGCATAATATTTTTCCAAAAATATCTAGACCACAATCTGTACGGGCGCCACTGGTACAAAAAATTAAAAATCTTCTACATCAAAAACTTACTGTTAATGCTTAGAAGGCGTGTGCCAAATTTTATAAAAATATCTAGGAAGTTATAAAAGTTTTAGGTCATAGGTTTATTTGAACTTTTTTTCTTAAAATCAACTAAGGATTCACACCCTTAAGGTTCAGCATCTTATTCTGAAACACCCTGTATACAGTGTGTCCAATTAAGTCGGAAACATATGGAAAACTTTTTTATTATAAGTATTGGTTTTATGAAAAAAAGTTATTCTTGATAAAAAGTTCTGCATAGTCCAAAGCTTAAAATGCAACCATCAGATATCATTTTTTTTAAGCCGTATACAAGGTTAGTCGAAAAATATGAATTTTGCTCATGAGTTTAAAGTCTGTAGTTCGGAAAATGGGCGTTTCCAGACACATGTTCCTTATATCAAAATATTTGTGAATGACTGCCAACCCTTAAAATTTGACCCAACCGTTTCCGAACACCCTGTATAGTTATCATGACAACATGCGGATTTCCAAAGAAAAGTCTCAAAAAGCCCTCACAGTACCTTAATAAGCTGGTCTGAGTATATCCCGATATAGTCCTAATCAGGACGTCCTACGGACATCTGAAAGTGTATCATTTGGCCGTCTGTAGACCTCCTAGGGACGTCAAACATACATTGCGGGACGTCCTGAGTACTTCCGCAATGTCCCGAGCTGACGTCCCGAGGACAGCCTAAGGACGTATTTGTGCTTACTGGGACATTGTGTAGGCTGCATTGGCGTATTTATCTGGAACTTTAGGTCCAATGGTTGTTGGTAAACCATAGGCCATTGGTCCTGGTGATCCAAGTTTGGGGTTAACACCAGCAGTTCGACGCATCATGGAGTAACGCGGTGCTCTCTTACTACTCATGGGTGGTACATCTTCAGGTTTGTAGTCCCCTGGCCCTGGAACACCTATTTTTCTTAGGGTTCTTGGCCTAGATTTTTGGCTATATTTTGGGGAACATGATCTTCCATAAACGGTTAGTCCGGTGAGATCATATTTTGGACCAGGACTATGTCTTCTTTTTGCCAAACTGGATTTTATCCTCATAGAATAGGCGGGTTCGCATTTTTTCGTGAAATCGTGGTTTTGTCTGCCTATTAGGGATGGGAGTTTGTAGTTGCCTGGACCAGGCCCTAAAAGCAGATTTTAAAATTCCAAGTTATTTTAATAGAAAACTTGGTCAAGAACCCATTAGTCTATTCATTTTCCCGCATATTATTTAATGGTTAATTTCAAGTTGATTTCTGATTCATGGGACGATGGAATTTTTGTGAAAACAGGACCTGGACTTCACAGACATAAAAGAAATGACAATGACTTTTAAAATATTTTTTACTGACTCAAGTTTTCTTATTTTATGTTGTATACAATACTCTGAATCTACACTCACAGGCAAAATAATCGATCCACACAAATTTTCGATGAATTTCAATGGCAAATAACTTTTTTATTTGATGTCGGATTTAAACGAATATTAAAGAATATTGTACATAAATTAATGGAGAATCGCTCACATTTTAAAAAATTACTAAAAAATAGACGTACGTTTATAATATACAGGTTTAAACAAAAATATGTTTTTTACCATATTTTTAAGACACTCTGTAGAGTGGCAAAACCGTATATTGTTCTAAATAAAGTTTTATTTATTAAGTATTTTTGTGGAAAATAAGGATTTTTTAAAACAACATTGCAATTTCCAATATTTTTCTATATGAATTCATTTTCATTCTTAAGAACCAAGGTTGCTATGGTCCATCCATAGGCTATGAAGAATGACAGTGACAGTTTTGTTGAATCATCCCATACTTTGACATGTCATACACGGCTTTCAAAAGCTATCAAATTGTTTTTTGCAAATTAATGTTTAAATTTTGAGGTGTCTTCTTACTTTAAAAAATGGATATGTCTCCGACTGATGTTGCCAGAGCCATTAATTTAATCCAGGATGGACGGTTACAGTATTACATAGCAAGTGTTTTAAACGTCACAAGAAGTAAAGTACAAAGGGCAACATCAGTCGGAGACATTTTTAAAAGTAAGAAGACACCTCAAAATTAACACATTAATTTACAAAAAACAATTTGATAGCTTTTGAAAGCTGCATATGACTTGTCCAAGTATGGGATGATTTAACAAAACTGTCACCATAGCAACCTTGGTTCTTCATACAGGAAAAATATTGGAAATTGCAGTTTTTTTTTAAATCCATATTTTCCACAAGAATAAATATATCGAGGTGAACCAAAAACAAAACTGTTAAGAATAGATGTGACTTGAAAATAAAACTTAATTTAGAACAATATGGTTTTGCCACTCTACAGAGTGTCTTAAACTTATGGTAAAAAACATCTTTTTATTTAACCTGTATATTATAAACGTACGTCTATTTTTTAGTAATTTTTTAAAATGTGAGCGATTGTCCATTAATTTACCTACAATATTCTTTAATATTCGTTTAAATCCGACATCAAATAAAAAAGTTATTTGCGATTGAAATTCATCGAAAATTTGTGTGGATCGAATATTTTGCCTGCGAGTGTATTTAAAAAAGACAACTTTATTAATTATTAATAATTTTGTATGTTAGGAGTTAAATAAAACATAGTTGTGGTTAATTTAAATGGAGGGACCTTTTTATTTCTTAAAGTTACAAATTCAATGTAAATAAAGTAATGTAAATGACATGAAAAAATACATATGACAATGAGTTACAAAACAGATATGGTAAAATAAATATATCTAAAAAAAATAATTACAAAAATCAACACAAAATAGAAACAACATGATAATTAACAAAACGCTTTATTTAACTTTTTGTTTTCTTAAGGTTTTGTTGGTGTTTTGGTCGACTTCAGGGAGGTCTGACTCCTCGCTGGCGCCTTTCTTATCTAAAATCACCCAACAATTACTTTCAACAACTACGTCTACAACAATTTTACGTACTTTTCTTCGAATTTTCTTTTTTCTGTGTCTTGTTCTTGGACACTGTTGTCAACGATTTGCTCTCACGAGATTTTGCCATCTCCTTGCTGATAACATTGAATACCAAGTACCTAAACGAAAATTAGGTCGTTCAAAAACCTGTAAGAAGCGTACATTGTGGGCAACTTACATTTGAAGCAAGAGAACTCCGGCCAAGAGTCCGAGCCTCACAGTTGGAGTGTTGAAGTATTTGTTTTGGATGTCAAGTTGTTGGTTTTCGGCTTTGGCGAGTCCGTACCACAAGGTGAGCACGGCCAAGATGATGCTTCCCAAACGAGCGACTACTTGGAGACCGTTCGATATGAATTTGGTCACTACAAAGAGTTCAAATAAGATATTGTTAAGGTGTAAATTAGAGTGTCTCAAAAAAACCGACTATATTTTTTTTCCAAAGAACATTGAAAATTCGTCAGACTATCTCTAGAAAATGACCCTGTGAAAGTAAGAGCTCTTAATATTAATATTTAGATGTGGCGTTTTGTAATTTTCTATTTCCCATTTAAATAACATGGGAAATTTTTATTTTCAAATTTGGAATTTTGTAACGTGATAACGAGCTACTTTAAAAGTATGACAAAATTGCTCCTTATAGGAAATTTAATGCTCTACAAAAAAGGTCTGATTGACTTTTTGCGTAAGTCAAGCCGTTTCAAAGATATCGAGCCTCAAACTTTAGAATATTTAAAATTATGCTTTTTTTTTTCTTAAATACAAAAAAATCAGGAGATAACAGAAGAAAATTGATAAAAAGTGAAATGGACTATTAACATGACTATATAAACAGTAAATATATTATTAATACATAATGTAAATAAATTTATAGTAAACTTCTACCAATTTTTTTTAGGTAAGTGAATATTTTTTGCTAAAAATCAATAAAAATTATCATTTATCAATTTATTAGGAATTTTAGATCTGCATTCCATCAAATATATGCATATATTTATTCTCAAGTTAATAATTTTGGGTCTTAAATACTTATAAATTAATTTTTTTGTTTTTTCTAAGGTTTTTGTAGTCCATTTTTAGCAAGGTTAAAAAACAAGCACGGAAGTATCCTTATTAACCAATCTAATCAAATCAAATAATTTTTTTGTATTTAAGAAAAAAAAGCATAATTTTAAACATTCTGAAGTTTGAGGCTCGATATCTTTGAAACGGCTTGACTTACGCAAAAAGTCAATCAGACCTTTTTTGTAGAGCATTAAATTTCCTATAAGGAGCAATTTCGTCATACTTATAAAGTAGCTCGTTATCACGTTACAAAATTCCAAATTTGAAAATAAAAATTTCCCATGTTATTTAAATGGGAAATAGAAAATTACAAAACGCCACCTCTAAATATTAATATTAAGAGCTCTTACTTTCACAGGGTCATTTTCTAGAGATACTCTGACGAATTTTCAATGTTCTTTGAAAAAAAAATAGTCGGTTTTTTTGAGACACTCTAGTGTAAATGGTTATGGAACCTTTAGTGTAAAAAATAAGGATCCCAAGTAGCACAGCTTTTTATTATTGTTATTGGGGCAAAAAGTAATATCATAAACATTAGTGTGTCGATCATCCGCTTTTTTCAAAATGTATTTGGAAATAGCAAAAAGGAGGCAAAAAAAATGATGTGCGAAGCCTTCGCAGCGAAGGAAACAAATTTTTGGTTTGGTATAGGGTTTTAAAATTTCCGGAAAAATTGAGCCGGCAGAAAAAAACCGTTTGTTTCGAAAAAAAACCTGAAACATCGGGAAATTTTCAGGGAAATTGACATTTGGGTATTTCCACGAATCCTTACCCCAACCTTGACAAAAAATCAGATGTGTTATTTAACAAAATAACAACTATATCTGAAGTCAAAGTTTAATTGCGACGTAATTTATAACCTTTAAATATTCGTACATTGTGATGCTAAGAAGCTAACATTAAGAATAAACACGAAAGAGTTTCAATACTAGATAAAATGTTCAAATGTCGCACCCGTTACATTTTGAGAAAATTTTAGAAAATAAAGTATGCAATTTTTGTGCATTTAAAATACGTGCTTAATTAAGGTTACTATTCAAGTTTTACACAAAAAGTTATTACTATATGCTTTCATCCAAATTTTACAGTATCAACTTAAGAAGCCAACTTGGTCGCATTTGCCGATTTTTTAAGGTCGCGCCCGTTACGCTATTCATGACGTTATAAAAAGTTGTCTATACAAGTTTTTATTGAAATTTTGTTTGATCTTGATATAATATAGGTATATTATATAAACAAACACTATTATCATGAAAAAACGCAGTTTTAGTGTCGCACCCGTTACAATGAAAATACCCATTTGCATTTTTTTCATTTTATTCAAAGAGTAATAAGAAAAAAAAGAAAGTCAATTTTTCTGAAAATTTCCAAATATCTATCAAGAAAAAAGTGAATTTTCGACACATCGATTTATAAAATTATAATTTTGTTATTTAACTTTATAAATCATTCATTATTTTGTAAATGGATATTTTCAGTGGACCCAAGGACCCAACCGACGTTTACGTTTATTTTCTTAAGTCAATTCAATTCAGTTTTATTTGTATTTTTTCTGTACTAAATTTATCATCCTTAAGAATATATATTTTTAAATTAAAATAATTTTAAGTTTGCTTTGTACTTTTCAGAAAAACATCAATTTTTCCTAAAAAAGACAATTTTTCAAAGGCCCGGGAAAAAAACGGAAGAAAACAGACTTTCCCCCCAATTTTTCCGTTATTTTTTTCGACACTTGAAAACCCTAGTTTGGTAAAAAGTTTTTTATTTTTTTTAATGTCTAAAAAATATCTTTTTCAATTATCGCACAATTCAGAGATAATTGCGATTTCAGTCATAAAAATGGAAATTTTAAGATATAATCGCAATTTTTTAAATTACCTCTGAAACCACAATATTTATGAGATAATTAATAATGACCTTTTTGTAGAGAATTTAATTTAGTTAGTAACAAAATTTATAAAAAAATGTTTACTTCTAAAGAACATTTTTTTTTTACTTTCAGTTTTAAGTGCAATTGGCGAAATTACATTTGTATATAATTTTTTAATCACCATAAAAAGATTAATATTTTTGCTATAACAAAATTTAAAAGCGGATATTCGACCCACTCTTTTAATTAATTAATAAAAAAAATTGCGTCAAAATTTTCTATTTGGACTATTTTGGACGGGCTTTGGTAATTTTAATTAAATATATTTTTTAGTACAATTTATTTTAGAAGTTATATTAAGTTATATTTACTTTTAATTTTAACCAATGAAAATGGTTTCTAACAAAAAGAGACGCCAATAATTTGTATTTATTTGTTAATTAAAAAAATAATAAAACATTATATTGTTTTAGGTTTAAAGGTATTCTAAAGCAATTTCAAACGAAATATTACTTTTTTTTAATTCTTATTATTATCAAAGCGCTTTCATCAAATATGGAATTATTATGTACTACTTTATCAATTGTTTTTTTTTGTTTTAACTACCAAAGCTTTATTAAATAAAATCTATCTCTTTGAGATATTAATTTCGGAGACATTTTATTTCACTTCTTTAAACAAGTCATATACAAATATCCATATTTAGTACAATATAGGTACCGTAAACACGGGTGGCTTTAGCTCACTTTCAAACTTAAGCTTAAAATGTTTGTGGTTTTAACAATCATAAACATTAAATTTTGTATACCAAAATTTGAGTCTTGAGTTGCTCTTTCATAATACCTATGTTATATTAAATAGGTTAAAGAGTTTCAAAAATAAAAATTAAAAACTGGGTGTTCAAAGTTACCCCCTGGTTGCAGGTAACTTTGTTTCACAGTATATTTTTCGTATAAAATTAACTCAATATTTTATTTTATTTTTATTAGACACGTGTTAGCAGCAACATATATCTATGGCAAGGGATTACCGATAAAAAAAATAAAAAATCGACCTGTAGTTAACCAAGGATCATCATTCCAAAGGATTGCGCATAATATAGAAATTGTAACGCGTGTATTTTTCTAAGAGTTTTGCACTGATGGGATATATACAATTTTAAAGTGTAATAAATCTCATTTCTTTCTTTAAATCACTGATTTTCCTGTAATTTAAACTCAATAGAATCGCTCAATTGACAGGTTTAGACCAACAAATTATAAATGTTAATTTTATCGAGCGCGAAAAGATTTTTCAAAAAAGGGTTAAAGTCACCCGCGGGGTGCAAAGTCACCCGTGTTTACGGTAGTCAAATAAACTTTAACCAGTAAATTTTCACACTTCATTCTTAGTTAACCAAAAAGTTAAATTAACCTAACATAACGTTAATTCAATCATAATTTAATTCCCCACTTATTCCAAAATAACGTTAATTTAACCAGTTGTGATACTTGGGATTGCTCTATCTTTTATCACTTTTATTTAAGGTTTGAACTTACGTTTAGAGAATTTTTCGTCTTTATCAACGGTTTGGATAAGTTGAGATATGTGGAATACTAATTCAGAAATATGGTGGAGAACCAAAAGGCACACCAAGAGACGGTTGAAACTGAAATAAATAATTATACATTATATTGGCGGATGGAAATATCTTTCTTTATAATTGTTTTTGCTTGATTTCATACCCCAGAATATATATTGCATGACTTATTTAAAAAAAAATTCTTCAACAATGGTTTTAGTCTCAGAATAATTTCAATATAAATTTAAAAGTATTATTAATTCATATAACAAAATAATATGTAAAATGTTTAAATACACTGCGCGTCAAAATTAACGCATAATAAGAGATGTAAAAAAACGGTTTTTAGTTTTTTTTCAAAATGAAACTTTGAGTTAAATGTATATTAATAATAAAGTGAAATGTAGAATATATTACATTTTTTATTATTGAAAATTTTGACCGAGACTAAAAAATCTGATTTCTTATTATTTGGTAGTTTCCACATAAGAAACCTTCTCCACTAATAGAAAAAATTAAAGGATAAAAAAAATTTCAAATTTTTTGCGATTTTTCGGATAGCTGTATCTTCGTTAAAAATGGTCGTATTGGAGCCGTAAAAAAGCAATTTGAAGCTTGAAGTTTCTAGTTTTTAGATTCTTAGATGAAAAACGTGCAACGCTCAATCCTAACGAATACCGTAATAAAAAAAAATTGGCTTTCTTTTTTGGTAGACGGAATGTTCTGACTTAACCACCAATGAATAAATGTTCTACAAAAATTTGCTATTGTTTTTTATTGAAAAAAATATTCCATACTCAATCATGAAAAAAGTGCTTTTGGTAGCTTTTTGAAAAATCAAGCGCTGACTCAAAAATATTATAGGTAGTTACTTTTTTAGGACCAAATCAAAACAAGCGCGGCCCTTTTTGGTCAATTCGGTGGTGGTGGCGCGTGCATAGGGCGAGACTGTATTTACATTTACTAAATGTCATTTAGTGGCTAATTTTAGTCCACGAATTGGACTGGAAACATAAAAAATTAAGCAAATGGGACTAATCTTGAAAAAAAATCATTAAAAAAAAACAATGGAAAAAACCTGAAAAAAACGGACCATTTTTTTCAAGTCGCATCTCTATTCACAGCATATTTTTTATTTAATTTAAAAAAAATTTCCCTATAAAAGTTTTTTTGAGCATTTTTTTTATTATAATAAATGAGTGTTAAAGGATATTTTCTCAAAAACCCTTGAACACATAAACTGAGCTATAGTAAGTTAAAGTATTTTTATCCACAATTTTTTACTTGTTATGCGTTAATTTTGACGGGCAGTGTAATAATATCTGTTGGGTAAAATATTTAAATGTTACAAAAAAAAGCGGATCAAATTAAAATGTATCATAAAAAATAATAAATATTATGCTTAGACATAATATTAAATAATTATTATTATGCCTAGACATAATAATAATTCGCTAATTTTCCTATCTGTTTCCAATAATTTGAAATAAATTTATGCTTGACATATGTATATTCCATAATTTTAAAAAACCTACTTCAATTTTCTTTTACATTTAAAACATTTTAAAAAGTGAAATGGCGTGCCATATTTCTCAAAAGTAATTGTTTCATTGAAGTGTTCAAAGTTTTTACTTTTTAATTTATTGTAAAAATAAATTTTTCATCGCCGTTTTAAGCTTAATTTTCATGTATCCGTTTATCCGTTAGTCGGATCATCCGGGAGCGCTCTTATTGGTCCAATTACACAGTACGACAAAATTTGATTTTTGGTCCCTCCCATGAAAAATTTCTACAGATTCTAAAAATAGAGTTAAAAAAATGATACCCGTGTCTCGGCGTTTTTTCACATCACGTCATAATTTTTTTTTAAGGGCTATCCAATAAAATGTTATTCACACTATTCGCGACATAATTTAATAGACTCGATAACAGCTGGACTGCATAGTTAAAAATATATATATTTACTAAATGGATAGGCAACCATTATAGATGCATTTTAAAATTATTTTAATCTTATACAGAGTTTTGCACATTTATATATATATCAAACGGTTTATTTTTAAACCAAGTAACAAAATGTTTCAATTTTAAGCCAATCAAAATTAAAGTCGGGTGATTAAAATTTTTATTTATTTATTTTTTTTTGTAAAAATTGAGCTTTGTTGAATTAACATTTTGAAAAAAAATTAAAAGATATTTAAATGAATTGATTTAAGTCTTAAAACAAGTGTACCTAAAACATATTTAATTTAAGTAAAAAAACAGCAAAAAAACAAAAAATTTACACATCTGCGGCATTTATACATAAAAAGCATTGTTTTCAAAACAATCTTTATACGAGGGTAATACTTTTTTTTAAATGTTAAATAAAAACATTATTGCAGCGATAAATCGATAAATTTTTCATATTAATTTTGATTGTTGAGTTAACCATCCATTTGAAATCAAAGTAAAAATGCAGTGTTCGAATCGAAATAATTTTTGTTATGTATGTGGTTTATTTGCACCTCCAAGCCATATGCGAAATATTACAAAAAGTGTAGTAACAGCTTTTGAAGACTATTTTTTGGTGACGTATATACAAACTTACCGTTGTTTGCATGGATTGCAAGATAAAACACATATGTTCCACCAACAATTTGGCTTCGACCCGTCGCGACGTACCGAACACGCATCTGACCAGTGTTATTTCTGCATGTCAAAATTTAAAAGTTTAGGATTTCGGTACAATACTAGAGAGAAAATTGATTACGCCGATGTAGAATCCGTCATTCTCGCAAGAGTGCGATCTGAAGATTATCCAACTTTTTTATGACGTGATCTCGTGAAACTGTGAGACAAGGGTACGTTTTTTTTACCTCTATTTTCAAAATCTGCTAAAATTTTTCATGGGAGGGAAATCGTGTTGTACTGTGTTATAATTCGAAAGTTATGACATTTTATCGGTCCGTCAAGTTTCAACTTCGTACGTCTGACGGAGAAAGTTAAAATAATTTTAACTAAGCTGTCACTACTCTGTTTTTGACGCCTAACGTTATTTTAAGATAATTTATTTTCAAATCTTTTATTATTTTTTTAATAAGATTGTAAAACGGAAATATTACGTTCGTTATGTGAATAATGTTCTACTGTAATGTTTTTATTTAATAAGAATAACCGAAACAAAGAAATGACAAACAAAAAATATTAAAACCAGAACTAAAAGGACCTGCTTTTTTAAAACTATACATTTTAATGTATAGGTAATGTATTAAGGCTAGTATATTCTTTTTATATGGTATATTAAAATATTAATATTTAAGTTTATTAGACAACTGTTAAAGTTACAATTAAGGGGCCTAGAAGTAAAAGGGTTTAAGTGCATTTTTGTTAGTTCTGCTTTAAAGTTAACTTGAATTTTAAAATTAGAGAAGAGTTTAAAAAACTGTGTGAATATTTTAGTTTTGTTTAAAGACTAAAAAGGATTATAAAGAAAAAGAAATTTTTCAATTTCGCTTTTTTGTTAATTTTTTTTACAAAAATGTACTTGAATCGTCATGCATGTAAGACAAAATTTAGTGGTAAAATGATTTAAATGCAATTACTGTACTAGAACAAAACTTTATTTTTTAAAATTTGGGTAATTACCCAGCAACACACTAGTCCGGCCATGCAATGGCACATTAATGGGTCATTGTATTATGTAATGGCCCAGTAATGCGCCTTTGCATGGCCGGAATAGTGTGTTTGCTGGGAAGTTTTACAACAAAAAGTATTATTCATAATCACAATCTAATACAACGTTTTCTTCATCTGAATTAGCTGGTCTTGGTTGGGGTTGACCTAAAATGGATTTTTTTTGGCTCAATACTATGGTCTTAGTTTGTTTCTATTTTTCTGATGGATCTCGATCGTGCTCTATGTTTTTATAAAATAAGTGGTAAATTGGCGGAATATAGTCCAATAAGGTACCTTAGTAAATTTTTGTGCTTAGCGGCTTTTTTTTAGTTTTTGCTGGAGTTACCTGGCCTTCTTCTTCTACTTCTTCATTGATGTCAGGAACATAGTTACTATGTTGAATCCTCATCAGTCTGGACCGATGCCATAATCGTAACGCTGGCCGATGTCGTTCCGACCCCGGTCACACTATGTCGAAACGAGCTACTTGTCAAGGCTTTAGCAGCATAGATAATAGCCTATGTTTAGCAGTAAAATTTTTTGACAGGTTTTTAAAGACGATAAGAAATGGCGCCAGGGAATGTAAAATGTACTTATATAATTTTACCATTAAGTTAGAATATTCTTTAGGTGTGATATTCTGCACTTAAACCATTTATTTAAAAAAGAGCACTTGAACCGTTTTACTTCAATTGTTGACATAATTGTAACTATGAAAATTAAGCATTAGGTAAATTTAGTAAAGTGAATATACTGACCCTTAATTTCTATTTGTCGCCAAATCAATCCGTTAAACGTCATTAAAAAACGGATGCATGAAAATTAGAACATTTCTTGTCGGACGATTTTATTGAAAAATGAACAAACGGATACATGAAAATTAACCTTTATGCATTTTTTTACTTTTTCGTAAGTTAATTAATAAGAACCGTGGAGATTTCTTGAAAGATTTCTACCTACCGTGATAATACGATTCATTTGTTGGAAAGAAAATGACAAATAAACGAAAACCTACCAAAAATGATTTCAGTCCAAAACTTTCAGAAAAATCAAAATTGCAAATTAACTTTACAATAAAAATGATGTGTCACATATTTTGGGGGTTTGTTATCAAGCAAAAACTTTGATCAAGAATGACATTTAAAGAAATTAAATTTTAAATGTCTTTGAATAAGACAATTTAAAGTTTCTTATTCACACCAAAGATACCGATTTCAGGGCTACAAAGTTAAGGTTTTCATAATTTTACGTCATTTAAGTAGAAACGAAAGTCAGATAATCACTTACTTCAAGAAATACGGTACGGCGACGAGGATCAAGGCGGCGGTGCTGGCCACGACCTTCTCGACGATCTCTTCGCGCTTCACCCTCTGGAAATAGAGTTCGGGCAGTTCGTGCAGAGAGTAGGCGAGTTGGATGATGACGTAGAGTTTGGCGAGGAAGGTCATCGGTGCGGGGTAGTCGGCCCACAGGCGCGAGATGTCGGGGACGTAGTGCTCCTTGACGGCGATGTCCAAGCCCCAGCCGGCCGAGATCAGGTAGAACACGGCCAGTTGACCGCTGGTGGAGAAGATGGCCAGCTTGGATTTGGACAGGTGGAGTTTTTTGGAGATTTTCTGAAAAAATGATGATGATATTTTTGCTGTTTTTTGTCTTTAAAAAAAGTACTAGATTGTTATTAAAGGAGGTATACAGGGTGTCTCACCAGCGATGGTACCTTAGACGTTTACGGAGAACGGCTGAGGATATCAATTTGAAATTTTTAGAGCCAATTATTGTACAATTTAATCTACCTTTTAAAATTATTTTGAATAAAATTCCTTTTCCGGTTTAACCGGAAGCGACATGAACTTTGATATTTCCAATGGAACACCCTGTAAATTTTTAAATTCCTCATGAAATTCTTAATGAAATTGCTGTACCATTCCCTATACCTAAACTTAATAGTTTTCGAGTGAATAATTTTTTTCGTAAAATTTTGACAGTTGCACCTTCCTTAAAAATTGCATATAACTTTTTTGATATTCGGTTTGCTGGTATGCTGTAAGGATTTTTGGAATCTTAAAACATTGTTTAAAGATTCCATGTCTGAAATTTTCATATTTATGATCAAAAACTAGAGAAAAATCGTGGTAAATTTGGTTAACTTCAAACATTAATAACTTGTTTATTTTCAATGTATGTATGCATGTTTTTACATAATCAAATAGAAAAATGAATTACATTTCGATTAGTATAACCATTCCCTATACCTACATAGTAAGGTTTCGGAAAAACAAGCAAATTTCTGTAAAAATCCAATATTTTGACATATTTATCTCAGATACCGATGAAATGTCACAACGGAATCTCCTAGGCTCCGCATTTTAAAATGTTTGCAAGTCAATGGTCGCCATTTTGAACATTTATTAAAATAGTATTTTGGTTGTTATTTTTTTTCATCGCGTTTTTTATAATTTATAATAATTAAATTTTTAAAACTTTGTTTAATTGTTGTTTTCCATTATTTTTAAAATATCTTCCTTCAGAAATGTATCAACTGTCAATCAATGACGTACTAATTTGTTGTGACATTTCATCGCTATCTGAGATAAATATGTCAAAATATTGGATTTTTACAGAAATTTGCTTGTATTTCCGAAACCTTACTATTTAGGTAAAGGGAATGGTTATAACAATCAAAATGTAATTCATTTTCCTATTTGATTATGTAAAAACATGCATACCGTTCCATTGAAAATAAACAAGTTATTAATGTTTGAAGTTAACTAAATTCTCAGAACTCCCAAATCATTGAGTTTAACAAAATTGACTTAAGAACATTTTTTGAAGAAAATTGAATGCTCTACAAAAGGTTTGATTGGAATTTCCCGTCAGATGAACCCTTTTCTTACAATCATGCCTTAAAAATTGATATAGTTTTACAATTTGATCTTTTAACTTTGGAATTTTGTAATTCCCGTAAAAATCAGTACCCTGAAAAAAAATATTCTTATGGGAAATCAAATGCTCTACAAAAAAAGTCTTTTATCATTTTTGGCTAAATTCACTCCATCAAAAGTTATTCAAGGTTAACTTTGAAGTCAAAACGAAATTATAACCTTGAATAACTTTTGATTGAGTGAATTTAGCCAAAAATGTTAAAGAGGCTTTTTTTGTAAAGCATTTGATTTCCCATATTTATCGGTTTTTATTTTGGGTACTGATTTTTACATGAATTACAAAATTCCAATTTAAAAGATCAAAATGTAAAACTTAGAGATGGGAAAATTCCCATTTGACGAAAATTCCCGGAAACTTTCCATCGAAAATTTCCGAAAGTTTCAAAAAAAATTTTTTTATTGCGAAAATATTTTTTTTTAAACTAATTAAGACCTATTTAAGATCCAATATAAGTCAATTCAGGCTTTCAAATTTAGCAATTATAAGTATTGAAGAAGATATTTCTAACAACTTGGATGTAGGCGTCTTGATTAGTGAATTTGCTATTAAAAAAGCGAGAAAAGTGGATTTTAGTTTTTTAGTTTAGTTTAATTATTTTTGTTTTTTTTTCCTGAATGTATTTTTATTTTATTCTTTTATGTATTTGTTAATAAATACTTTGTTATTTTACTATAAAATTTGTTATATGTTTATTGAGAATGATAAATTATGAACTCCTTCCCTACCGACAACCTAATTTTTTACATTAATGGGGGCGGCAAATTTAATTCTTGCACCCGGGCGGCAGATACCCTAGGCTCGGCCCTGTATGTAGGCAGCATGCCGCAGCACGTGGTCAATTAAAAACTTTTTTAGTTGCGTTATGTATAAATATCATAATAATTTTACACATACCATGCATGCCAGCCTGCCAGCTTTGTTTCTTTTTTCAAGATTGTATATTGTTTATAAGTTTCCTGAGCAATGATAATTTATATTAGTTTTCATTTTAAGTGCAATGCTATATGTTTTAGCATTGTGTAAAATATTGTCTGGTTGTGTTTGTTGCCTGTTTTTTTTTCAAGAATTTAATTTATACTTTATGTTATTAATTATTAATATATTAATAAATGTTTGAAATTTTTAACTTGGTCTTGTTCACCCCCCATTTTTCGTGTGTAGTTGGCCGATTTTTCTGAATTTCCCGGGCCGGTCTGATATAGCCAGCACGCCCCTGAATATATTATTTCATATTTCACTTTTTAAAATTTCATAACCTGCCCTACTTTTCGCAATTTAAGGGACACTCCTTATGAAAAAAAATTGTGCTTTGATAATTTTTGAAAAATCACTGGCAAAAGATTTTAGCAAACAATTGTCAAAAAAAAAGATTGCAATGATGCTTTTAACCAAGTCAAAATAAAAATAACTATTGTTTAAAAAATAATTTAAAATAAAAAAATTAAAGATATAACCAACATTTGTTTGAGATTTTTTTTTAAATAGACAGTTATTTTGAAATCTGCAATTCTAAAATCATGCTAAAAATCATTTGTTTAACTTTCATGTTTTAATTTTATTATTTAACTCCTAATATTTAATTTCAATTCAAACCCTCAAGGTCAAAGAATGAATAGGTAAAGTATTAATACTTTATAATACTATTAATAATTAATATGATTATAAAATTTATAATAATATTAATTATAATTAATTAGTATGAAAGTATTAATACTTTACCTATTTAATAATAGTACATAAAATCTTTGTGGGCTTACTAAGAAAACTAACCACTTAGTTGCAATGTTTAAATAAAATCAAGTTTTTATTAAAATTTAAATGTCATTTTTTTGGTAGTGTTAAACAGTATTCTTAGGTAATTCTAATTCAAATCATCAAAGTTTTGATTTTGACTTTTGGCAGTAAGCCCACGATTTATAATAAAAGAGAAAAACATTGGATAACTTTTTTTTCAAAAAATCAAAATTTAAATCATCAACTTTCTTAAATAAATTTAACTATTTCATTTCAAGTTAGTTCATAATCCCATATTTAAAAAATTTAACTCAAAAACCTACATTTATGTATTAAAAAATAATGAGACATGTACTTAATAATAACACTTATAATTTTTATAAAAGTACCTTATCCAAGCAATAAATGCCGTTTAGATAACACATTAATGACCTTGGGTCAAAATTTCTTATTTTAAATTTTTTAGACTTGAATTGCCATATTAATTATAATTTAGTAATATTTAATAGAGAAAGGGGATTTCTATTCTTGTTTTTAATTAATTTAATTAACAAAATAAGAATTTTACAAGTGAAATAATTTATATAATAAAAATTAATACCTAACTGTAGAACATTTAAATTAAAGTTAGGTACTTATTTTGAAACTTTTCTTATAGCATGTGTTTTTATTATTTTTTAATACTGAATACAAAAAAATCACACTATAATTTATTATTTAATGATGATTTCCTATATGGTACCATTAAAAGAACCGTTTTTAATTCATAATTAATTAGTACTTACATCCAATCCATATTCTTGAATGATGGCATGAATAACAACACAAATTAAACTGTAAAATGCAACTGAACCCCAATCTTTTATTCCCGAAGTGTAAAGAGGAATTTCTCCAGCTTCAGTCACATTATGTTGGAGGCTGATGAAAATTGAAGCTATTGGTGCTGTAGCCTAGAAAATAAAAAAATTAACATTCAACATGTTGGATTCCATATGTCAGACAGTTCATTTAGTTTTGATATGAAATAGTAGGATCCATCACATTGCATTTAATGTGTATCAATGTAAACACGTGTTTTTCGAAAAACATTCACTCACCTGAAACATAAGGCCCACCACGAACACCATAGCGATGCAAGAAACGATATCTGCATGGTTTTGGATGATGAATTCGTGACTTAAGATCGGCGGATTTTTGTTGGAGGTCTTCCTCACCGGTTTTACCATTTTATTTGTGTTTGGTAACTTAATGAACTAAATAAAAACTACTTCCACCGTATGTTAGCCCGGCACCAAGAGAATCTATGACGATGTGTGTGTGTGAAGCACTGCCACCGAACCCGATCAAATTTACCTCAAGTGCCACGACGAAACACGTCAACAATCGAAACTGGATAAACAACCTTTCTCGAGAGTTCATTGCAGTGTTGCCAGATGTATTTTACGAAAACTCTTTAAGTCAAAATTCTTCAATAGTGGCTTTACAAGGACTCTAACTCACAAGACACTTCTTACGCGTAGCCATAGTTTTCTGGACAATTTTATTATAATTTTAATAGCACCAAAGGTATTCGCTAAAATATATATACTTTAATTTTAAAATTCTTTGTATTAATGAAAATTATCCATAAACGGCAACACTGGTTCATTCCGCCTGGACAGTGGACAAACGAACTACTTTTGACACATATCAAATTCCCCTTTTTAAAACTTTTACAATTATTAATTGATTTAAAATAAACTTTTTATATTTATTTAGGATATAGTTTAATATATATGCTAATCTGTTTAGTACATTGGCAACAATATTTATTTTAAAGAAACGATGCATTTTATCTACCGTTTTCAAAATCTTTAAAAAAATGTTTATTTAAATATTTTGAAGCCATATACAATGTAGTTGTAATAAATATATTATTTCTAAATTATTTGTATAATAATTTGGTTATTTTAATTGGTAGATTATACCTAATGAATTTTAGATACTCTTTACACTTTTATATAATGCAAATTAGGAATTTTGAACGAAATTCCTGTGTCTCTTGCGTAAAAAAGTTTGACATTTCTATAATTATCAAAAATTGTGTCATTTTAGTGCAATACACAAAATTGTTTCTGTGGCTGTGTTTTAAATCCATTTGTTAAATGTAAACATTTTAGTGATATACCACCATTTTAATGGCATCTAATATTTACGGATACATTCCCCGAATTAGTGTGGACGGATTTGTAAGTAATTTTGCTGAAATTAACACCTATGTCAATACTTATCGTTAATACGTGCATAATTTTGTTAAGGGAATTATCAATTTTAATAGAAAGCTGAGTTTGAAAGAAATATAACCTATTTTTGTGCGTAATTAATCAGTTTTAATCTTTAACAAAAACATTATCCTAATGAGTGTTCTAGTAAATTTTAAGATATAGATCTGAGTTGAAAATCAGTAAAAATGACATCCTATGAATTGTTGCAGACAGAAGAACCTACTGTAAAGCTAAAGTTGAAGATATTGAGAGGAAAAAATCTTATGAAAAAGGATATTTTTGGGGCATCGTAAGTACACTTGTAACTTACAAGTTGTAAGTGCAATTCCCACAACACTAGTATAATAATCTTGAATTTTAGTGATCCATATGTGCGAATAGATTTAAATGCCATAAATGGTGATGACACAATTGATTCTGTGCTCACAAAAACAAAGAAAAGGGTAAGTTTAACAAAAATATAAAAATGCAAAGGATTTTTTGTTTGTTTAAATAAGATTAAGTGGGGCATGTTTATGTTTAATAATTATGTTATTTTGTTTATTGTTAAATTGTTTTTGTTTTTCAGACACTTTGTCCAGAATGGAATGAGGAATTTATATTCAGGGTAATTAAATATTTTTTTAAATATATGAAGGTTAAAATTAACATTTAAATCTGATTGTACACAGGTAAAACCTGAAGAACATAAATTGATAGTGCAGGTTTTTGATGAGAATAGACTGACGAGGGATGATTTTCTTGGATTGGTGGAACTGCCCCTTGTAAATATTCCAAGAGAACAAGATGGTAGAGCCACCCCAGTTCAAAAATACTTATTACGACCAAGAAGGTAATTTCTATTTTTATTTGCTATATGATGGGTTCTTTTCTTAATTTCTTATCTTAACTTTTGTCTATCTATTTTTTAAATATTAGCATTTCATTCACTTATTATACAATGTGTGTTAAAGTGACTCATGCATATGTTAATAATTATTGGTATTTTTTTTATCTGAAATTAAACATGTTAATAATACTAGTTTTGTTCTCATTAAAACTTTATCTTTCAACGTATTTTTTAAAGCTTATCAGTTAAAATTTAAAATTTAATTAATGTGCAAATGTTAACTTTTGTTGTGTGTGAATTGTTTTTGTTTACAAATTAATATTAATAATTAGTTTTTTTGCGAGTTTATTTTTGTGTGATTCTTAAAAAAAATTATAAAATATGTTCTTATGAGAAAAGTATCAAAGATTGCAAAGATGTGCAAATTTTAACTTTTGTTGTGTGTGAACCTTTAAATTCTTTTTGTTTACAAATGAATATTAATAATTTAAAATAATTATTTTTTTTTGCGAGGTTATTTTTGCGTGATTCTTAAAATTTTTTATAAAATATGTTCTTATGATAAAAGTACCAAAGATTGCTGCAGTTTAGTGCAACTTTTTCTATGGTTTAATAATATATAATATAATCACAACTTATGCAAAACAAACTTAACAATTATTGATACTTTAAAATATTAAAATAACTTTAAAATATGATTTTGGTAAGAAAATATTTTTTTGTATCCTTAATAGAAAACAGCCACTTCATTAGCTAGAATTTAATAAAGAAATGTTTTACTAATTAACAACACTTTAATAGTTAGCAAAATTTGACTCATTAGCAATACAACCATACACATAAATCTGACATTTAACGAAAAAAATTATTCACAATTTTTATGTTCATAAATATTAAATGTACAATTAAATATATTTTGGAATGAAATTCCATTTGTACTTTTGAAATCAGGAAGCTTAAAATATTCAGCAATTTTTCTCGGCAAACTATAAAATGTGTTGATCCCCACTGGTTGCACAGTGCATTTACCATTCCGGTAACAAACGAAAAATCTGGAGTGATTCGTGTTTTGTGGCCTTAATTTACGATACTTCCGATACAACTCAATTCCGTTCGCTTCCGAAGTTTTGATAAAAACTCGCTTCTTTTTCGTTTTTGTATTACGTACTGTTAGGATAAAAACTGATTCTGTGTAGCGAAACAGCTGTCAAAAAATTTAATAAATTTCGTGAAACTTTACAACAAAATTGTTTTTATATCTACATAGTTAATATGGAGTTTCATCAAGTAAAGGTCGAAACAATTAATGATTCATTCTCTTCTATATCGTTAATTGTTCGTATTTCTTTCCCTCGCATGGCTACATTTAAAGCAAAAATTAATGCCACTTTCATAAATAGGTAGGTACGATTCATTCGAAGCGTCATTAAGCCTGCAACAGTGACGATGCCTTTAGATTTTTGGACTAAAAATACAAAAAAAAAAGAGAAAATTTATTTTTTAAAAGCGTTAGCTTCTTACCTTTCGCAAAAAAAACGCTAGCATAACATTTACCTTGTACCCCTTGATTCTTTCTCCATTTACAGAATTGTTCAAAATTTTTATCATATTTTTCTTTTGCTTACATGGAAGCAGATTTTGAGTCTCTCTTCTTTCGACAAAATTCTGTTTTTTATTTAATTTTTTGTCATGCATTGTTACGGTTTACTTTTCATAAGCAACTATGTTAAAGATTGTAAAAAACAATTTTTGTTAAAATATTCTTAAGTTTTCCACTTTTTTCATTAAGGATACAAAAAAATAGCATGTTCAACAATGATTCAAATAGATTTAGTTAAATGAACTGAACTTTTTCTTTATCTATGAAATACTTACGCTAATTCAAATAGATTTAGTTACCTGAACTGAACTTTTTCTTTATCTATGAAATACTTACACTAAATCTTCGTTCATACTTAAGAAATAATTTTTTATTTAATAAAATCATCTAAAACAGAAAAAATAAGGTGTTTATGGCACGACGTTTTAGCATTTATTAGATAAGAGTTTAAAGATTACAGTTTAGCACTTAAATTATGTTTTAACAGAAATTTATAAAGTTAAATTTTTTTATACTCAAAACAATTCATAGTCACAAAATATTTTAAATATAAAATGCAACAGTAAAAATGTATGTTTAAAAATATTGATTTTTAAAAGTTTTGGTAATATTTTACTCTAAAAAATTATTGGTTAAAATTTTTAAATGATAGTTGATAAATTTTTAATACAAATTCTCACATTACATTAAATGTAAGTTTTAAATTTTAAAGTAGTAAAGTAGTAGTAAAAATTTATCGACTATCATTTAAATGACTCTTTACAAATTTAAACCAAAATTTTTTATTTTTAACAATTTTAAAGTGATATATTTTTAAGACAAAATTTATAACTTTACATTTAAATGTAAGTCGATAATTTTTAAATTACAAAGTGTAGTAGAAGGCACAAGAGTCTGGGATCGGAGCCACGATGCAGCCAGTTTGATCCGTTGTTGTTTTTTAACTTAGTACAATAGGCACTAAAAATGTTGTTGTTCTATTATTAAATTTATGTAATAAAGAAACATTTCATTACGATAATTTGTAAAACGCGTCAAATATTTATTAAGCAAGCACGATTTGGCAACACTGCGGATCAAACTGGCTGCATCGTGGCTCCGATCCCAGACTCTTGCGCCTTCTACTAAAGCTACGTTTACACTTTGTAATTTAAAAATTATCGACTTACATTTGAATGTAAAGTTATAAATTTTGTCTTAAAAATGTATCAATTTAAAATTGTTAAAAAAAAAGTTATTGGTTTAAATTTGTAGAGTCATTTAAATGATAGTCGATAAATTTTTAATGCAAAAATTACCACTTTAAAATTTAAAACTAACATTTAAATGTAATGTTCAAATTTTTGTATTGAAAATTTATCGACTATCATTTAAATAACTCTTAACAAATTCAAACCAATAATTTTGAAGAGTAAAATATTAAAATTCCATTTTTTTAATATTAATATTTTTAAACTTTTACAGTTGCATTTTATATTTAAAATATAATTTGATTATCAATAGTTTTGAGTTTACAAAAATTTAACTTGTTAAACTATTTAGGTAGAAAATGTTTTATATGTGTTTTTATTTTAAATGGATTGATACTATTTTTAAATACTAAAAAAATTAACTTTTCCAAATTAATCTCAATAATTTTATAAAATATTTATTTAAGTTAAACAAAATGCCACCCAAATAAATTATACTTGGGAAATTATTTTTATTAAATTTTTTTTGCAAAAATTGATAGAAAATAATATTGTTTAATACAGAAGTGAACTGTTGGTTAGTAAATTTTGTCTTTCAATACATGATAGTTGAAAATATTATAAATTTATAAATGAGGAGCATCCGTGCAAAACCGGCTATAATAAAATGTTGGGAAAATGGCAAAAACTCTCGGTTTCCTGGCCTTTGACTTGAGTTTTGTGGGCTTTGTGGTACTTGATTTATAAGACATACTTTCGTTTTCAAAAACTTTATATTAAGGCCAAAATTTCAAAAAATGTTTTGGATATAGCCGGTTTTGCTCAAAAACCGAATAAAATGTGAAAAAAAACCTTTATTATTCAAAAATATTAACAAAATAAATTTAGTGCAAACATGAAAAAACAGAAGAAATTTTAGTAGTAGTATCGACATATCCAAGCCACATGCTCATCATCATTATTATTTATTGGATATAGCCGGGTTTGCTATAAAAACGTGGATTTGGCCGGTTTTGCTCCTAAATCTACCTTTTAAATTTGATTTTAACATGGGTATAGTCGGATTTAAACAGAATTATCTTGGTTGTCGATAGAAATGAACCCAAAGATGCGAAATCAGAAAAAAAACAAAAACTGAATAAAATGGATTTAGCCGGTTTTGCACGGATGCTCCTCAAATGTAAACCTAAAATTTTTAGTTGGGAAAATTTTAAAGCAATAAAATTTTAAATTAAAAAATTATTTAATAAATGTTAGAACGGCGTGCCATAGGTGTGCTTTATAAAAATAAAAGTTAAAATCATCAGAAAAAGTAATATCTTGGTTGTAAATTAACACAGTTTATTATATATTTTCTTCCTGCATGTCTTTCTTTTCCTTCTGTTGTCCCTTTCTTCGACAACAACGTACGAATCTTCTCGTGCATCGTACGTATTGCATGCTCTACGACGGTTAAACGCCCGCCTCTTTTGTGCTCGTTTACTCAACGCAGTAGCGATTTCAGCGCGAGATCGAGAGTGCGAGGCCACCTCGAACTGTCCTGCGCCTATCTTCAAGACAGCGTCGTGCCGCCGATCGCCGCCCCCGAAGATCCGCCGCTGGACGACCAATGGGAGGTGGTCAGCGAGAGCAGGGAAGAATCGCCGGCGCAGGTAGGTCTTTCCATTTTTATTTAGTAATTGTAAATTCAAAAAATATTTTAGATTATTTCCCTCATTATAATATGAACCAATCAAAAGCCTTGAATTTTCGAATAAATTTCGTTTAAATAAGCGATTAAATCACTAGAACTATTTAACAGCGATTACATTTTAGCCTCCATATTGGATTTTTGTTTACGATTTTAGGGTGTTATTTACAAGTTTTAACAAACATTTTTTAAAAAACAATAAAAAATAATTTATCTAGTTTACGAAATATCAATTATTACTTATTACATACCTTAAAATATTTATAAATTTTGACACATACGTCAGATTTTATGAATTGTCAAATAGTTTCCTTTAATTCGAGAAATAATCTAGACGTATATCACTCAACCTATAAATTTAATCTGTCAAACTATGCTCAGTAAGTTTTTTATTTGATTTTTCTTTTTGGAAAATAGTTTCATGCAAAATAATTAAAAATAAAACCCCTCGACCGCTACGCGGTCTCGTGATTTTATTAAATTATTTTGCATTCAACATTTTCCAACAAAAACCAAACAAAAAACCACTGAGCCTAGTTTAACCGATTAAATTCATAGTTCTCGTGATATAATATATGAGTAGATGTATTATACAAGGTGTCCCTAAACTTAGTGGCGTAAATTTAGGAGCAAATTAAGCAAGTCAAAATAAGACGAAAATCTAAATAAATATTTTTCCTAATTACGTATGTTTAAAAGAAACAGGTTGATAAAGTGTTACTTATCACATCAGTTTTTTTAATATAACTTCTACTATGGTAGACTTGGAATGGTGAAATTTTGCGAACAGTCACTTACTACCAAAACACATATTCACACATAATTACAATTGTTCGAGTGAAACAGGGGTTGCTTAAGCTTATTGTCCCATACAAACTTTGAGGTTAGGTTTTTATACCATTTGATGCAATTTTTTTTACTCAGTTCGGCTACTATTAAAAAGGTGTACTACAATTTTTTTAATGTGACGGTCATGGAATGCCCTTTTTAGTTTTTTCAACTAAAATATAAAATTTGTTATCATATACCTTTTAATCCTTTTAAATAATGCGATATAACAATTATTGTAATCTCGAATATCTCGGAAACGGTTTATTTTATCGAAGTTTGAGAGATACACCTTTTTAATGGTAGCCGAACTGAGTAATCTATAAATTGCATCAAATGGTATAAAAACCTAACCTCAAAGTTTTTATGGGACAATAACCTTAAGCAACCCCCGTTTCTACGAAACTGTGTTCACTCAAACAAATATTATTATGTGTGAATATCTGTTTTGGTAGTAAGTGACTGTTCGCAAAATATCACCTGTCCAAGACTACCATAGTAGAGGTTATTTAAAAAAAAACTGATGATAAGTAACACTTTATTACCCTGTATCTTGGAAACATAAGTAATTAGGAAAAATATTTATTTGGGTTTTCGTCTTATTTTGACTTGCTCAATCTTTTCCTAAATTTATGCCAATAAGTTTAGGGACACCTTGTATACCGTAAAATTTAAAAGTATATTGTGGGTATCTTTTTTATTTAAAGAACTACAAAGTTGGTTAATGGCATTTAAAAATTGGAAATAAAAACTGCGATTCTCAAATAATTTGAAAAACTGAATAACTTTCAAAACCAAAAATCATTTCAACGTTATTTCTGAGAATTTGGAAAAAAAGTAAGTTGTACAGGGTGATCCCCTATATTGTCGCCCCCCTTTAACTTTTTTATTTTAAGTGTCCCAAAAAATTTGAAAGTGTGGTTATGTAGGTACTAAAAAATACTTTTTTGTACGTACAAAGAAAATTGGAAAATTCATCAGTATACACGGAAAAACAAAAAGTTTATTTTTTTTTCAATGGATCACCCTATATATGTATTTATTTTTCGATTCCTTGTAAAATTCTAAGCATATTTCATATAACACACCATATACCTAAATTCAACTGTTTCTAAAATATTTAAATTATTTTTAAGATAATAAGTTGAAATATTTCGTCTTTCTCTGTCTGAGTACGCCATTTTTACTTATTTAACAAGACTACATAATGTCACTATAGTAATTTATTTTCAATACAAATTTTGGTATACTGAGGCTTCTTGATTCCTAACAGTTTAAAAAAACATTTAATGATAACATTTCGAATGCGAATATTTCAGAAACGGTTGAATTTAGGTTTATGGTTTGTTATATGAATTATGCTCAGAATTTTACAAGGAATCGAAAAATAAATTCATATATAGGGTGATCCATTAAAAAAACTTTTTGTTTTTCCCTGTATATTGATCAATTTTCCATTCTTTTTTATACGTAGAAAAAAAGTATATTTTAGTACCTACATAACCACACTTTTAAATTTTTTGGGAAACTTAAAATAACGAAGTTAAAGGGGGGCTACATTATAGGGGATCACCCTGTACATGTAAACATACACATTTATCCACATATTCATGCAATTTGTGTTTTTTTCGCCTACTGGATTTTGACATACCACCACCATATTTTGTCCCATAAAAATCAAGGAATCTAGTGATGCATCAAACTACATAAGTTATGGTGGCCACTATAAAAACATGGTGATGGTTACTAAAAAGATAGCAACAAAATTGAAGGAAATGATGTTTACATGTAAAACTTAACTTGTTTAAAAAATCCCAGGAATAACAAAGTTATGATGATTTTTGGTTTTAAAAGGTTTTAAAAAGTTTTTTTAAATATGTTTTTAAATTATAAATTTCATGTAAATAGACTCCAATTTAACCGACCTTTACATAAAAAAAAACAGAAATTTAGTAAATCAGGGGTGACCGTGATGTTTTTGGAATTGCAAATACCCGATTGGTCCAGTGAATAATAAAATCAGCCAATCACTGATACCTGAAAACGGGAATAATGAATTAATTATTGCAGTTGTTAGGCGGGGCGCTTATAATGGTTATCAGTTTATAAGAAAAACATAAATAATGTCAATATTATGCAATAGGAGTAGAAAAATATTGTTTGAGGCGAAAAATAAATAGACCACTAAAGGTACAGTCAGGGAAAATTAATGAAAACTGTCTAAAATCATTTAAATTATGTTTCAAATCTGTTCAAAACTGTCCCCAAAACTTTTAGATACTTCAAAACTATTAAAACATTTACTAAAACTATCTAAAATAACCAAAACTTTTAATTGTTTAAAACCACCCAAAAAACGGTATAAATTTTACTCTAAAATGATCTAAAACCGTCTAAATTGTGTTTATAAAATAAAAAAGTGCACAACTATCTCAAAACTGTCTTCTCTAAAATTGTTTAAAATGGGCAAAATCAAAAATTGTCTAAAATTTTACTAAAAACGTCCCTAAATTATGTATGATAATTAAGTACTATTTTTTCTGCCAAACCTAGGTACCAAATTTTAGTAGATTGTTTGAATTGTATTGTATTTACTGTATAATAAAAAACTATTTTATTCACTCTTGATATTATTAAACAGAACGCTTTTAAAATGATATATTTATACAGTTTGACCCATTTGTTTGCGACTCACCCCTGTAAAATCTTTATTTATTGTGCGATTTTAACCGAATTTGTTTTAAAGTTTATATATTGATAACCTGTATACAAGGCATATGCTATGTCAGTTTTTGAGAGTAAATTTTTAAGAATTTATATTCGCAATTTAAAAAAAATCTATGTACCACCCCTCAAAACGACCCTATAATATATTTTATTAATTTTTTTTAAGTAGGAACGATTTTGTAAAAAAATTTAAAATGCACAATACTACTTGCTAACAATAAAATAAAAAAATCTCTACAATTACATTTTCTTCACCTCTACTAATCAACCATTTATTTCAATACACTTTCATATTTGTTCTGGAGTAATGGCTTGTATTACCCTAGCCTCTAGTTCTTGTGCAGTAGAGGTGACGAAAATCTAATTGTAGAGAATTTTTGAATTCTCTATTTTGTGTTTCATTGTTTTTTTAAGTTTCTATTGCATTTTTTATTTGTCAAAACTAAGCATAGGAATATTTATACCGCTTTAAATCGCTAATATGAATTCTTAAAAATTGAATCTAAAAAAGTAAACCTTGTATTTTGTAAAAATATGCTCAAAAAATTCAGTTTTTCTAGATCTATACTCTAAAAACAAAATCCCGTTAAAATGGCAAACAAATGGGTCACACCGTATAATAATAATAATAATAATAATAATAAGAATGAATAAAAAAAATATTTTCTCATTATACTGCATATTAGACGGAAGCTACCTATATCAAATCTTCCAAAAGTATTAATTTATCTGAGATTTTTACTTAAACATAAAATAAACACAAATAATAATTTTAATGGCGTCTTATCAGCTCGTCATTTAAAATATGTTTATTTTACAATACTAATTGCGTACGCGAACCGACCGGCTGAGCGAGCTAGTCGGCGCGCCGAGTATGAGGCACCACCATTTTATTAAGAACGGCAAATTTTCACGTTTTTTAAAGGCGGTGTTCGTGAGTGGCAACAGCGCGACGGAATCGCAGACCCCTTTGCCGCAAGGCTGGGAGGAGAGACAGGACGCGAACGGGCGCACTTACTACGTCAACCACATCGCCAGAACCACCCAATGGGACCGTCCAACTGTTAGGTGAGTACCCATTTGTAATGCACTTTTTTGTCATTTGTCAATGATTTTTTATTGCATTTTAACTTTTTAAGAAGAAAACATTTTACTGTTCTATTTTTTATTTTAGCATTTTTTAATAATTTGCATGCAAAAAATATATCTAAACTTGTTGACATTTATTATACAAAATGTCTTACATTAGTAATCAATCTATTTCTTAAGCTATTTATAGCTCGGGACACTTTATGAGCGACGCAGGAGCGAACCCCTCAACCCAGTGAGCCTAGTAAAGATTAATTGCAAAGCGTGACACGTACAAACTTTTATCTTTACCTTTAGAAAAATATTTTAAAATGTGTCAAATGTGCATTTCATTTCATAAATAGCTTTTCTACATGCCTGTAAAACTTTACAGGTCTTTTTTATAAGCCCGTAAAATATTAAAGGTCTGTTCCCATAATGTATCGTTTACTTGGATACAAAAACAACAAAATTAACCTATAAAATGTCATTTACTGAGAAGGTGGAAATAATAGTTATTTATGTATCAAGGCAGTAAAGTCCTATTTTTTTATCACAAATGTGAAAATTATTTGCAGAGGCGAAAGCCGAGGCAAATAACCACGTGAGTGATAAAAAATGACTTTAATGCCGAGGTGCATATTAAATTTTATCCGAAATCACATTTAATAATACTAATAATTAAATTTGATGATCAAATCAAATGTCATTTGATGATCAAATAAAATGTCATTTGAATGTAGAAAGTGTCTACGTATACTGTTTGTTGCGACGGTTATCATACAGGGTGTCCCAAAAGTCAACGATATCCTTTGAAGGACTAATAGGTCAGCTCATGACTAATCAGAATATCAAAACATGACCTTAGTAAAAAATCATTAGTTTTTAAGATATTGGCATTTTTATGAATTTTGTGAAACTTGACACATAAAATCAATTTATCGAGTGCCACAACTACAACATTATGAATTTTGTGAAACTTGACACATAAAATCAGTTTTTCGAGTGCCACAACTACAACTTTCTATATTTTTAGATTATATTTTATTTTGCGTAACCCTGAATAGGACTGCTGTTAATTAAAATTCAAAATTAAATTAATAGTAGATTTTGTAGCTGTGGCACTCGAAAAACTGATCTAAGGTGTCAAGTTTTACAAAATTCATAAAAATGACTATATCTAAAAAACTAACGATTTTTTACTAAGGTCATATTTTGATTTTCTGCTTAGTCATGAGTTGGTCCATCAGTCCTCCAAAGGATATCATTGACTTTTGGGACACCCTGTATATTTACCCGCCGCGGCGATTTTTTAATCGGCGAAAGCCGAGGTGCATATTAAATTTTATCCGAAATCACATTTAATAATACTAATAATTAATATTGATAATTAAATCAAATGTCATTTGATGATCAAATCAAATCAAATGTCATTTGAATGTAGGAAGTATACTGTTTGTTGCGACAGTTATTATATATTTGCCCGACGCGGCGATTTTTTAATCTAATTAATAAAATTAACTTATTATTTTTATTAAACAACATTTTATGAAAGGGTCCAATCGACCTCCGCGACAGTGCTTTTTTTTAATATTATTTAGTTGCTGCTGAGGAGCAGTAGACACATTTTAAATCGGCAGTAAAGTTCTACTTTACTGCCGATTTCTTTTACTTTAGTGCCGATTGTTGACTACTTTACTGCCGATTTCGGATAAAAAAAAATTTTTAGGTCATTTATAGTGGTTATTTTTCCTGACAAAGGATTTTTTAGATCGAATTTCGTTTCTTTTGTAAATATTTTTGAAAATAATAAGTAAATCCTATTTTTATAAATTTATTTGTTCCAAATTAAAATTAATAATGGCCGTATTCACAAAGCTTTTAGTCGATGATTACAGTTTATTTTTTTTTATTTGGACTCGTGTTTATGATAATAAGTTGGTAGCTTATGCCAGTTTGATTTAGTATTTAAAAAATGGTACTTTTGCTGAAGACCTTAATTCTGACACTGTCAAATTGACAGTAATATTTATTGTATTTATATCAATATAAAAAGATAACAATGCTAAAAATAATATCAGATTCTAAAGTAAAAGAACTTTTAAGGGCAAAACTTCATTTCGTTGAAGTTATGCCAAATGCCTCAATGGCAAAAATAGTTCATCGCCTTATGGACATTTTTGGAGTAAAAATGGAACGTTTTTGGTTTTACAAATATTAAATTATACAATATTTTCTGCTGAGCAGATCAAAAATGTTTGAAATTTAAAAAAATAAGGGAAATAATGATTGGACAACATTCACGTGTGTTCACAACATTTTTTAATTTCTTTTATATAAATTCTTTTCAAAGCGAAGATTATTATCCGCTAGGAATACTTTGTCTCTCCTGTCACCTATATTTAACTAATTGTTTATTTGATTTTACTCATCTACCCACCACCAAAGCCAAATTAATTGCATTTTTCGAATTTTGACTCAACTTGACAACCGTTCAATGTAACCTACAATAATTTAAACATAACCACACTTACATTATAATTACATTTATAACTAGTTTAGTTTGTTTTAATCAATGCAACCAATTTTGTTTCCGTATTTAACAACCAAAACCCTAAATTTGCAACGTTGCCGCAGTCCAGATAAAAAAAATGAACTTTAGGTAAACAATCACAACGTTTTTAGACATATGGCAACGCTGTATGTTTGGAATTTTAAATCGCTTTAAGAATAATAAAATACACATTATGTATATAGTACGCAAAACAAAACAATTTAATTGTATTAAATTGTTTATATTAAAATGTATTTATATGTTTTAGTAGTTTTCAAGTTATCAAGCAATTTTAAAAACAATTTCCTAAACCGATTTACAAACAAATAAACAAGCTTTTCAAATGAGCTATAATTACACATTACAGAGTGATTTTCAGACTTTTAGTGAATTTTTTTGTTTCTGATATTCTATTTGTTTTTATGTAACTAAGAATTATGAACTTTTATTTATTCATTTAAAACTTGATTTTATTTATACAGGGTGTCCCATAATTAACAGCAGATTCTACGTACAAAATAAGAAAAAATCCTATAGCTACAGCCCCCGATATCCCCAATACCGTTCGAGATAGAAACGTGAAATTTTGCGAATTGATCAACTTTGCATGGCCAATAATAATAACAATTTCAAATTTTCCATGAGGGGTGGGTCAGATAAATAGGGAGTAAGGGTAAAACCACCCTAACTTTTTGGTACGTGTCTTGTCCCAGGATTTGATTTCAGATTATTTTATTTTGGTTTACCCACAAAAAAGGTCCTCCTGTTGAACATCGATAATATTTACCATTTTAAAATCAATTTGAAAATTACCTTACAGGTAGGTATAACATTGATCTTTTTTTTATAATATGCGGTTCCTTATATATGTTACGGCTAATGTGCAAACTTGGATAGTTTATAAACTAACTGGATAGTTTATAAACTAGCCAATCTGTCAGCTATTTTAATTGAAAATGCATTTTCAACTAAATTAGCGGCTAGTTTACAAAATAACCAAGGATCTTGGCTAATTTACTTGAAATTATTAGGGAAACTAAAATATCTGGATAGTTTGTATACTATCAAATTCAATTTGGCTAATATGAAAACCAAAATTTATAGTAACACAAAATAGCCAAGCTTTAGCTAGTTTGTAAACTAACCAACTAATTCTCTGGCTATTGCCCATTTTAGTTGGGTTTTTTGCTCAATGGGGCGGGGTCGGTTGGGTTGTGTTTTGTTGAGTTTTCTAACAAGGACGCGTTAAAATTTTGCCTATGATTCATTTTAAAAACGTTAAAATGCACAAAACAAAGCCGGCAAAACGAAAAACAATGCCGTAACCTCACTTTTTTAATAAATTAGCCAGAGAATTGGTTGGTTAGTTTACAAACTAGCTAAAGCTTGGCTATTTTGTGTTACTAGAAATTTTGGTTTTCATATTAGCCAAACTGAATTGGATAGTATACAAACTATCCAGCTATTTTAGTTTCCCTAATAATTTCAAGTAAATTAGCCAAGATCCTTGGTTATTTTGTAAACTAGCCGCTAATTTAGTTGAAAATGTTTTCAATTAAAATAGCTGACAGTTTGGCTAGTTTATAAACTATCCAGCTAGTTTATAAACTATAAAGTTTGCACATTAGCCATAACATATACATTTTATATAAAGGAAACAAATGTATACTTTTAAGAGTTAAATTAAAACTTTTTTTAAATTTATTTCTTTATTAAACCCCAAAAGAATACATGATTCCATGGCATATTGTAAAAAACGGTCAATGACAATAGTACATTCTGTAACAAGTTTGGAATACAGCATATTCCGCTCGAGGAAAAATTTGACACACGAGCCAAAGGCGAGTGTGACGGTTTTACGAGAGTGATATATGCTATTCCAAACGTGTTTCAGACATTATTTTCTCTACGACTACGTAAGAATAGTAGCGCTTATATAATTTTAAACAGAGGAAAGAAACCAAGCAGTTTTTGACATTTTGTGCCATCACAATTTTATAATGTAAATTATAATAAATTTAAACAAATGGTATGCCTAAATCTTTATTATAATTAAAAATAGTTATTTACACTATCTAATAAAAAAAATAACATTGTAACAAATACAAAACTAATTTTACAAGTAATCTATGTCAACATCTATTCTTTTTCTACATTTTAAAGGTCTTTTTTTAACTTTTTGAATCTGTCAAAACTTCAAAGCCGGTATAGTAGGTAACTGGTTTATCATTTTAATATCAAATTTATTATAATTTTGATTTGTATATTTGAAAAACAATAAATATAAGTAATTTTTTCTGCCTAAACCTTCATTATACAACTGCTATTATTTTTTAATTAATAAATAATACAGTAATATTTAAATATTTTTAAATTTTTTACGTTTAGTAAACAGCCAGGAGATGTCGTTACTTGTGACCATTCTTAAACAAGAGTAGGAATATTCTCGCACAGTATTGCAGAAAAACATCCTTTCTATGATCAAAAATTACACTTGAATGTTACTATTCTTAAGTAGTCGTAGAGAAAAATACTTATCTACTTAAAAAACCATTTTTAAAAGATAATTAAATAAACTTTAAACTACCTGAATAGTTAAAAGAGTGCATACATTTTTTAATAAAAACTAGTTACATCATAAATAAATAGAATAAAAAAATCTTCACAGAAAGTCTGAAAATCACTGCTCACAACAGCACTGTAATTAATTCAAAACTCAAGAAATCCTAATAACTTTGTTATTATTAACAAATTTTAATTTTAAGTTTTTTAGAAAATTGTTTTTTTATACTTTTCTAAGATACCTCAATTTCTTTACCCCCTATAACTCAAAGTTTTTGATTAGTTAAAACTTTTTTAAATTTTATCTTTTTACATGAATAATTAAAATTTTGTTTAAAATTATTGCCAAATTAATAGAATAAACAATGAATACCTAGTTCCTTAATTATTCTTATTATTTGGTTGAATACAGAATTTATTTAATTTAACGTTGGCTTTGTACAAAATTGCAACCTAAAATGCATATGTAAACATGTTTTTTAAACAACGTTCATATATTTTATCTTTAGAAGTCGATTGTTCATAAAATGCAATACAAACGTCATTACAATGGACAATTTAATAATTTATTCCAAAAATTATCCACAGTGGTATCTTGATTAAAAACAATGTGAAATACATAATATAATAATATATAATATACCTACCAAATATTAAAATAAAGTAGAAAATAATATAAAATAATTTTTGCAGCAATACATCTGACAGCAGTGTAACAGTGGAAAGGGAAGAACAAAGAGAAGTTTTCGAACGGCGTTATCACATTAGCGCTGAAGAAGAAACAAACGGTCGGGGGGACTCAAACAACACCAGTCAGGTATTTATTAATTTATTAAATTTTTTATTTCTGATATTGTGCAAAGTACAAAAAATACGTAATTTTTTATCTTTAACATTTTATTTATTTCTTATCAATTCGTTTTAACAGGAAAACATGCTAGGTCACCATGTACAAAATTATTTTTATGATTTTAATATACATACATGTAATTTTAAAACTGTCAACTAATAATTTTAATTAATTAAACTTGTGTATACTTATAATTTATCTTGGTATCTTTTATTTTTTTAAATCTTGTTTTTGTTCTTTTTCTTACAATATTTAGTTTTAAATTATAGTTTAACATTAGACACCTTTGTTAAAATAAACTAACCTTAAAACTTGTCTTCACTGTGCATATAATATGGAGGGTAGAGAGAAGTATCTCTTATTAAAAAATAGTGTCCATTGTAGGATAGTAGTTCAATAAATACCCAGAATGGCGCTAGTAAGCCTTGTTAAATATGAAAATATTTGTATTTTTAAAATTGACCGAGAGCCCGCACTTGGCTTATATTTTGTTTTAAATCAATGTGCCCAATTTTGGAAAAGTTAGTTAAGCTCTTAAAATATCTTGGCTCAAAAAATTTAACCATTTTCTGCCCTTGTCTGAATTTTATGATTTTTATATTTAGGATAGCTCTGGGGCGGTGGAAGGAATTAAAAAAATATTTTTTTTCACCAAAATATTTATTTTTTATACACAAGTTTTCTATATACGGGCGTTTTCAATTTTAATAATATTCAGATTTCGCTCCACCCTAATGTTCATGAACTACATATGTTTCGTAACATATTATGAGCCTATTTCCTTTCAATTATTTCGTCTATAGACGCATGCGCTCGAAGAATTTCTTAAACATTCATGTTTATACATCATCAGTTACTAATTTGCTATTCCGTTTCCCAAATTCGCTGTTTGGTAAACATACATAACGTTTGAAAACGTATGTGTACGAACGCTTGCCTGAGAGGTGCTGTTAGCCAATATTTGAGGTTTTATATCTTGCTTTAATCATAAATTGCGGCGATGTTTGGTACAGTATACAGTACAGTATCATTATCAAGCATAGTAATTGTCTTAAATTAATTAGTAATCATGAATTAATTACCTTTTCATAATTAATACCTAATTAATTATAATTATAAATGATAAACAATTATTTATAAATGAGAATGGAACAAATCACATAAGGGGTCACATAAAACAAATAATTTTTTTTGCAATATTAAAAATATTTTTATTTGTTTTTTTAATTATTAAAATGTATTTTTTACTTATCATTATAATACAAAAATGCAAATTTTGCTTTTTCTAAATTGTTTTTTACGGAATATTCAGAAAAATTGACTGTTGCATTTTGTTCGTATTACCCTTTGAATAAAATTTAAATTCATTTTTTCTAAAAATTTTCGTTTTTTTTCAATTTTTCCGGAAATTTTAAAACCCTATTTAGAACACAATAATACGTTAGCGTTAAACTGACACATATAACCTCAAATAGTTGTATTCAAATGTCAAGGTGGGACTTTAAATTTACAACGTAGTCGGAAAGTAGGTTGCTTAAGAAATATCGCAAGATTCACAATTTCGGTAGAGTATTTATGTCTATCGGTAGATCGATTCCTGAGAAATCGGTAGATCTACCGAAATTTCGGTAAGGTTGGCAACACTGATGTAACTACAAATGTCACACAGCGATCGAGCAGGCCGCCGTCGCCGGCCGAAGAAGAAGAGATCGGCTCGGATCGCGAACGTTCGTGCGATTCCGATTACCACGGCTCGGCCGAGAGCAACTGCAGCAGTGGCGCCGAGGTTCGTAGTTAACAGCAACTAAAACAAAAAAGGTCAACTTGCTTCAGTCCTGCCAATCTAATTACACTGCTTTACAAGTTTTGTTTTGTGTGTTTTTTAACCATTTTAAATTTTTTGTTACTTTCCTTACATTTTTTATTTAATTAAATCATCCCTATTTATATTTTTAATTTAATGGGAGATTTTTTTTTTAATTTAATTCTGTTTTAAGAAAATTTATTTATACAGGGTTTTCGCAAAATTAGGCTTTTATTAATTATTTCAGAAACGGTTGGTGCGAAAATAACGATGTTTTATTTCTGGGGTATTTTTTGGGCAAACAAAATCATCTGGTGGTTCTAGGGTTTTAAAGTGTAGGAAAAAAACGGAAAAAATGGGGAAAAAACCTGTTTTCCGTTATTTTCCAGGCCTTGAAAAAATTTTTTTTTTTTGAAAATATACACATTTGAAAAAAGTAGCAATCAACAACTTAACATTATTTTAATTTAAAAAAATATCCTTTATTGCAAAAAAACAAACTAAACAATAAATTAAATTAAATTGTTTTAAGAATATAAACGTTGGGCCTTTTTTGCAAAATGAGCCCATTAAAAATATCCAACTACAAATAAATGATATAAAGTTAAATAACAAAATTAAAATTTTATAAATCGAAGTACATATTAAATAAAAGTTATGTTAATACGAGGTGTGTTCAGAAAATATCGGGAATTTTCGTTTTTTGAAAAAAATATTTATTTATTCGTCTACATTAATGTTGTCGCCTTCAAAATAGTCCCCATTGGATATTATGCACATGTGCCAGCTCTTCTTCCAATACTCGAAACACTTCTAAAACTCGATCTTTGGGATAGCCTTTAGTTCTTTCAGCGATGCGCTTTTAATGTCATCTATGCTTTCAAAACGACGGCCCTTTAAGGTTCTCTTTATTTTTGGGAATAGGAAAAAGTCAGACAGCGGCATGTCTGGCGAATAAAGGCTGGGGCATCATTACAGTATTGTTTTTGGCCAAAATTTGTGTTCAAAATTTAACAATTTTAGAACAAATTTTGCTGCCACGCGTTGCATACCCAAAACATTCGAAAAAATTTCATGGGATGAGCCAATCGATATACCAACATCATCAGCGACTTCTCTGATGGTTTATAACCATTTCTTCCACTTTTTCCATGTTTTTATCGGTTGTTAATGTGCTTGTGCGTTCGGGGCGTTCGTCATCTTCAACGTCTTCACGGCCATCTTGGAAACTCTTATACCACTTGTAAACTCTTGTTTTACTTATAGCAGACTCACTATAGGCCTTTGTTAACATTTCACAGAATTTATTTCATTTTTTAAGCAAAATTGGATACAAATTCTTTGATCCATTTCTTTTAACGAACGAAAAAATCGCCGAGCTCAAAAAACACGTCTAACCTTAGCGGCTGCCACAGACAAAGTAAACAATGAAAACAGCTAAAGGTTTTATCATACTTCGGGGCATGTGTACCAACATAATAAAGAAAATTTTATGACAACCGGACCCTCCGAACCCTCGAAATTTAACAATTCCCGTTATTTTCTGAACACACCTCGTACAGCACCGAATATGTTTTCTTGTGGCCCGGAATATTCTTTCTGAATTAAAGCACCTTTTTACGTAACATTCTATAGAAAATTGCGAAAATTGTATTCCGAGATCAAGAATTAAAAAAAAATGGAAGGATTTTTTCCCAGAGTAGCTCCTGTTTCGCACGCTCACGGTCAACATTTATCGGAAACAGTTTAAAATGGCTATACCAACTTTTTCTTTTATTTTTACTTTTAGAATCACCTGCCGAAATATATTAACGTTATATCCGGACACCCTGTATAAATGACTGTTATAAAATCTGTGGGCAAAAGGCATAAAGGGATAAGTCAAAATGATCATTTTTTCAGTACAGCCTTAAACGTATTCGCATTAATTCAGGAAATATATTTATGGTTAGCGTGTATACCCTTTTGTTAGCACATGTCATATGCTAACAAAAGCGTATACCCGCTAAACATTAATATATTTCCTGAATTAATGCGAACACGTTAAAGGCTCTATTGGAAAATTGCTTTTTTTGACTTATCCCCTTATGCCTTTTACCCACAGAAATACGACTGTTAACATCAGCTCCCTTATTTAAATTGTATCCATAACAACCATTTATTATTAGGCACACCGTTGCCGGGTTTATGAAACTTAAATGTTTAATTAATCGAAAATTACTCAAAAAAATTTAATTTTTTGTAAACTTTTCTGGACACCCTGTATAAAAAACTGTTTTTTTCAAAATTTGTTATTAAAATGTTCAAAAATGGGACAGCGAAAGTGTTAAATTGGCAAGAGAGAAAGTAAAGAATTGGTAACATTCTGTATGTAACATATATTAGCAGTTTGAAAAAAATAATAATAACCCCATTTAATTAAAAACAAATCAAAAGGAATAGCATAAAAGCCGTCAATTAAAATCGTTTAAAGAACAGAACATTTTTTTTTTTGTAAACCGGTGTTATCTTCCAACATTTTTTATTAATGATTTTTACTTTTAATCTAAATTAACATTAATTACGTTTCGTAATGTATTATTATAGTCACGTATACCTTCAAAACGGGTTCTTATTTATAATTAACATACTTTTGGTTTTGTTATTTATTTATTTTTGGTAATTATTTACATAAGATGTTACAGTTTTTACCGGTTTTGTTAGTTTTCTAATAACCGAACACCGCTGCTGCAGTTTTCTAGTTTTTTGCTTGGTGTCGAGAAGCCCTAGATGCTGGACTTGCTTTTGTGTTTCGATGTGAATCGCTGGACCGTCCACAGATACGCCCTTTTGAAGCAATATTTTGTAAAGTTTATTTTTTATTTTTGTTTTGTTTTTGTCGCTTATCTTTCACGATGTTATTACTATGTGTTTTTTATTGATCTTGCATATTTTAAATTTATTGTTTATTGTTTTGTGTGAGGTGAAATTACTCAAATGTGGGACTAGAACTGGTATTTTTTAAGTTAAATTTAACAAATTTATTCACTTTTTAAACAGTTTATTGTACTTTTTAGTTTTGTAAATTTACATTTTATTTGCTTTTTTAGTTGAAAATATTGCAAATTTATTTCACAATAATATAAAAAATATATTATTATTGTATACTTTTGTGTAAATAATAAAATTGTCAAACCACGTCACATGGGTAAAAATCCAACTAAATCTAACTAAACAAAAAAAAACACATTTTTTAAAGCACCGAATTTATTATTTTTGGTACCTACCTAGTAGGTAGTGGTAGAGTTTTACAACATTTAAAAGAAACATTGATAAACTCATTTTTTTTTTGACAGTTAAATGTTTTCTTTTCAAGATGAATAGTTTTAATTATAAGATTTTCACTGCTATTCTAGGCCTAGAAGGTTTAAATAATTTTTTCTACTACCCCATATCCAAGCCACATGCTCATCATCATTATTATTTATTGGATATAGCCGAGTTTGCTATAAAAACGTGGATTTGGCCGGTTTTGCTCCTAAAGCTACCGTTTAAATGTGATTTTAACATGGATATATTCTGATTTAAAAAGAATTATCTTGGTTGTCGATAGAAATGAACCCAAAGATGGGAAATAAAATAAAAACAAAAACTGAATAAAATGGATTTAGCCAATTTTGCACGGATGCTCCTCAAGTATTATTTTTCGAAAAAATTCATCATAAACGAAATTATTTTTTAAATGTCAAAACAAAATTCATCCAATTATTGCAAAGGATTCGGGATTTTTAATTTTTTCTTTAAAATGATAATTTTTAGGTTTTAAAAGTAATAAAAATGGTGCGAAATTTACAAAAATAATTTGAAGTGTTTTTTGTTTAGTTATTATCTACAGATTATTATAATTATAGTTACTTACCAAAAAATCAATAAATAAATATTGACACATTTAACTCTTTATAATCCCATTTTTAGTGCTTTTAATAATAATTTTACTAGAGCTTTTGTTAGTTTTACACCAATAAAATATAGTGTTGATATCATCTTTAAATTAATTTGATCTATTTTGCGTTCATAATGACTTCATTATAACACCGCTTTCGGTGCTGTAATGAGATACTTTATCCCACCCAAAATTTTGATTTTATAGGTTGGCTAAACTTTAAACAGCATAATATTTTGCATATTGGTTATACTATTTTTATGATTTTTCTAGTACTTACGAGACTTTTCTGGCAATAAATTATGTTTAACACCAAAGAAAATCCTTTTCTTCTTATTTAACAGACGCCTATTGTAAATAACTAAATTAAGGACGGCATGGCGAATCGATTATGACAACTGTCAAACCAATGACTGTGATACCAACTATCTAAAGTAAAATTTGACCAAATTAAATATAAGGTATAAAATTTTGAATTTTTGCAAAATAGATAAAAAAGACCTTTTGTCGCACTCGTCCATTACAAAACTCGCTCGTTCGTCGCTCGTTTTATAAATTGTCCACGTGCGACAAAATGACGTCTTATGACATTAGTTCAGAAAATATAAAAAAACAATATTAGGGGCATTCCACGTTACTCAGTAATTTTTGTCCCGCCCGTCACAATAAAAAAATGTGAGTAAAAACCACACGTTATTAAATTTATTTTAAAATATTGTTTGTAATGCTTGTAATAAGCTTATTAGCACAATAAAAATAATATTATAACATAATAATTTAACAATTTTTAATTGTGACGGGCGGGACAAAATTTACTGAATAACGTGGAATGATCCATTACCAATTTTTTTTATTTTTTGCAATATCCTAAATATCCAAAAATACAATATATCTTCTAATTATGTCAGAAAAGCAAATGAAATAACATATCTCCACCGTTTGGGAAAAGTACACTGGGCAACCAATATTGGTGTCTTAGACATTGTAGAAAAGGAAAAATATATTAAACTTGATTATTAAACTTCAAATTGATAAAATGTTGTGACTTTTTTCCAAATGGTGCAGATATGTTGTTTTATTTTTTTTTTTAGAAAATACATTGTATTTCTGGATACAGTAAGCATATAATTAAATAAAATAAAATTAATAATATTCTTTTTTTTTTAATTTTCTTCTTGAAATTAAATGAAAGATTATATTAACATAACACAACATAACTTGTCAAAGTGACAAAAAACGAACATGACGGATGAACACACTTGTGTATTTTTTTTAAATATATAATTTACCCAACAAAATATAAAAAAAACATTAAAATATAAATATAATAACAATAACAAAACATAAATAAGTAAATAAATAGTTATCTTATAGATAAACAATAATTCTTGACCGAGGTGGAAAATGTTTTATGGTTCTTTGGTTCTTTATTATCTTAAGAAGTTAGCGATGTAGTAAATTTATGATTAAAAGCACTAAAAATAGTATTTTTAAATAGTGAATAAAAAAATCCAGTTTCCACAACTAAATCACATTTATGTATTTCAATAATAATTTTATTTCCAGAGCGATGATCAAACCGACAGCCTGTCGAACAACTCCTCGCGAAGAGACTCGACCATATCCAACGTCAGCAACAACACCAACAACGCGAGCCAAGCGAACTTGGACGCCCTCTCCGATGGACTGCCGCAAGGTTCGAACTCGCGCCCGCCGCCTCGCGAAACCGCCACTAACGACCGCGTTCCTTTTGCTTTCTCAGGTTGGACGGTGCAGGTAGCCCCGAACGGCAGGCTGTTCTTCATCGACCACAACGAAAAGACGACCTCCTGGGTGGATCCGAGGACCGGCAGGGCCAGCCCCATGCCCAACGCCGCCCCCGCCCCCACGGTCAGCCGGAGGCCGGACGACGATCTGGGGCAGCTGCCGGAAGGTTGGGAGGAGAGGGTCCACTCGGACGGCAGGATATTCTTCATAGATCACAGTAAGTTAGTTTAGTTTAGTGGAATTGAAACACACCCAAAACAAAGGACTCCCTGAGCTTATATGCTGGGTTGGTAAGCCAACAAAGGCGAGATGTAACTACGCGTCGTGGCATTTGCCGCAATCGGTATGAACATTACTACTAATGGGTCAATAAAGTTTCTTAAAGAAACTAAGAATTTGAATGTTTAATACAATATTACATTGTGCTGGACAAGTCAAAATCAAAGAAGCACAAGCTTGCTTAAAATATTAAAATACAAGATATTAAAAACAAAACAGAATAAAACAACCAATAGTAAGTGGATGCATGCAAAATATTAATCTTTGAATAAAATATATATCATTTTATTTGGTATTTAAAAATTCTAACATTTCCTAAATCTTTGAGTTTAGTAGGTAACCTATTAAATATTTTTGGCCCTATGAAATTAGGTACATTTTTGCAAAGGCTAAGCCTAGCAGGTACGAGGTGTGTTTAGAAAATATCGGGAGTTTTCGTTTTTTAAAACAAATATTTATTTATTCGTCTACATTAATGTTGTCGACTTCAAAATAGTCCCCATTGGATATTATGCACATGTGCCAGCTCTTCTTCCAATACTCGAAACACTTCTAAAACTCGATCTTTGGGATAGCCTTTAGTTCTTTCAGCGATGCGCTTTTAATGTAATCTATGCTTGCAAAACGACGGCCCTTTAAGGTTCTCTTTATTTTTGGGAATAGGAAAAAGTCAGACAGAGGCATGTCTGGCGAATATGGAGGCTGGGCATCATTTCAGTATTGTTTTTGGCCAAAAATTTTGTTCAAAATTTAACAATTTTAGAACAAATTTTGCTGCCAAGCGTTTCATACCAAAAAATTCGAAAAAATTTCATGGGATGAGCCAATCAATATACCAAGATCATCAGCGACTTCTCTGATGGTTTATAACCATTTCTTCCACTTTTTCCATGTTTTTATCGGTTGGTAATGTGCTTTTGCGTTCGGGGTGTTCGTCATCTTCAACGTCTTCACGGCCATCTTGGAAACTCTTAAACCACTTGTAAACTCTTGTTTTACTTATAGCAGACTCACTATAGGCCTTTGTTAATATTTCACAGAATTTATTTCATTTTTTAAGCAAAATTGGATACAAATTCTTTGATCCATTTCTTTTAACGAACGAAAAATCGCCGAGCTCATAAAACACGTCTAACCTTAGCGGCTGCCACAGACAAAGTAAACAATGAAAACTGCTAAAGTTTTTATCATACTTCGGGGGCATGTATACCAATATAATAAAGAAAATTTTATGACAACCGGACCCTCCGAACCCGCGAAATTTAACAATTTCCGTTAATTTCTGAACACACCTCGTATATTTAATTAATTTTTTTTCTAAACAATTGCACTCACTTGGTTTAAAGATAAATTATACTTTATTTCATAGAGAGATAATATTATGTAAATAACTTTAAAATTATATGTTGCCGTTTCTTAATTGGCCGCAACCTCTTGGCAAATAGGTGTAGTAAATATTATTTCATTAAATTTTTGCACTCATAACACGTTTTAGTGAATTATATATTAAATTAAAGCTATTTTTTTTACTTGATGGTATACGGTTGTCTAAAATAAACTGTCGGCAAATAGTAGGGGTTGCCAATTATTAAAGATAAAAAACGGGAAAGTTAGCGCATGTTCAGTCAAGGACGCAATTTCTGCTTTACGTTGTTTTAAAACGATTGCGCATGCGTCGATAGAAAGGTACTTAAGGATCGATTTAAAAATATTTAATAAATTTATATTTAGGTTCGGAATAATATTGAGATATAAAATATTTTTAAGAATATTTATTCGCCTTTATTATAAAATTGCATTAACCAAGCATAGATTTGTAATCTACGACCAAAAATTAAGTTTACGTGTCCGAGCGTTTAGCTGTGATATTTTCACCTCCCTACAGTGTAATAATTACACTGTACGCGCATCTGCTTTTTAAGGGATAAATTATTATCCCTAAAAATGATTTTGTTTAAAAAGCTGATGCGCGTAGTAATCACGCAGTCGGATCTTGTACTATAACATTTTTTATTTATTTAAGATACCAGAACTACCCAGTGGGAAGACCCCAGACTTTCAAACCCGCAAATAGCCGGCCCAGCAATTCCCTACTCTAGAGATTATAAAAGAAAATACGAATACATGAAAACGCAACTAAGAAAACCGGTAAATATACCCCTGGGGTGCTTCTTGAAATTTGTGACTTTACTTTCTATAGAAAATTATGTCTATAGAAAGAAAATTTGTAAAATTCAACAAGTACAAAATTAACGTATTTTTTTCCTGTAGACCAATGTGCCTAACAAATTCGAAATAAAAGTGAGACGCAAAAGTATACTGGAAGATTCCTATAGGGTGATAACGACGGTGCCGAGGATAGAGCTGCTTAAAACCAAATTATGGGTGGAGTTTGAAGGAGAAGTGGGCTTGGATTATGGAGGTTTGGCCAGGGAATGGTTTTATTTATTGTCCAAAGAGATGTTCAATCCTTATTATGGACTGTTTGAATATTCAGCAATGTAAGTACCTTCTACAACGTTAAATAAACCTTAAAATAACGTTATGGTTTTTAAATTTAACTTCTTAGTAAATGTAGCTTTTGGTTAAAAAGAAGTTAATATTTGGTAGTTTTTGGTTTATTTTACCCTTTATGTATAAAAAATGTCGCCCATAAATATTAATACTCATATTATAATAGGTATGTATGAATTGATATATTAATGAGATAGTTGTAAGGGAAAAACCAATGGGACATTTTTTTTCTGATGAAGTAGTACATAATACTTTCATATTTTAAATGCGCTTTAAAAAAATAAGAAATAAAGAAAATAAAGCTAATAAAATATTTGTTTGCCATTTTTTTCGTTTTAAATTGATTTAAAATACTTTTAAACATAAAATAATTATATGTTTTATTATTGGTTTGTTTAAATTACCTTATTTTTGAAATAAAAAAATTATTAAAATTAATGGCATTTCCTTTTGTTAAAATAGATAGCAAACAATATGCCGATTTTAGGATGCTTTTAATTATTGTTAATATAAATTAACCTGCAAGTTTATTTAAACCATTTGGTTATTTTATTGTGTTTAATTTAACTACTTCATTTACCTATCGGTAATTTGTAACTCTTTGGTTTTAGTTTAAATTTGGTTAATGCAACACATTATAGTTCATAATTACCAAAATTAGTTAAATAATACAAACTTGTTATCTTTAAAATACCTAATATAAAAAAAATTCCGTTGATCTTACGTGTTGATTTTAGTTGCAGCCCTGCTTTATTTTTATAAAACGCATCTGATTTGTGATAAAACCTATAGATGCTTACCAAATTAATTAAATGGAAGGGGACTGTTTTAAGATTTGTAGATAAATAATTATTTACAACTTTGTTAACTCTTCTATAGTAAGTTGAATAAAGTATATTTTTTAAAGGCTCCATTATCACACAAAACTCACAACCTATAGGTTTATATATAACGCTGTATTGAGACTAATTTTTCTATGCGGGTAACAATGAAAACTGCAAAACCATCACTTTTTTAACCAACGTTAATTTACCAGCGATTTAAAATATATTTGGTAAAATATAACTTGTTGGTTCAAAAAATATATCCAAGTTAACCAGAGGGTGGTTATTTTACCAAAAAGTTATATCAAAAGTTAAACTAAACCAATATATGTATAAAAACTAGTCTTAACCATTTTCAAAGGTTAAAATTATAAGTTAATATAACGTTATGTAACTACTAAAATAATCTACTTTTCACTTATAAGTAAGTTACCTATTTCAAGAGTTTAAATTGACTATAAAAAACATATATTTAACTAGTTAGTAATATTACCAATAGGTTTCTTTTATTAGTTAATTTATAATAAAAATAACCTTTAAATTTACATTAAGGTTATGGCAACTGGTTGGTAAATTTAAAGGGTTATTTTTTAGTTCATAGTAACTTTAAAAAAATTTAATGGTTGAAGACAACTAATTGATTAAAAAACAAGTTTAAAAAAACCTTATTTTACTTAGATTTTTTTGTTAATTTAATTAAAAAGCTACAAAATTTCAAAATAACATTTTTGTTAAAAAAATAGCACAAATTGAGTAAAAAAGGAGAAAACCATTTTCCAAAAAAATGGTTGAGGTATTTTTAATATATTTAAGCGCTTTGGAAGGCAAAATAGATAGGCAAAGTAGCTCTAAATTACCAATATTTTAAGAGTCTGTATGACGTTTGCTGTTTTTTTTAAGTTATTTTTGCTAATTATTTTGTAGGGACAACTATACATTGCAAATAAATCCATTCTCAGGGGTGTGCAATGAAGACCACATTAGCTATTTCAAGTTTATAGGCCGTGTAGCCGGAATGGCAGTTTATCACGGAAAACTTTTGGACGGTAATGCACATCTTGAGAAACAATTTCGCCATTTTAAATGTGTGCATTTTTCAGCGTTCTTCATCCGACCGTTCTACAAAATGATGCTGCAAAAAGCGATAGATCTTAAAGACATGGAATCCGTCGATTCCGAATACTACAAGTCGCTGCTGTGGATCAAGGAAAACGACCCGTCCGGTCTCGACTTGACGTTCTCGGTCGACGAGGAATCCTTCGGACACACTTCGGTTCACGAGCTGATCGAAGGCGGCGCCAACATTCCACTGGAGAACACCAACAAGGACGACTACATCAAGTAAGTTGAAACGCTAAATTATCCCTCTTACTTAATTTACCCACTAAATATAAAATATGATCTTCAATGATATATTTTTACAATATCGTCCCCGTTCTGGCAAAAGTAATTAACTCCATTTTTGTCTAAAAGTAGTTGACTACCTTCGCGATCATAGAACAATTATATCTGTGGTCTAGAAGAACTTATTAAGTGCAGTATTGTATTTTTAGCATGCTAAAAATACAATACTGCACTTAATAAGTTTTTCTAGACCACAGATATAATTGTTCTATGATCGCGAAGGTAGTCAACTACTTTTAGACAAAAATGGAGTTAATTACTTTTGCCAGAACGGGGACGATATATTGTGAGCCGTATTTGTTAAAAAAAATCAGTACAAAACATATACAAAAGGTAAATATGGTACTGTTGTTTTTGAAGTGAAACTGCTTTGCTGACAGGGCAAATCAAAACCTGGCCTTAATTAGTTTTAGGCCCCGACAGTTCAAAAGTCACCGGTATTACAGTAACTGTAGGATATACGCTAAAAAAGTATCGCTAGTAGCGCCACCACTCGGCTGTTATCATCGTAACAAAAGTACAACTTTTGATAATCAGCGTGTGTTACAAACGAGTGTTTTTGATAATAAAGCCGGAAAATGTTAAAAAAATATCGGGGAAAAACCGTGGCACGATTTGTTGTGTTGTTGGGTGTATTTCGAGAGGAAATCCTGGGTTGAGTTTTTATCGGTTTTCCAATAAACAGTGTTAATCCGAATGAAGAAATAAATTTCATACAGTCCCTGTAAATATAAATTGTATCTATTAGATACAATAAATACACATTTTAGTAATGATTAACGTGAAAAGTGTAAACATTTCAATTCAGTAATAATCGTCATACAAATAAGTCGTATAAATTTAAACAACATTTAGCATTATTAAAAGCGTTGAATAAGAATTCTTTAGTCTCCACTCAACGGTAAAATACCATTATATTATGTATTATATATAATATTATGTTGCCATGAATTCGTAGGTATATTTTGTTGTTTAAAGTGCAGTTGTCGGCGTTTTTTTAGAGAACTCAAATATAAAACTGGTTTATGTTTGTGCAAAAATTATTTTTTACTAATTTCTTAAAAATGTCCAAACTTAAATATAAATTATATTAGGTAAAGTTATCATTAGTTAATTCTGTGCCAACAAATGTACTTACCGAATTGGATCCTTTGGCAAAACATGAAAATGCAACGATTTAGTTCTTGAATTTTATTTACAATTAAAAACACAATATTCATCATGATCCCTTAGATAAAATACACACACTATTAGTGTGACACTAACGTAACTATATAAGCATTTAAGCGTTGAGTTTCTTAATCAATGATATAAAGAATAATCAATCGAAATCGAGTACTAAAGAAGTTTTTTAGTTTTTTTCTTGCAATGTAAAACACAAATAACGTGCGCGATTTAGCTGTGCAATTGAACAAAATTTGTCGAGTAAGACTTCTGCCTTCCTCTCTTTTGTAAAAAAAACCTACCTATTTATTTAAAAATGATGTACAGTTCGTATGCTTTAAATGTATTGTTGACAATTACAACATTCCAAAGTCCACCAGATGGCGCCAGGGCCAGGACTAAGGGGGGTGTAGGGGGGGAGTCACCCCCCCAAAGTCTTGGCAGTTGGTTCCAAATCCAAACACGGTTGGCAAAATCTATAGTATTTGGGTCAGTTGGTTGGGTATACCTACCCTACCAACCAACCCATCACAATATATAAAATGAAATATAATTTTTAAACTTTACCTACATATTACAAAATTATAATTTTTATTCTATTGTAACCTCCTATAATCGTTACCGTCAAGAAAATTGTTTTGGTCAACCTTATTTTTATTAAAGGACATATTTCACACAAGCGGCATGTACAAAGTCGGCACCGCCTCGCGGCTTTGTCTTTGGTTTTGGCGGCGTTTGACTCTTTTTACCCACCGCAATTTTCGGCGTTTTATTTTTCTAGATTATTAATTAGTTAAAGCTTATCTAAGCTAAGTAAAACTAGTGTCAATAAATAGGAATTAATTTTTTCTTAATATGGAAAAGAAAGCTAGACCGGGCCGAGTTCTAGTAAAATGCTCATTATGTGGATCTGTGTTTAACAAGGACTAGAAAAAAATGCCCGAGGAAAATATTCACGGTGGAAATTTAGTTAAAATTAAAATTGTTACTGTTCCGGATAATCCACTTACATTGGCAGCAAATCAAAAAAATAGAGAACGAGAATCAATCCCATCGACTTCGAAAGAGCATGCTAATGGTAGGTAAAGACATTCTTTATCTACACTTTACAACACTTTACATTCATGATAAACCTACTGAAAATTTTTACTATTACTACTAAAGTATCGATAAAAAAGTAAGTTGGTTTTTTTATCGTCTCCACCCCCCCAAAAAAGTGTGCCTCGGTACGGCCCTGGAAGGCGCGCGCGTTGCGAAAACCCGATACTTCTTTAGCGTATATCCAATATCAGAGCTGCAAGCTCTCAGAAAACTTAAATCGTTTTTTTGATTTAAATCGTTTTAATGACTTAAGTCATTTGGTAATAAGTCATTTCTCTAAAACTGACTTAAGACTTAAAATTTAAGTAATTTTCAAAATGATTTGTGACTTAAATATTTTTTTCAAAATAGAAAAAACTTAAGTCATTTATAAATCAGTACATACGATTTAAGTCAGATAGAAACGATTTAAGTCAAAAAAAGATTTAAGTCTTTTTGAAAAAGATTTAAGTCTTTTTAGAAAATATTTAAGTCAGATTTTTCATATATTTTTTTATAAATTTGTAACAGCGGCATTTTCTTTTGAACTGCCAGGGGTTCACGCGGCAGCAGATCAAAAACTCCTTTAATTTCCTACCTACAATTGCTACCGCTAGTGGATAAAAAAACCGCCGCGGTAAAGTTAGCTTTTTGGAACCGTTGGACGGCTACATTAAAAAATGTCCTGTCTAAAATAAATTAAAAAAGTGGGGATTTATAATTTTGTTATTTTGTTTGCCAACATTCGCCATGTTCGTGCGTAGTTATGTCTAATTTGTGATGATTAGTGCAAAGTGAAAACAATCTGAGCGGTCGTGAATCGAGAGTTTGGAACTTCCCATCATTACTCCCTTAAGGGAGGAATATTTTTTTTCTAGATGGATGTTGAACCAGCTAACAAAAGTTAACAAACAACAAGTTATCAGTTTTTGAAATACAGCGATTTTAAGAAAAATGCTTCAACTTTTATCTATTTTAACAGAGTTTGAATCTATTACCGTTACCCATTTATGTATATAAAAAAGTAGCCTCCCTGTATGTCTACTCTACTAAAAAAGGTGGTTTAAGTTTTTATTTTGTTTGTAAGTGTTCTGAAAATAAATCGTTTTAAATTCTTAACATAGTGGTTTATTATCATCTGTATCTACAATAGATTAATAATATCAGTATCATTAATACCATAAAATTATTATTAACATTTAAAAAATCGTTGTATTGTAATTATTTTGATTTAAATCACAATTTTTAATTCAAGTCATTTTATTGACTTAACTCTTAGATCACGATTTAAATAAAAAATATAGACTTAAGTCATAAAAACGACTTACTAAAGGAATTAAGTCATAAGATGACTTAAATCACTTTATATTGATTTAAGAATTTGCGAAAATGACTTGACTTGAAAGAAAATGATTTAATTCAAAGACTTAATACTTAAATCATTTGAACTTTATCTTAGAATTGACTTAAGATTTAAATCATTTTGATTTTAGAATTGACTTAAGACTTAAGATTTAAGTCTTTTTAAAACTGACTTGTTGCAGCTCTGTCCAATATACAGGTAACAGACAATTGAACAGTGGATTCCTTAGTAAAAAATAATAGATTTTGTTTCATGTGAAGTTATGCTCTACAAGTTTTCGTTTCCAAGTAACAGGTGTTAAAAATTTAACAGTTTTCGATTAATAATTTTTAAACACTAAAAGATAAAAATACGATCTTTTAGCTATGTCTTTATTTGATAATGCCTTATTAAAATAAAAATAAATGACTCAGTAGCATACATACAGGGTGTCTCATATTTTAATCGGGAAAATTTAGTAGTCGATATAACTCGCAAAAATAAAAAGAATAGTTTTATATGAACTTGTATGCTTTAATTTAAAGCTTTGATTACAAGATACAGGGTGTTAGTAAAGAAAATTATGGTCCTGTCACTGCTTTTTTATGAGTTTGATATTATATTTAGGTTAACCAATTAAAAATACAACTGTTTTGTTATTTGCATTTGTTCTTCATCTTGCTTGATATTCAAGATAAAAATTAAATTTGTTACATGCCCATTACCATAATTTTTCCAGGAGCGAGCAAATAAACGATTTTTTTTCTGGAAACTTAAACAAGATAGAGATTGCAGTAAACCAAAAAGTTGCATTTTTAATTGCTTAATCGAAAAAATAATAAAAAAGCAGTAGTTTTTAATATTTTCGAAAAAAAAATATTTTTTTAATAATTTTATCACCCTGTATCTCGAAAACGAAGCTTTAAAACATACAAGTTCATATAAACTTTTTTTCCTATTTTTGCGACTTCTGTCTACCACTAAATTTTCTCGTTTACAATCTGAGACATCCTGTATATTTATAAAAAGCAGCCTACACAGGAAAAAAAGGTAACAAGAACATAATCCAGTCTTAAAAACTGGCAGAATAAGAATTAAAAGAAATTAACAAATTAAAAATACATATTTAAAAAGAAATTAAAACCCATAAGAAAAAAACTATTATTTTCCACTGTTAATTTTTCCACCAACATTTCTGATACACCCTGTGTGCTTGTTTCTTTGATTACTTGTTTGTTGACCTTGAACTTGAACTATTTAGTTCAGTGAATCGACATCTCACCGCTATCGCTGCTTTATCAGCGCTTATAAACCAATTCATTGTGTATCGTAATTGACCATTAGTCATTGGTCCCCTTACAGTGTAAGTGCAAACACGAGTCCCTTGAGCTTTTGACCTCCTAACAGTTCTCGAGCTCCGACGAGTTCTCGAGCTCCCAGGAATCCTCGAGCTCCCAGGAGTCCTCGAGCTCCCAGGAGTTCTCAAGCTCCCAGGAGTCATCTAGCTCCCAGGAGTCCTCGAGCTCCCACGAGCTCTCGAGCTCCTCCGAGCCCTCGAGCTCCCAGGAGTCCACAAGCTCCCAGGAGTACTCGAGCTCCAGGAGTACTTGAGCTCCCAGGAGTACTCGAGCTCCTATGAGTACTCGAGCTCCCACGAGTTCTCGAGCCTCCAAAGAGTCATAGAGCCTTCGGACGCATGGAAGCCAAGGACTCGTTAAAGTGCGCTTATCCTGTTTGGAATTTTTAATAAACAAAAAACTTCGTAAAAACAAGAAATTCATAGAGATTTTATTTATTATTAAAAAATTGGTTCTAACATTCCAAAACTTGTCTTTGACTTATTAAGTCAATTTTTTTTAAATCACATTACACATTTCCCTGAATTTTTCGCTCTTTCCAACGGTAAAAGGATTAAGACTTAGTTTTTTGATAAATCAAAAACTAAGTAAGCTAGCAGTTGAGTAGTGATTTTTCAAAATGCCTTATTTCAATTTTTACTTGAATGTAATTTTTTGACAAAATCCCATAGGTATGGTTAAAAGGCATACCTATATTAACGGCGAAATATGACAGCAGGTCTGAAGTATTATTAAATATTCATCAGATTTTTTTTTTAAATAATCTATATTGCCCTAACCTATATAGGTTATAGTCATTTTTTTGAAAAATTGTTGCTTACCTTTCAAAAGAGCATAAAATTTGGGCAAAAAATATTAAACGTGATTTTAAATAAGTGGACTTAATACAGTTTGCACACAACATATGTATTTTTGTGTCTTAATTTAAAACACAAAATGTATTATACGCCAAAGAAGCATCGCTACTAGCGACACCATAATCCCTCTTAAAATATCTTTATAATTAACATTTTTGGCCAATTCCGATTTTAAAATGTATAAAAATTTATTCATTTCTAAAAAATTATCTTCAAATGTCATAATGGTTTGATGAAATCGTTCATCAGCTTCATCTGATTCGGTTGAAAGTTGTTTTTCATAAAAATTAAAATGAGCATGCAAAATTTTTAGCTACATATTTATACTTACTTAACCACAAAACTTTGTAGCAAAGAATTATTTCAATTGTAAAAACTAAAAACAACATTTATACAGGCTGTACTTAGTCTATTTACTAGTAAATGAAATTCTCAAATTTTATTAAATTCGAATATTTCCCACTAATACCAGACACTAAAATTTACTAAAACAAATTTAATTACAAAAAAAGAAATATGCGAAAAATCTAATAAAATTAAAAAAATATTAATAATATCGGCTTAAACACGAATGTTATTAATTTAATAGACAAAAATTTATGAATTAAAAATAAATACAGACATTTTAAAACGGGTTATGCTATATTTTTCTTTAAAAATATATCAAAATGGTGAAACAATAAACTTAAATAATTGAGAAAACGAGCTAACTTTAAAAAACGGATTACACCACTGAATTCTACACCCAAAAATTAGGTTTACGTGTCCCGGCGTTTTTATGTGTCTTCAAAAGTTTGAAATTTACCTACAGTGTAATCAGCTGTCAAACGCGTATATTAAAAACGAGTGTTTTTGAGAAAATACTGGATTGAGTTTTTACCGGTTTCCCAATAAAGTGTGGAAATCCGAATGAAGGAATAAATTGCATACATTTCCTGTAAATATTGATTGTACCTCTTAGATACAATAAATACACATTTTAGTAATGATTAACGTGAAAATTGTAAACATTTCAATTCAGTAAAAATCATAAAACAAATAAGTCGTTCAAATTCAAACAGCATTAGACATTATTAAAAGCGTTGATTAAGAGTCTCCACTCAACAATTAAATACCAAAAACGGGTATTATATTATGTATTATATTTAATATTATGTTACCATGAATTCGTAGATATTTTTTGTCTTTTAATATTAAAATGCAGTTGTCGGCGTTTTTTTTAGAGGACTCATATCGTCCCCGTTCTGGCAAAAGTAATTAACTCCATTTTTGTCTAAAAGTAGTTGACTACCTTCGCGATCATAGAACAATTATATCTGTGGTCTAGAAGAACTTATATTATATCTGTGGTCTAGAAGAACTTATTAAGTGCAGTATTGTAACTTAATAAGTTTTTCTAGACCACAGATATAATTGTTCTATGATCGTGAAGGTAGTCAACTACTTTTAGACAAAAATGGAGTTAATGACTTTTGCCAGAACGGGGACGATATATAAATGTGTGATTTTAAGGTTATGTTAGTACAACAATTTTTTTTGTTAGATTTCTTAAAAATGTCCAAACTTAAATAAGGTAAAGTTATCATTTACTAATTCTGCACCAACAAATATACGTACCGAATTGGATCCTTTGGCAAAACATGAAAATGCAATGATTTAGTCAGTTAGTAAAATACACACACTAAGTTTTTGAATTTTTGTTTGCAATGCGATACACAAATAACGTGCGCGATTTAGCTGTGAAATTGAAACTTTGCGAACAAAATTTGTCGAGTAAGACTTTTTGCCTACCTATCTTTTGTGAAAAAACTACTTATTTATTTAAAAATATGCTTTAAACGATGCTTCCTTATCAGAAAATAGGACAAAATTAGCGTTAAACTGACTAATAACCCAATTATTTGTATGCAAATATCGAGGTGGGACTTTTGGGAGTGAAGCATAGTACTCTCGTTAATTTCTCCCTGGACTTCTAACCTCTAAAACTTTATTTTAGGTGCATTATACAGTGGCGGTTCGTCGGTAGGGTGCAAGAGCAGATGAACGCGTTCCTCGAAGGTTTCGGCGAGCTGGTGCCGCTGAATTTGGTCAAAATTTTCGACGAACACGAGCTGGAACTGCTAATGTGCGGCATCCAACACATAGACGTGAAGGATTGGAAGCAGAACACTTTGTACAAAGGCGACTACCACGGCAACCACATTGTGATACAATGGTTCTGGAGGGTAAGATAATCGGGTTTTGTCTGCGTGTTTTATTGGTGATATTTTTTTTGTTTAGGTTGTATTATCCTTCAGTACCGAAATGAGAGCAAGACTATTACAGTTTGTCACGGGTACCTCGCGAGTACCGATGAACGGTTTCAAGGAACTGTATGGCAGTAATGGACCTCAGTTATTTACCATTGAGAAGTGGGGTAGCACTGATAATTACCCTAGAGCTCATACCTGGTAAGCAGATTTTTAGATTATTTATTAGGGTGCATCATTTTAGTGCGACATTTTTTTTTTCAAAGTCCCACCTAAAAATCTTGTAACCGGCCAGAAAACAAAAATGTTGAGCTATTGCAAAGCTCTTAATCTTTATTTTAAGCCGTTGCTATTCAATTTTTAAATATTTCCCTTTAAAAAACATTAAAAACAATGTTTTATTCTTTTTTCCTTCCGCTCGTACAGTAAGAATATTTTTTTCGAATTTCGGTTCTAAAATCTTTATACAGGATGAAATTATCTTCAAAAATGTCTATTTAAAGTTTAAACAAGTCGTCAGTTGAATATGTTCTTCACAAATGAATTTGTAGATAAAAAACGTAAATGAAAATTTTGTAGGGAATTTTGTGCCCTACAAATTTGTCAAGAAATATTTTTATGTATCACTTATAGTTTAGCTTGTACAGCCACTCTTTCACGTAACTCTAATAAATAGTATAGAGTCAAATCAAATGAAACCGGCCACTTAAAAAAGTTCTTTTATGGATTTTAAAAACAATTGTGTTTTTTAATAGAGGTATAAATAGATTATTATTCCCTAAATTTTTTTTTAAAAATTTCACTTAATTTAGAAACAATCGCGAATCGAAAATTTACGCATCTATTTTTGTATTTGTTTGTATTTCGGAAACTAATAGACATATTTAAGTGATTTTTTTTTATAAGAAAGATAAATGTCTATATTTTTATTAAATATCAATTAATTGTTTTTAATTCTATTTTTTTTTTATTTTTTTTACAATTTTTTTTAAACAATTTCGAGTTTGGCCAGGTTCTCAATTTTATTCTAAAATAGGATTAAATCCATTTTATGCGTAAAACAGAATCGGGTAAATTAAAAAAAAAAAAGTTAGTAACCACCAATATTAAGGAAGTTATGAATATTTTTCTGATGCCGCCCGGCTACTCACGCGCTTAAGGGTTTCAACGCGCTGACTCTAATTCTAATTAAACTACTTATTATTTGTAAAGCGGTCAAGCAAAATAAATTAAATTCATTTAAAGTAATTATTTTAATAAATTCTTATTTCATTAATAATATATATATTGTTAAAAAACACATGTAAAAACAACAAAAATTTTGTTTAATTCTTTTTTAGTTTTTTTTTTGAAAATCTGCGTGATAATTAATAGTTGACAATGTATTGCATCCAGTTTATTCATAAAATGTATTTAATACGAAAATAATTTCAAGCTAAATACTGATAAACAAATAATAATTATTTATAATTATTATAAGTGTTTTTAAAAATATCCTTATTACACCGTGTTGATGTGTCATTCACAGATTTGTCTTTGACATTAATTTCTCTCTGACATAAATTTATAAAACTTTAAAATGTCGCGTGCAAATCTTTGTTGTAATCCGCTCGGTTTGGATAAACATCGCTCCAAACTTGGTTATTTTCAAATTAATAATAAATGGCATCAGAAATTTCATGTTCTTGAAGGTCTCTTTGTATGTAAATCTTGTAAAACATTAATGTATCGAAAAAAAGATACATTTAAATTTACTAGGCCTACAATTAATCGTGCTTCCCAAGAAATCGAATATGAAGCAAATAATTGTGAAGATCTAAGCGACTGTGAAGCGGAAGATCCATCTTATCAAATACCTACCTGAAAAAAGTATTTTAGTACTTAGCAAAAAGATCTATATGCGATGAACAGGATGATTGGGTGGATGAATTAAAAAAAGCGATTTCAAGTCAAGACAATCCCAGACAGAAAATTTCTCTTTTGACGACTATTATTTAATGGGTTTTAGGTTTTTAGCTTTTTTACCATCCAGCGGGTAACCCCAAAAGTTTTAGCTGTTTTTCGAATGCTCCATGATTTTATGTCCGGTATTATACCGGACTTACTAATATTAGTTTTGATTTTTGTACAAATGAAGAATATAAATAAAAAGAATATAAAACCCACGAGAAATTGTACCAAGTATGAAAATTGTAAATCTATACCTAAGACGCGTCAATTTCATGCGTTTATACCGCAAGAAAACAATAAATTAATGTGCAAAATTGTTTCAAGTTCTAATGAAGCAGAAATAGTTAAAGCTTAAAATTGTTTATCTGTTTGTATAATTTTTACTTTTAAGTTAAAACCGTTTAATAAATGAGTAGCCAGGCCCGTTCCTGGCGAGCGTGCAGTGCGTGCACGCACGCAGGCGCAACATTTCGGGGGCGCAAAATCAAAGAGTCAATCAGTACTTTGTAACGATAAACTTTCTTGCATATGATACTTAAACATACATTGGATAAAGGTTTCTGCCTTTTTTGCGTCTTTGATATTGGCTGCTTATTTTGTTTTGATATGAAAATAGAATTAGTCAAAAATAACTAATTTAATTAGTCTAATTGCAATAGCGAAAAAGCAGCGACTAATAATTATTGTCAATAGTAATTTGTATCCCGGATATTTAGCAGTAAACGCATATGTAAAATTGTCCGCTGAATCCGAAAATGTCGTCAAAAGTTATAAAAGTAGAACGTTTTTTGAGATTTAGTAAATTTTCCATATAATATGGTATTGACTATATCTTAAAAACTGCTTTACTTTTATAATTTTCGACGTTACTTTCGGATTCAGGGGACAATTTTACATAATAATAAGCTGTTAAATGCCCTGGATACAAATTGCTGTGGACTAAAGTTATTAGTGACTGCTTTTTTACTTTGAAAACTAGTCATTTTTAGTACGTCACTAAAAACCAGTTGAAGTTATTATATTGTTTAGATTGTTTTTTTTTTTTGTTTTCTTTAGAGTATTTTTATCACTGACTATTTCCCTCGTCTTAGTTTCCACCAATCACAAACGCGCAATTTTGAACTACAAATGGTTTCTAGGTGGAAAAACTGTATGACAGCACCTGTCAGCAGTTTTTTCGAGTTTACCCGCGACAAAACTTAACAGCTGTTGTCAACAAAAATTGCAATTTATATTTTAATTGTTAACTATTACTCATGATATAGTCTTGTCAAATACCATTCGGGCATCTAACTTTTCCTATGAAAAAAATCGTTAAAACACAATGCAAGTACAGTAACATTTTTAAACAAAATACATTCGTGCAGGTGCAAAAATCCTCGTCTTCGACTCGGATTTTTGTTGCCACCAGCACTCATGCTTCTTGTTAAAATATTACTTAACAACCTGTTTTTTCGATTTTTTTCGATAAAATATATGCACTTTTGATATTACTTGTTTGTTTGGTAATTTAATAAATATTTTTTATACTTAATTTAAGCGGTTTTTTATGTTTTCAATTACATATTGCCAGTTTTTCGCAAAATATATATTTTTTAAATTTTACGGCTTAAAATTCAAATATTTAATGTATTATATTTAAATATAAAAGGGGCGCACCAACGAATGCTGCACGCAGGCGCCAGACACCCCAGGAACGGGCCTGTGAGTAGCTATCAAACAAATTGCATTAGCATAAGCCATTTGAAGCATTTATTTAAATAATTTGTTTATTAATATTGTTAATACAAAATATTTACCTAATTTATAATAATAACAATTATAATTATTGTTCTAAATTTTATAAATGTTTTTACGAACTACATTAATAAAGATTTAAGAAATTATTTAAATAAGTATTTCAAATGAATTCAATTCATTTTGCTTGGCCGCTTAACAAATAATGAGAATGGTTTAATTATAATTAGAGTCAGCGCGTTGAAACCCTTATAAGCGCGTTAGTGACCGGGCGGCATGCCGCGGCATCAGAAAAATATTCATAACTTCCTTAATATTGGTGGTTACTAACTTTTTTTTTTTTTAATTTACTCGATTCTGTTTTACGCATGAAATGGATTTAATCCTATTTTAGAATAAAATTGAGAACCTGGCCAAACTCGAAATTGTTTAAAAAAAATTTAAAAAAAAATTAAAAAAATAGAATTAATAACAATTGATTGATATTTAATAAAAAATATAGACATTTATCTTTCTTATAAAAAAACATCACTCAAATATGTCTATTAGTTTCCGAAATACAAACAAATACAAAAATAGATGCGTAAATTTTCGATTCGCGATTGTTTCTAAATTAAGTGAAATTTTTCAACAAAAAAATAGGGAATAATAATCTATTTATACCTCTATTAAAAAACACAATTGTTTTTAAAATCCATAAAAGAACTTTTTTAGGTGGCCGGTTTCATTTGATTTGACTCTATAGTTATTAGTCAGAAACTGAATTTTTAAGAATTTGACACTTTGAGTGGCTTTACAAGCTAAACTATAAGTGATACAGAAAAATATTTTCCAACAAATTTTTATTGCACAAAATTCCCTACAAAATTGTCGTTTACGTTTTTTATCTACAATCAATAGTTTAGTCTCCAAATACAATTTACTGCTATTTTAGAAGATTTTCGAGAACGGCAATTTGTGGAGAACATATTCAACTTACAGACTTGCTTAAATAGACATTTTTGAAAATAATTTCATCCTGTATAAAGATTTTGGAACCGAAATTCAAAAAAAATATTCTTACTGTACGAGCGGAAGGAAAAAAGAATAAAACAATGTTTTTTAAAGGGAAATATTTAAAAATTGAATAGCAACGGTTTAAAATAAAGATTAAGAGCTTTGTAATAGCTCAAAATTTTTGTTTTCTGACCGCTTACAAGATTTTCAGGTGGGACTTTGAAAAAAAATGTCGCTCTAAAATGAAGCACCCTATTATTTATATATATTTATCTACTTAAAGCTTTTTTATTTGGATATTAAATATAGCTTTACAATTTGGGTAATATCTCGAATTACAAACGGCCAATATGATTGCAAAAAGTGTCAAATTAAACATAATAGAATGGTTTAAATGGAATGAGCTTGAATATAAAAAAATCCTTTTTTTGGACCAAAATAAGAATGCAACAATTTTGTCAAAGAATGTATAAAAATCAATAAATATGACCGTATTCGAATTATCTACATGGAGTGCACAATTAAAAAAAGGTATTTAAAAAAATCCATGTATAAATGGCAAAGTTATGACAGTTTATGTACAGGGTGATCCCCTATAATGTCGCCCCCCTTTAACTTTTTTATTTTAAGTGTCCCAAAAAATTTAAAAGTGTGGTTATGTAGGTAATAAAAAATACTTTTTTTCTAAGTATAAAAAAAATTGTAAATTGATCAATATACGGGGAAAACAAAAAATATTTTTTTCAATGGATCACCCTATATATGAATATATTTTTCGATTCCTTGTAAAATTCTGAGAATAATTCATATAACAAACCATGGTTATGGTTATGTATATACCTAAATTCAACCGTGTCTGAAATATTCGCATTCGAAATGTTATCATTAAATGTTTTTTTAAACTGTTAGAAATCAAGAAGCCTCAGTATACCAAATTATTTATTGAAAAGAAATTACTATAGTGTCATTATATAAGTATGTCTTGTTAAATAAGTAAAAATGGCGTACTCAGACAGAGAAAGACAAACAACTTCAACTTATTATCTTAAAAATAATTTAAATATTTCAGAAACGGTCGAATTTAGGTATATTGTATGTTATATTAAATATGCTTAGAATTTTACAAGGAATCGAAAATAAATACATATATAGGGTGATCCATTGAAAAAAAAAATGTTTAGTTTTTCCCTGTATACTGATCAATTTTCCAATTTTCTTTATACGTAGAAAAAAAGTATTTTTTAGTACCTACATAACTACACTTTTAAATTTTTTGGATAACTTAAAATAAAAAAGTTAAAAAATTCACTAATTACTAAATAAACAACAAAAAACTATTTCTTTAAAATGTGTTGTCAATTAATTGCATGTTACTGTAACATGAAATTAATTTAAATACATTTTTAATAAATAGTTTTTTGTTTATTTATTAATTACTGAATTTTATTGGTTTAAAATTTGAAATTCAGTGTGTGTTACCCATAGGCTATTTTCTTAGGTTAACAATACTGTTTCTGTTATTGTTTTGTGTCACAGAACTCAGTAGGTGAAAAATCAAAATGAATCCACCCATTAACATTTATCTTTTATACCATTTTTGGACTTTTACCTTATTCATTTAATTTATTTTTATTCTAGTATTTTTATGAAGAGAATGTATGTCGCTTTACAGAATAGCTTTACAGAAAAGGTCTGATGTGTTTAATTGATTACTCTAACCGTAGAAGATATTCGTATCTTTTCAACGGTTAAAGTCGGAAGTAAAAAAAAATATTTGATTTTTTTTATCAAAGTAATAAAATAATAAAATCCAAAAATGAAAAGATAAGTGTTAATAAGTTAAACAAAAGACGGTAACATCCTGATTTTTCATTTTCATTTTGACTTCACTGACATTAAACCATCAAAATTAAAATTTGAACAATAAAATCATACGTCTTACTAATAAATAGTAATTAATATATCAACGACACAAAATTTTTTCTCAAATCGGATTGTAAATTCATTGCATAAAACTACAGTATACCCTATAATAATAAAAGTCGTAAAAGTTGAATTTTGCTACTTGTACATAAACGGTCATAACTTTGGTACTTATCCATGGATTTATTTCTTAAATACCTTGTTTTTTTCGTAAAAGTGTATACTCTTCTTATATTGTTCGAAAATGGTCATATTTCGATGAATTTTATCCGTTTTTTCCCAAAAGGTAAATGTTGCATTCTTATTTTTGTCCAAAAAAGGAATTTTTTTAAATATATAAGACCATTGCTATAACTTCTTAACTGATTGGGCATTATGGATTATGTTTAGTTGACACCTTTTGTAACTCAAGATATGTCCCAATTTGTAAAGCTGCATTTTTGTTGTGATTACATCAGAAAAAAATAGTGGCATCAAATGTACATTTTGGCTGCGTTCTCAACAATATTTTTTCTCAGTTTCAATCGCTTGGACTTGCCTCCGTACGAGAGCTACCAACATTTAAAGGACAAGCTGGTCAAGGCGATCGAAGGCTCGCAGGGCTTTGCGGGCGTCGATTAGCACTTAAGACGTTGAGATTACATAAGTTGTTAAATAAATCTGTCCATTAAATTTAAGGTTAAGCTTTTTGTCCACTTATTATCTATTCTGTAACTAGCCGACTTTTATCTATCCATAATATTATGCTATGTAAGTGTGTTTGTGGGTTTTGAACGAATTGGGATTTGCATACATTTTATACGAGATGGTTAATTTTTTACGTTGATCACGTTTGTTTGAATTTTTTTATTTGAATGAAATTTTAGTCACCTAAAATGCGAATAATTTTTTCATTCAAATTTAAAGCAAATCATACCTGTTTTAATTAATTTTCTAATAGCCCAGAATGATTTCTATAAAAGCCAATCAGAGCACCTAGTATGCTGTGGAGAATGACGTGCTCTGATTGTTTCTATAGAAATCACTTTATATGAAAGCAAAGTCCCTGAAAGTGTAATATTGTAAAAATAAAAATCCTTAATTTATCTTAAAAAGAAGAAATTATGCATTTTTACTTTTCAATGCAGTTAAACTTAAAATTAAAACATCTGGGCTATAAAAAAAGAAACTATTTTATGATAATTTTAACTTTGACAATCATTAAGTTTGATAATTGAGAAGGATTTAAAACTTGTTTGAATTTTACTGTGATCTGCATTAAATTAAAACAGGTCGGATTTAAAATTGTAAATCGTGTATATAATATACAGATTTTAAATCTACTGTAGACTTTAGCTTCTTTCCTAAATAGGTATAGGCTAATATTGTTACATTTCTAATTATATAATAAGCATATAAGTTTTACTTCAACAACTTATATGTGTTGTGCAACCGAAATTTTTGTGAAATTTGTCGTTTGATTTTATTCTACTTAATTGTTATTAAAGGTCAACGTTTCTAGAAGTACATGTTTACAATTAATTTCATGTTATTATACTGTACTTTTTGACCAAATTGTTGTTGAAGTCTTGACTACTTATTCCGTACTGTATTTATCAAAAAAATTTATTATGAGTGTTTTAGTTTTTATATTTATGATCTTGCAATAGTCCAACATTTATATTTTTATAACAAGTGAGTCAAAATTAACTGCATCTTAAAATATACCAAAAATGTTAATTTTATACATATAAATTTGTTTAATTTTGAAATTCTTTGCAGTAAATTTGACTCGCCCTGTAAATTCACTACTTAAAAGTGTTCTGTTGGTTGCAATTTTATTTGACCTAATTTTATCATTCCAATGAGTTTTTATTATAATAATTAAAGTGATGTGGTTAATTTATTTATAAATCAAAAGTTTTACACAACTGAGCTAATATTTTTATTGTATATAATTTATAACTTTTGCTGTATTATGCTTTATATGTAAAGGGAAATATATTTTAATAGAGAATGTTTATTATACATTTGCCTATTGTTAACAGGCAAATTATTTATCTCATCACAATAAATAAATCAAATTTTAATATTTAAACCTGTGTTTTATTTTTTTGTTTAATCAATATTTCCTCCCCTATCCATTTGTTTTTATGGTCTGTTGCTATGGGCAACTATAGGTTGTTTGACCAATAGTAAGATGACCCTTTGCTTGGGCCCTGTAGGTTCCGGTAAAACTCTTTTGCTAAAAAAATTACAAAACAGCAACAATGTGAACAACACCACAACATCTGTTCCCACGGTGGGTACAAATATGTTCAACATAAAAGACGAAAACAAGACGCACTTTATAAGGGAGCTGGGAGGAACCATGGCTCCATTATGGTCCAGGTATTTTGAAGCTGGCATCAATAAAATTATTTATGTTGTCGATGCTTCAAATTTATGCCAAATATCAGCTGCTGGGGTGCTTTTGTATACGATTTTGGTCAATCCTTTGTTAAAAAATTGTAGGGTAAGTATTTGAGACTATGAAATCATTTACGTTAGTTTTTCTCGATAAACTATGAATTAATGTAAATTTTTGTTAGCAAAAAAAATTGCATAAAAATGCTCCTAAACAAAATTTTTAGTTTTATCTTATATTTTTTAAAAAGATTTCACCTTTTAAACGTATGCAGTGTTGCAGAAATATTATTTTTAAAAATTTAATTTTCCCTACCTCAAAAACTCCCAAAACAATAATAATAAATACGAAAACGATCTTTTAACTTTAACACCCTTTATCTTGGTATTGTTTTGTACAGGGATTCCAGGGACATCTTCTATATTAAGAACTAATAATTCTGAACTATTTAAATTTTGTATGGGAGCATTTTAATTTAGATTTATTAAGGAACAAATTTGATAATGACCTCATGGGTTGAATAAATTGAGATGTCCCCCAAGTGAAAATGATTATTTTTTATTATTGGTTGTTTCACTGTTAGTCTAGAATGGGGTTTTTGGGAAGTCACCAGGTCTAGTAATAACATAACATAAGTGGTTCTGCACTTATGCAAGGATTTTAAGAAATCATACATTTTGAATATTAGAGCTTCACGGAAGATATCTTCACGGAGGTTAGGATTTTGTATGTTTTTTTTTAAACATCCCTTTGTATATTTGAAACAAGTTATTGTATCTTTTGATACCTTAATATTTTTTAAAAATACATTTGTACTTACATTAAAATATTTATAAAAAAAGTCTACTTACTGAGATATTACACTTCACGGTGGATAGGTTTTTAAATAGCAAATTAATGAACTTAAACTTATGAATTATAAAACACCAACACTCAACTGCATATAAATTTTAACTGAGCTTCAGGAATCACATGCATCTATAATGTCGTATCAGAGGTTTTTGCTTATTTAAAATGATTAAAGCGCCATCCGTTGCATACAATTTAAAGCAAAAACAGATTCACGGAGGGTAGAATCAATTTTTGTAACACCTACATAAATGGTTATAAAAAATATTTCTTTTAATTTTAAATAATATTTTATATTTGATTCGATTGCTTTGGATGTGTTTAATTTACTTAGTGAACTGATATTTTTAGTATGCTTTTACTACCTCAGATATTTGAAAACCTATAGGTTAACCTAGAAAGAATAATAGTCACGGAGGATAGGTTTTAGACTTTTAAAACATTGTAAAAAATAATTAATTGCGGTTAAAAATCTGGAACCTGAGCTGTAATATCTACTTAATTATGAAAGATCAAAAAAGTGTAGGTCAAACTCATTTAGTTTTATTAAATATCACGGGGTAACACCATCGGGGGACATTTCGTGAGATTCACCCTCATATCTCGGGAAATATTAGTTTTAGGTAAATTTCTTATATGACCATTTTTATGTAGATTTGCATAATGAACCAATTTCATGATGGCCTAATCGAAAAAACTGTTTTTTGCAGTTTTTGTTGGTGCTGACGAAAATGGATGCGAGCTACAGACAGATGAGAAACGAGGCGCTTCTAATGCTTCAAATGCGCAGATTACAAAAAGAAATAAAACAAATTATAACAATCACAGAGGCGAGTGCGATAACAGGCGAAGGAACAAAAGAAATTTTGGAGTGGTTAAGAAGAAGGTGACTTTCACCTGCCATTTCTTTGATTTACTTTCGTTTACCAAAATTTAATTTTCCGCCTGGATAAATACCGCAATGAATGATTGATTTTTACAGGAATTCAAATTAAAATGTTTAGCTGGGAAGTATAAATATCGGACAAATCTTTTGTTCTTTAGTATTGTTAATAATTATACCAAAGAAAAATGTTTAATCTAAAGGTAACGTTTTATTTGCTTTGTAAATGTTGTGTTCATTTTATTTTGTTTTATTCTAGCTTGTTTATTTATTTGCATTAGTACTTGCAATTGTTAATTGTAAACCACTTTATGAAGATTCGGATACAGCTGCCGCAGGAGAAGGTAATTTTTAAATTATTGGTACAAAATGTCAAAAACCTTAATTTATCTATTAAATTAATAGATATATCTATAAATAATATACCTATCTCTGATTAAAATTTAATATCAACAATCCAAACATTTTTTTTAAATTTAAGGTCATTATGGCAGGGTTCAAATGAAAGTGTACAGAGGCCCAACTGAACACGATGGACATGATCATTTTGCACCTTGGGGATATTGGGTGAAACAACCAGCAGATGATGGCCACCATTATTAACAACCTTTGTATTTGTATTTTTCTATTAAAACGTTAAATCTACCTACTGGTATTATTTATACTTCCCTTAATTATAAGTATACTTTTTGTATTAGCCAAACCCATGTTACGCCATTGCTCAATCAAAAATAATTATTGCGTACGCCTATGGAACTGTCAAAAAAGAGCGCGAAGTAGATTTTAAGGTTATGTTTTTGAATGTTTATTGTTCTCCACAAAGTAAGTGTTTTTCTGTATTAAATCCCACTAAAAATGGCATCTACCGATAAATTAAAGAAAAAACTACAAAACGCCCTCAAATTAAGCGGTTTTAGCGTTAGAAGGTATGCGTTGGTAAATTTTTAATCTTGACCTTTGAAAATGTATTTTGTAGAGAATTTTGTCATTTAATCGTTGATAAATTGCTTTCGGAAAGTATTAATTTACAAGAAAATATTACTTTTGATGGCGTGATTAAAAATCTTTGTGATAGTTTGGAGAATCAGTGTTTATCTGAAAAGAGTATCGAGAGGATTCATATCGAAAGGGCCATTGAAGTAAGACCAACTAGTTCAACAAAAGATTTAAAATGCAAATAAATTATTATTTTAGGTATGTTTGCATTCAGGGTATGATAGACATGAAACAATATTCAATATTATCAACGCTTTCGATTTCCCCAAACTTTCATATAACACAGACAGAAAACTATATTCACTTGCTCCCAATAAGTCAAGACTGTTAGCAGATGCAGATGTTAAAGCAAAACTCTTCTTGGAAAGATATCATTCAATTTTACAAAGAACAAAAAGGAATTTTCAACAAAAGGCAACTTTAAACGAAAAAACTGCACTTAAACTGCAAACGGTTGATTACCTTTTGACTTTATCGAAAGTTACATTGGATAGAACATTGATTTTGGGTTCATTATTGGAAGTTTCAGAGGGAAAATATTATTTGGAGGACCCTAGTGGAATTGTTCAATTAGATTTATCGCATGCAAAGTAAAGTTATGATTGAATCAAAACAATGCATAAAATCGTATTTTTTAGATATCATGGAGGATTTTTTGCTGAAAATTCATTTGTGTTGGTGAATGGGCATTATGAAGATAGAATTTTACATGTTTCTACAATGATTCTACCTCCAGGAGAAGAATATAAGGAATCTAGGTAAGTTATTTAAAATTGTATGAAAAGAAATTATTATATATTAAGAAATTGTCTTTTAGACCTTCATTTGGAAACCTTAATTACTTTGGAGGCACATCAAATATCCCTTTAAAAGATTCCCAAAGATTGAAAGACCATTTGGATAAAAACAAAAATGAAATGATTCTCTTTTTTTCTGATGTATGGCTTGATCACTCACTGGTAAATATTTCAATTATTTCAGAAAAAAATACCAAAAATATATTTTAGACCTTTGAAAAACTTGAAACCCTTTTCGAGGGTCTCGAACATTCACCTCCCATAGCATTCATTTTTATGGGCAATTTTATGTCTGAATCCCATGGCAGTGAGTTAATGGAATCCTTAAAGAAAAAGTTTAAACAACTTGGTGAATTGATAAATGGGTATCCAAGTTTGGTGAATTCTAGTCAATTTGTGTTTATTCCTGGACTTTCTGATCCTGCCACACCCTACATGGTACCAAGGTTGCCTTTACCGTCATATGTAACTGAGGATTTAAAAAAGGTTCTCCCCAAAGCCATTTTCGCCACAAACCCGTGCAGACTGCAGTATTGCGATAAAGAAATTGTTATTTTCAGAGCTGATCTCATAGCTAAACTTTTACAGGCCACCCTGTATAAACCCCAAAAGGATGAAATTGCTTACTGTGTAAGAAATCGTTATTAATTTATAAAGATGTATGTTGGTCATGCGCGTTTATTTTAGGCAACAAATACAATAGTAAGCCAAGGACACTTGAGCCCTCTGGCGTTAAATGCCTTAACTGTTCACTGGGATTTTGACTATTGTTTAAGGCTATTTCCCCTACCGGATCTGGTAGTTATTGGAGACAAAGCGGAAATGTTTCAGGGTACACATTTTAAGTGTACTGTTGCCAATCCTGTAAGTATATATTTAGCCCCATCTACCTCTAAAAAATAAATATTTCACATTTTCATATCCATTGTGACTATTAATTAGGCAAACCAAAGGTAATACGCTAAAAAAGTATCGGGTTTTGGCAAACGCGCGCGCCATCTTCGATAGCATTGCGTGAATTTAAGAACTGTCAACAATACCAGACAATACATTTAAAGAACAGATTATACATAATTTTTAAATAAATAGGTAGTTTTTTCACAACAGAAGTCTTACTCGACAAATTTTGTTCAATTGCACAGCTAAATCGCGCACGATATTTTTGTTTTACGTTGCAAGGAAAAAATTTAAAAAAATGGTTAGTACTCGATTTTGATTGATTATTCCATATATCATTAATTAAGAAAGTCAACGCGTAAATAAAGTTCAGTTGGTAAATACAGTTGTCAAGTTGGTCGCATTGATTAAAACAAACTAGCTAGTTATAAATCTAATTGTGGTTATGTATAAATTATTGTAGGTTACATTGTGCAGTTGTCAAGTTGAGTTGTCGAAATTCGTAGTTTAAAATGCAATTAATTTGGCTTTGGTGGTGCTTGGATGAGTAAAATCATATAAAAAAGTAGTTAAATATAGGTTGCTTTACGGCCCAGAAGAGAAAGTATCCTAGCGGATAATAATCTTTGCTTTGAAAAGAATTTATATAAAAGAAATTAAAATTTTTTGTGAACGTAAATGTTGTCCAATGGTGAATAATGTTAAAATAATGTGTGATGTAATATTTATAAAACCAAATTCGTTACTTTTTTACTCCAAAAATGTCCATAAGGCGATGTATTTTTCTTCCATTGTGGCATTTGGCATAATTTCATCAAAATGAAGTTTTGCCCTCAAAAGGGCTTTTACATTCGAATTCGTTGCTATTATTTTTGGCATAATTATCTTTTTATTTATAATTGACAAGTAAATTATCAATAATAAATATTATTGTCAATTTGACAGTGTCAAAATATTAAATTCTTTAGCAGAATTACCTAAAAATACCAAGTCAAACTGGCATAAGCCACCAACCTAACAAAAAAACACGAGTCCAGATAAAAAAAATTAACTGTAGTTAAGTATCTAAGGGATCATGGTGAATTATTGTGTTTTTAATTGTAAATAAAATTCAAGAACTAAATCATTGCATTTTCATGTTTTGCCAAAGGATTCAATTCGGTAAGTACATTTGTTGGTGCAGAATTAACTAATGATAACTTTACCTAATATAATTTATATTTAAGTTTGGACATTTTTAAAAAATTAGTTAATAGTATATTAAAGTACAAGTTGCAGAAGGCCACATATTCTCGCACGAATTCGAAATTTGGCCTCGAGCGACGAAGGAGCGAGTGGACGAACGAATGAGTGCGAGAATAGCCTTCTGCAACGTGTGATTTATACTATTTTCTCGATTTTAACTGTTATTTAGGTTTTTTTAATTGTTTTGTGGTCGTTGTTAGTTAGGGGATTTTTCTCGCAAAATGTCAGTTGGCAACACAAAATGACAATATTTGTTATCCTGCACAAGTACAACCTGAACTGCACTTTTACACATTAAACTTAAAATTTTGCATTAAAATGCATTGTTGGAGCAAACTTTATATTACAAAACAATAATAAAGGCTTCATTTTCAATAAAAGTAATGAATTTGAGGTTATTAATCAGTTTGACATTTTGGGGGTACCAATACTTAAAAACTAAATGTTACCAAAAATCGTTTAAGAATGAGCTTCATTCTTCAACGATTTTGCGTGCGAGAATATGACATTCTTACATAAAAATCGAGAATAGTATATTAAAGTACAAGTTGCAGAAGGCCACATATTCTCGCACGAATTCGAAATTTGGCCTCGAGCGACGAAGGAGCGAGTGGACGAACGAATAAGTGCGAGAATAGCCTTCTGCAACGTGTGATTTATACTATTTTCTCGATTTTAACTTTTATTTAGGAATTTTTAATTGTTTTGTGGTCGTTGTTAGTTGGGGGATTTTTCTCGCAAAATGTCAGTTGGCAACACAAAATGACAGTTGCATGGACAGGTATTTTTATTTACTATTTATTAATAATCTGTCTGTTTTTGTCAACTGGATAATAGGGTTTTGTGTAAGTATTGTATTATTTTTTAATGTTTTCTGATATATTTGAACAATTGTGTTTACTTTTAGCAGTGAAAAATGTCACAGGAGGTTTTACAAGCAACACCGAACATTACAATAAAAGTTTATAACTATTGTGCTAGTGATTAATTTATAGTAGTTTTGTGTACTGTGGGTATATAATATTTCCAATAAAATATAGTTTGATTGACCTGTTTGGCTCATTTATTTGTCAATATTTGTTATCCTGCACACCTGAACTGCACTTTTTCACATTAAACTTAAAATTTTGCATTAAAATGCATTGTTGGAGCAAACTTAATATAACAAAACAATAATAAAGGCTTCATTTTCAATAAAAGTGTAGTTTAGGTTGCACTAGTGCAGGATAACAAACAAAGCTATTATAAATAATCCTAAAAGTAATGAATTTGAGGTTATTAAACAGTTTGACATTTTGGGGGTACCAATACTTAAAAACTAAATGTTACCAAAAATCGTTTAAGAATGAGCTTCATTCTTCAACGATTTTGCGTGCGAGAATATGACATTCTTACATAAAAATCGAGAAAAATAATTTCTCGATTTTTATGTAAGAATGTCATATTCTCGCACGCAAAATCGTTGAAGAATGAAGCTCATTCTTAAACGATTTTTGGTAACATTTAGTTTTTAAGTATTGGTACCCCCAAAATGTCAAACTGATTAATAACCTCAAATTCATTACTTTTATTGAAAATGAAGCCTTTATTATTGTTTTGTAATATTAAGCTTGCTCCAACAATGCATTTTAATGCAAAATTTTAAGTTTAATGTAAAAAAGTGCAGTTCAACTTGTACTTGTGCAGGATAACAAATATTGTCATTTTGTGTTGCCAACTGACATTTTGCGAGAAAAATCCCCTAACTAACAACGACCACAAAACAATTAAAAAAACCTAAATAAAAGTTAAAATCGAGAAAATAGTATAAATCACACGTTGCAGAAGGCTATTCTGGCACTCATTCGTTCGTCCACTCGCTCCTTCGTCGCTCGAGGCCAAATTTCGAATTCGTGCGAGAATATGTGGCCTTCTGCAACTTGTACTTTAATATACTATTTTGCACCAACATAACCTTAAAATCAACCATTTTTATATTTGAGTTCTCTAAAAAACGCCGACAACTGCATTTTAAACAACATATTATTATATATAATACATAATATAATGGTATTTTACCGTTGAGTGGAGACTTTCTTAATCAACGCTTTTAATAATGCTAAATGCTGTTTAAATTTAGACGACTTATTTGTTTGACGATTTTTACTGAATTGAAATATTTATTCTTTTCACGTTAACCACTACTAAAATGTGTATTTATTGTATCTAATAGGTACAATTTATAATTACAGAGAGTATATGCAATTTATTTCTTCATTCAGATTAACACTGTTTATTGGAAAACCGGTAAAAACTCAACCCAGGATTTCCTCTCGAAATACACCCAACAACACAACAAATCGAGCCACGGTTTTTTTTTTCAACATTTTCCGGCTTTATTCTTAAAAACACTCGTTTGTAACATAAGCGTTTGACAGCTGATTATTAAAAGTGGTACATTTGTTACGATGATAACAGCCGAGTGGTGGCGCTACTAGCGATACTTCTTTAGCGTATTCTAATGTTACTTTCAGCAGTAAAGTTTTGCTTAATCCTTAAATGCATTTACATGGTCATGCTTTTTATAACCGAATTGGTGAAATAGAAAACTATTTTTTATTTATTTTATATTTTAGGGTCCTTTCTGCGATAGTGGGTTCCAGTTTAAAGCTTATACACCTTATGCAAACTCTATTGATGATTGTGTTTTGTAGATATTTATTTAATTTTTAATAATAAAACTATTTTTAAGTTTTTATGATTTTATTTAATCCACTACAGTAGTAACAAGTCTAGTGTCTCTTATGGTGTGTTCCTAGACAAAACCAATGGTTTGGTCTAGGGGTGTTTTGTTGTAATTTTGACAATTACAAACCTTAAAACTTAAAAAACTGTCATTACTTGTCACATCCCTCAAAATTTATAACACCAAATGAAATAAAATGGGGTTTTTACCAGATAAAACTTCAAGATGTACCTGGTCCAAATTTGCTGATCCAGAAACTTCACCGCACACAAAAAGATCTTGGTAATATAAAATACCTTAACCAAAAATATTTCCCTAACTTTAACTTCATAGGGAGAAAGATTGCTGCAAAATATACCCCGACATCCTAACTGCAATAGGCAGCACACCTTTAGTTAGATTAAATTCTATACCCAAAGGGGCAGGTATAGAATGTGAAGTTTGTAATATAAAAATGTTTAAATGTTATGCAAGTAACTTGTAATACTTTGTTATTATAGATGTAAAATGTGAGTACATGAATCCTGCTTTTTCTGTAAAGGATCGTATCGCGCTAAGAGCCATATTGGATGGTGAAGAGAATGGTATTCTTTCTCCAGGGACCACAATTATTGAACCGACCACAGGAAATACTGGAGTTGCTTTTGCGATGGTAGCTTCAATTAAAGGTTAAAAAAGAAAATATAAAATTAAACAAAATTTTATATAAGATTTTTATTGAAAGGTTACCCTTGCATCCTGGTAATGCCTGAAAAGACTTCACCAGAAAAAATATCCCTTATGAAGAGCCTTGGTGCAAAAGTCGTACTTTGCCCAAACGCGGCCCCAATGGGTTCTACTGAAAGTATATTTGGAAGAACCTACCAGTTGGTAAAAGAAACTCCCAATTCTGTAACGCTGGATCAGGTATTAAATCGACTAATTTTTATTACAAAACACAACACCTGTAACGCAATTTAAAATATTTCCAACTGTTACATAACCACTACACAGTAAAAAAAATCAACTCTAAGCAACACTAATTAGAGTTAATTTGTAGTGTAATTTTACCCAAGTAAGCAAGTATGATTTAACACTATAGCACTGAGGATAAAGTAATTTTACACTGTATTAAAAAGTGTTAATTTACCTAAAATCGTGTACTTCTACACTTTTGTTCAGTGTAAATTAACACTACTTTGGAAAAGTTCTAATTTTAGAAAGGAACTTTTACTCTTTTAGTGCAAACTTCTAGTGTAAATTAACACGATTATTTGAGTAAAACCTATTGGTGGTAGTGAATAAAACGAAAAGGTAAATAGAGAGAAACATTTATTTGGAACAAAAATCTATGACAATTATCAAAATCGGTGCCTTTTAAAATATAATTTTAAATTTTAAGTCGTAAGCAAAGTGGTTCCTTAAAACGTAAAAGTTTTAGATCAATGCAAGGTTTTACTGGCTGTCAACTTGTAAGCAATGAATTATCTTGAGAATTTATCAGTAATCCATTTTTCTGTTATAAAAAATGGGTGATCCCATTGGTAGAGAGGCGTCAGGCGGCTGTATGTCGGGGATTTACCACACGTGTACAAATTTTCCATAATATTAATAAAAATGTAGGTATAGGTTAATATAACAACCATTACCCTTGAAAATAAAAAGTAAATCAAATGTGTATGTATTTATATTATTAATTTTACAAATACCCGACCTACTGCCGTAAATTATTGATATATAATATAGGTATGGACATCCTTTTAACATATTGGTATTTATTGAGTATTAAGGCCTAAAGAAAAAGGAAGTATAATACTTACCAAAAAAATAAGAATGTCCCCTTATGGATTCACCGTAATTAAAATGCCACACTTCCACAACGCGGTATCTCCGGATATGCACTGCCAGAGATGAACCAAACATTTTAAAACGAATTCTATTTTGCCACTATTGGTGTAATTTAACTTAAATTGTGATACAATGTGCACTAGTAGTGCAAAGAAAAAAGAGCTCTTAGTAACATAAAAACAGACAAAGAAATTGGCATGCACTGTAGTGTACATTTTGTCACTATTTAACACATTAAGGGGTAATAAACACTCGCATTAAGTTTTTCTTTTGATTTATTTTAATAATAAATAGTGTGAATGTACCAATGAATAATGTTCATATTCTTTAAATGTGTTTAATAAAGTTAATAAGCACTAAATGCTACCTAGTGTATTTTGTAGTGTAACTTTTACACTTACAAATCAACTCTAATATTTTTACCCCTACACTAAAAAATTTACACGGGCTAAATTTTTTACTGTGTAAGGGGGGAGGGGGTTATAAGCGAAATGTTACGAGAGGGAGAGTGTTGGTCTAACATCGGACAATCGTTTACTTATTGTAGTTTTCCAATTGTGCAAACCCATTGGCGCATTATGACAGAACCGCTGAAGAGATTTGGGATGCTCTGGATGGAAATATTGACATGGTGGTTAGGGAAAAATGTACTACAAAACTATGGCAAGTAAGTTAAAAAAATATTTAGGTTGCAGGGGCAGGTACTGGCGGAACTTTAACGGGAATAGGTAGAAAACTGAAGGAATTTAAACCCGAAACATTAGTTGTTGGTGCAGATCCTTACAGTTCAGAAATTGCTCGACCAGATTACCTCAATAGAAGCGATGTAAGGAATTCGGAAATTGAGGGAATTGGATTTAAAGCGTTTACCCCGACAACATTGGATAGAAATGTTATAGACAAGTAAAATAAATGATTACACCATGGTTACAAAATCGAAAAATTCTGCCCACCATATCCCATTATAATTTTTCCATGTATTTAGACCCATGCACTAAACACGAAAATCACAAAAACAAAATTTTTTATGGAAGCGTTTTTGAAATATGAATTTTCAATTGTTTTTTTTATTTTCGGAGGTGTTTTGACGTTTTTGAGTATACCTTTAAATCTAATTGATCGATTTGGTCAAACAAGCCCTTAAATTGAAGGTGTTTGAGCCCTCTAAAACTTTATTTTACATACTTTTGATATAGGATAAGTATTTTGACGCTAGCGATTTTAATAACTTAAAAAATCGTTTTTATGGCAAAAATTGATGTCGAAAATTCACATATCCTCCTGGGAAAGGTTTAAATAAAACAGATAACTCCAGTTTGGATTTTTTTTCGTGAAGCTGATATTTTTACAAAAAAAAACAAGCTAATGTTGATAAAAAAAATCATGAAAAAATGGCGAAGTTATAACTTTTTTAGTGGAAGACCAAAATCAGTTTTTTGACGATTTTTATTTTATTTTTTTTCTTTTATTTCGTAATATGTTTATTTTTTAATGAAAACCTAATTAAAGTGCATGATTGGAATTTTTAAAGTTTGTTTTCACCGAAAACATATAAAATTTAAATTTGAAATGACTCCGCAAACGTGAATTCTTTTGTTTCTCGTGTTGGCATAGTGACATTTTACTGCTATTTTTTGATATTTTAACAGAGTATTTTTATCATGGTTTTATTTAGTTAATAAAAAGTGTAAAATAAGTAAACGAAGTAGAGAGTTCGAGTGCGTAAATAACCCGGAGAATCTGGGCGACGTTAGTGATGAGCACGGAGAACGTTTTCACCAGCAAATGAAGGCTATGGAACGGCGGTATCACGGCTTCTGGGATGCAGCCATGATGGGTGATTACATTTGGTCCCTTATACGAGAAACGGAATACGAAAGCAACAATGTTCAATATTTATTGTTCAATATATAATTTAATTTCAATATTTAATGTTTAAAATAAAAATCAATGTTCAATCATTAAGTAAGGAACTTCTTTACTCAATGGTTCAATACTAAACTTTATATAACTCAATAAAATGAAAAAAACGCAAAAATTCTCGAAAAAACTGAATTTTGGTCTTTCACTGAAAAATTTATAACTTTGCCATTTATACATGGATTTTTATCAACAGCAGCTTATTTTTTTCCCTTAAGTATATTCTACAGGTAAAATAAATCAAACTGGACTTTTCGATTTCTACCTTTCCTAGAAAGATATGTAAATTTTTGACCTCGATTTTTGTACAAAAAAAGGACTTTTTCAACTTCATAAAATCGCCAGTATCGAGCTACTGAGCCGATACCAAAATTATACAAGGGAAAGTTGTAGATGGCTCAATTACCTTTGATTTAAGTGCTTGTTTGGCCAAATCGATCAATTAGAACTCGAAGTATACTCTAAAACGTCAAAACACCTCAGAAAATTAAAATAAAACTATTGAAAATTCATATCTCTCGTTTAGTGAGCCAAACTACAAAATAAAATAATAGTGAGACATGGTGGGCAAAATGGCTTTAAACTAGTGGTATGTTTACTTTTTATCCACATTAGGGTGTGCCAAATAAACTCGATATTTTTTTTTCTTGCTCTCCACCCAAAATATCGTAGAATATGTCCAAACAAATATTCTGTTAAAAGCGGAGCTCATAATTTCAATTTTAAGAGGTCCTTCATCGAATCTGAAGTTTTGCCGCTTAAATAACACAGAAAACTGACTTTTTTACCTTATTTATTCTTGCAACCTAGGAAGATTTTTTTTTTCATAAAATCCATAACTAATTCTTACAAAGCATTAAATTTGGACAAAAAAATCTTATTAAGCCGAATTTCTATTTTCATTATTTGATTTTTTACAGAGCTTTAAATTTAAAGTTAATAATACAAAAATGATGACTTTATACGCCTGTAACTTTTAGAATATTGACGATACAAAAAATTCGCCTAAAACTTTTTTGTGGTCCATCAGAAAAGCTAAAAAATTGCCATTTGACTTTTTCGTCTAACTTCAATAGTTTAGCTGAAAAAGGCAAAAAACCTAAAATTTTAAATTTAAAGCTCTGTAAAAAATCAAATATTGAAAATAGAAATTTCGTCCAAATTTAATGCTTTGTAAGATTTGGTCATGGATTTTATGAAAAAAAAATTTCTTCCTAGGTTGCAAGAATAAATAAGGTAAAAAAGTCAGTTTTCTGTGCTATTTAAGCGGCAAAACTTCAGATTTGATGAAGGACCTCTGAAAATTGAAATTATGAGCTCCGCTTTTAACAGGATATTTGTTCGGACATATTATTCTACGATATTTTGGGTGGAGAGCAAGAAAAAAAAATATCGAGTTTTTTTGGCACACCCTTATCCACATAACATCAAATTTTAGATGGGTTAAGGTATCTGACAAAGATGCATTTGTAATGACGAGAAGACTAATAAGAGAGGAAGGAATACTTTGTGGTAAAAATTATAACATAAAAAATTAAACAAAATTAAATTTTAAAAAATCCTTTTTTTTCTACTTAGGAGGTACTAGTGGAGCTGCGACATACGCAGCTCTAATAGCAGCCAAAGACCTACCAGCCGACAAAAAGGTGGTAGTAATTTTACCGGACTCCTTCAGATTTTATCTGGGAAGAATGGGCAGAGACCAGTGGATGGAGACACGCCAATATCAATTGTGCTTGAATAAAAACAGCAGGTGGTGGTGGGACATCAATTTATCCGAGCTCAAAATGAAGGAACCCGACTCATTTTTACCGTGTATTTCTTGCCACAGGGCTGTCCATCAGTTAACCAAAAACGAGTGGGAATACATGTCTGTGATAGACAAAATTGGGTAAGATACAAAAAAATATACTCACAGGCAAAATCCACACAAATTTTCGAAGAATTTCAATCGCAAATAACTTTTTTGTTTGATTTCAGATTTAAACAAATATTAAAGAATATTGTAGATACATTAATGGAGAATCGCTCACATTTTAAAAATTACTAAAAAATACACGTACGTTTATAATATACAGGTTTAAACAAAAAGATGTTTTTTACCATAAGTTTAAACTTAATTAAGACACTCTGTAGAGTGGCAAAACCGTATATTGTTCTAAATTAAGTTTTAATTATCAAGTCACATCTATTTTTAACAGTTTTGTTTTTGGTTCACCTTGATATATTTATTTTTGTGAAAAATATGGATTTTTTTAAAAAACATTGCAATTTTCAAAATTTTTCCTGTATGAAGAACTAAGGTTGCTATGGTCCATTCATAGCCTATGGAGGATGACATTGACAGTCTTGTTGAATCATCCCATACTTGGACATGTCATATACAGATTTCAAAAGCTATCAAATTGTTTTTTGTACATTAATGTGTTAATTTTGAGGTGTCTTCTTACTTTTAAAAATGTCTCCGACTGATGTTGCCCTTTGTACTTTACTTCTTGTGACGTTTAAAACATTTGCCAAGTAATACTGTGACCGTCCATCCTGGATTAAATTAATGGCTCTGGCAACATCAGTCGGAGACATATCCATTTTTTAAAGTAAGAAGACACCTCAAAATTTAAACATTAATTTGCAAAAAACAATTTGATAGCTTTTGAAAGCCGTGTATAACATGTCCAAGTATGGGATGATTCAACAAAACTTTCACTGTCATTCTCCATAGCCTATGGATGGACCATAGCAACCTTAGTTCTTCATACAGAAAAATATTGGAATTTGCAATGTTTTTTTAAAAATTCCATATTTTCCACAAAAATAAATATATCAAGGTGAACCAAAAACAAAACTGTTAAGAATAGATGTGACTTGATAAATAAAACTTAATTTAGAACAATATACGGTTTTGCCACTCTACAGAGTGTCTTAAACTTATGGTAAAAAACATATTTTTGTTTAAACCTGTATATTTTAAACGTACGTCTATTTTTTAGTAATTTTTTAAAATGTGAGCGATAGTCCATTAATTTATCTACAATATTCTTTAACTTTCGTTTAAATCCGACATCAAATAAAAAAGTTATTTGCGATTGAAATTCATCGAAAATTTGTGTTGATCGATTATTTTGCCTGTGAGTGTAGTTGGTTTTAAAAAAGTCCCAGCATTAAAATCTAATTTTTATTTTCAGACATCTCATTGGAGTAATATCCCATAATAAACTATTGCAAAAGTTAATATTGCAAACTGTGCTTCCAAATGACCCAATAGAAAAAGCCATGGTTGTTATTGATATACCAAAAATTGTAAACACAAGCAATTTAGGTCTTTTATCCCGCGCCTTCGACTTGGATGAATACTGCATTGTTTACAAAAAAATTTGTAATACCTTCCGTATTTTGTTGGTTTGTTTTAAATGATTTTTGTTGTTGTAGATAGTGAAGATGCTTCCTCGTATATTGAAAAACCAGTTGGCCTTTTAACACCCTTTGATTTACTTCACTACATTGCTAACCATCCAAACATTGTAAAATATGGAGCAATATAAGTTAATAAACCCCTTCAATTTTTATTTTTTCTGACTTAAATGTTTATTATAAGATCAATTCAATGTTGGACATTGTAAGTGCCAGAAAGGAGTTTTGTGGAACATCTAGAAAAACTGTTTTAAGTCAAACTAGATGCAATACACAATTCACACAAATTTTATATTACATATGGCACTTACAATGTTGTTCCAGAATTCAATTTATATTAGGTTACTGAAATTCCCAAACTTTTTAAACACTTATATTGAGTAATTAAAACCAATAATAAACATATTTAAAATAAATAATAGCTTATAAAACAGTAATCTTACAATAAAGAAAATATTGGAATGATCTATAGGTAAATTAAGTCCTTTGCACTTGAATATGAAACTTACAAGATGGCATATTTTGTACTTCAGCAGTAACCAAACAATTAATATTTAAATTTGCCAAACTCCCTCTAATAATTCCACAGGTAAAAGAAACGTAACGAGGTGCAACTTCCAAGTATTGCTTACCACTAGAAAGTCTTGTGAGAAATTTAAAGGCGTTATCTTGAAGAACGTACACCCCTTGATGATTCGTTCGCAGGTTGTCTATTTGTTTTTTGTATATTGCTGACCAAAAGTCAGTGCATATGAATTTCATTGTTTCAAGCTCGTCTTTGAATCTAGGCATTTCTTTTGTTAGTCTGCAATAAATTATGGTTTATATTAACTTATTTTATAATACTAATTAGTTGGCTACCTTTCTATCATCCTATATCCAGTAGAAAAACCAATGTATTCAATATTTGACAGGTCTTCATCCTAAATTAATAATTGTTTAATAATTTGAAGAAAGCTGTGCAAAATATTACCTTGGCGTCTTTATTTTGCGACTGGTTTCTTTCCAAAACGTAATTTACAATTTCTGAGTGCAAAAAATCAAATAAAGCGTCGTCTGACATCTTCTAGCCTACAAGTTGTAGGTTATGTTTTGACAGCTAGTCTGACATTTGATATATTTGCCACCTAAAACTAGTAATTAATTTGCCTTTTAATTTAACACTTTAATTTTTTGGTTCTAAGCAATCAGTCAAATTTCGTAAAGTGTAACAAAGAAATCCGATTGGAAAGTATGTAATCTTGGTTGCCTGTATTCGCATTGCGAATTTCGCAAAATACAGCTGATTTTTGTACGGTGCTGCCGGTGCGGTGCAGGCTGGAAGCGCACTTCCGATTTCAAGCATGGCCTCTAGAAAAACGTCAGGTGAATCCAGTACCTTGAAAGATAATTAAAATGAGTTCGGAAGTTTCGATTGCCGGTTGTAGTGTGTGCGGTGGTAAACAAAATCTTTTGAGGTGTGCTCGCTGCAAGACCACCTTGTACTGCTCGAAAGACCATCAGAAACAAGACTGGAAGAAACACAAAGTCAGTTGCTCTAGTCAAGAAAGTACGTACATTTTTGTGATCCTATAACAAAAAAATAGAGTTCGGTTTTTGTTGGGAATTCGGGGCCCAATTGGCTAATGCAAAAGTTTCTATACCTATAATTGTCTACTTATTAAACTATCGAAAAATATAATTGTGGTTAGGTATGTTATAATTATTATGATTTTTATTAATATTTAAAATTTATCTACATTTTTTCTACATTTAATACACTGCATTGTTACTTAATGTTCATTAAATTCGGAAAACCGTTTGAGAGATGTCAGATTGGCAAAAAGTGAGGTTAAACCTGTTTGACAGATGTCAGATGGTAAAAAGTAAGGTTAAAACTGGTTGATAGTTTTAGATGTCAAAAAAATTAAATTATAAACATTCGTCATAGATGGTATGGTATGGTTTAAGCTTCTCAAGCAGAGTTCAGATTTTAATACACATTATTAAAATAATGAGTAATGTGTTTCATTTTTATTATGCATTACTTCTTTTTTAATGAAAATTAAGTTAATTACTCATTGCACGAGTAATGTATTCTTTTTACACTACTCATTTTTAATTTTAATGAGTATTTTAGAATTTTCAATTACAATGTTTTATGTTAATGAGTAATTACTCACTTTACATTACTCATTTTTTAATTTTTAATAAGAAATTAATGATTATTGAATTACTCATTTTTAGTGGACAAAGAAGATATTTTTTATGCATGACATTTTTTAATTTTTGTTTTGAATTGGTTTTTTACCAGTATCAGACGTTCAAAATTAATTATTTGTTCATACCATTCAATACTTTTTTGAGTTTTAAGTTTAGGTCGCCTTCTTACCTAATTACCGTAATCCCACTAACAACCCCAGGTTAAAATTTCTTTAGCGGTTAAAAGTTTTACGTAAAAAATTTGGAAAAACAAAAAATACAAACACAAAATTTAAATTTTAAAACTCTGCTTTGGATAATTTCGATACACGAAAATTTAAAAAAATAAAAATTTTAATTCGGACCATTATTAAAGAAATTAGCAGCAAGAAAACAAAAAACGCGATTGTTTCGAAAATTTGATATCTTTTTAATTAATATTGTAATTTTGTAATGAAAATATTTCTCATTACATTTTTTTTAATTGTAACGTTGTTTCGGGATTTTGTAACGTTAGTGAAAAATGGCGCGAGCTTACCTTAAGGATTTTCTTATAAAATCTCGAGCGCCAGCTTCGTTATTTAAAGTGGAGAAGCACCACGTACCTGGGCCTGCTTTTAGACAGTGGAGAAAGGATATTCCAGGGGTCAATTAGCTTATATTATGATTAAAATGCAATGGTTTAATTTAATACATATATTGAAATAATAATAAAACTCTAGATATACAAAACAAATAATAATTTAAACAATAATGAAATGTAGAACACTCAGTATATAAAAAGAAATTAAATTACCAAACTGAAGTAATATGAAAAGATTATAATATTAGAAGTGCATTAACTAAATAAAATAATATGGACAACAAAAGTAAATTAATAAAAACGGGAACAATGAATATAAAAACTGAAGGTCACGCTTCTAGCAAATATGAATACGGAAATGCACTTAAATAAACCACTGCTGTAAAATAAAATGAAATTAAATGTTACGGGAAGAAAATACTACGGGCCTTTAGCAGATGTTTTAACAAAGCGTCAACCACGGGACGGGCTCGCGGTGGTCAGCCGATTCGCCTGCTTGGTACTGTCTACGGCAGAGCAGATACCGAGCGTTACGGGGCACGGGTGGCTTATACACAACGAGAATCTTTGTAATAAATGATTACTAATAATACGGATCAACTAGCTTGCAATAGTTCGGGTTTTCGGGGTCGGGCTGACGGGATATAAGAGAGCCGGAACACGGGAGACAAAGAGAGTTTTAATTGCTCTGCTCGGCCTTTTATATCATCTCGGGTGCGCTATGGTGACATCAGGGAACCAAACGGCGCAGCTCCCCACTTGTTTGAATAGCGTGGAAGTGGAACCATGACGTCGCAGGTCCACTTGTACGAAAATCTATATACAGGGTGTACAAGCGGCGGTAAATATGGGAAAATTAAAGTAACTTCGTTACATAATGATTAATGTATTCATTACGTTACCATTAAAAAATGCCGATTGCATTATTTTGTACATTAACATTTTTGCAACTCTGTTCTCAAGATTACTTGTTTATTAAAAACTCGCTCCGCTCGTGCATAATTAAACTCGTTTTCGTTTATCTATTTTGCGTTCATAATGACTTCATTGTAACACCGCTTTCCGTGCTTTAATGAGGTTCTTTACCCCACCCAAAATTTTGATTTTATAGGTTGGCTACTTTAAACAGCATACTAGTAAAATAATATTTTGCATATTGGTTATAATATTTTTATGATTTTTCTAGTACTTATGAGACCCTTCTGGCAATAAATTTTGTTTAGCACCAAAGAAAATCCTTTTTTTCTTTTTTAACATTAACAGCCGCTTATTGTAAATAAGTAAATTAAGGACGCCATGGCGAATCGATTTTGACATTAACCCTTTAAACGAATGACTGTGATACCAACTATCTAAAGTAAAATTCGACCAAATTTTTTTTATAGAATTTTTGCAAAATAGATAAAATAGCATGTCTTATAAGACCTTTTGTCGCATTCGTCCATTACAAAACTAGCTCCTTCAGGGCTCCCACGGTTAAATTACAAACTTTATTTAGGAATTTAGGAGGTTTTTTGGAGAATTTTAGGAGAAAAAAGTATGCAAATGAATTTATTTAATTAAATAAAAACAACTCTACACTATACTTAAAAAATAAGAAAAAAACAAGTAATTCTTTTTCACAAAAATATAAATAAATATCACTTCTTTTGTACAAATAGGTTATATTGACTAGTTTTTTAGCCAAATCGCTAGACGAGTTTTTATGGCACGCCGTTTCACTTTTTTTAATAAAATGAAAAGTGAGGTAAAATTACTACTTTTGTATATATCTACAAGTAAATAATAATAATAAATTTCACCCCACTTTTAATTTTATTTAAAAAAAAGCTTTGATAGATGTGGCTAAAAAAGTAGGCCAAAGTTTAATGATGTTATATTTATATTTTGAAGAAAAAAATTTAACAGTTTAGTTATTAACTAACAATAATTGCAATGTTATTGTTACTAAAAAATCTCATAATAGAAAAAATATAAAGTGCATGTACAGCCTACTTATATTTTTAGGAGATTGATGTCAATTTTAGGAGAATTTTAGGAGTTTTTAAGATTTAAGCCAAATTTTAGGAATTTTATGAATTTTAGGAGGTGTGGGAGCCCTGCTAGTTGCTTAATACACTAAAAAATATAAAACAACATACAATGTTTAAATAAATAAAAAACGAACTCTATTATGCTAATAAATTTTATAAAAACACTGCATCACAAAAGTTAATGATTTAATTATTAATTAAAATGGATTTTGTAAAATTAAATTATTAATTTTTAATTAGTTAATAAAAGTTAATTGCTTTTATAGAATTTATTTTGTTTAATGTATTTATTGGTATAAAGTGGATCCTGTAACTAATAAAATAAATATTTTGTCTCTAAATGTATTATTTTGTCCAGAAGATTCAGTGGACGGGAAGTATTGTCACTACGTCAACAATAAGCGAAAAAATAGTGCCATACCGGTCGAGGGCAGCTCCGAGAGCGAAATCCTGAGCTGCATCGCGCAAGACCTGTCTCCGAACTTGGAATTCGCCGAGTCCGCTGGAACCTCGACGAAGGATTCGTTGAAGTGCGCCGCGAGCGCCATGCCCATCAGCGGCGAGAACATAATCCACCCCCGGAAGTCCGGCGTCAAGGACTTCCCGGAAATAGCCCTGCCGAAGCAGGGCAGCCAGTTGCACGACGATTCCTCCGAGGACGAGATGTGCCGGAACGTTATAAGAGACCTGACGAACTACGGCTTGTGCGTGGTCGACAACTTTCTGGGGCCCGCGCTCGGCCAGACGGTCCTCCGAGAGGTGTTGACCTTGAACCAGAAGGGCGTGTTCAAGGACGGCCAGCTGGTGTCGACCAAGGGGAACAAAGGCGATCTGAAGACTATAAGAGGCGATCAGATCTGCTGGGTGGACGGCAGGGAGTCTTGTTGCCAGAACATCGGCCATTTGATAAGCAAGGTCGACACTTTGGTCATGAGGGCGAACCGGATGAGAGACAATGGAAAATTGGGGGAGTACACCATTAATGGCAGAACAAAAGTAAGTGAATATTTTTTTACCTATAGTAAATTTAAAAGTAAACTACGTACACGTCATCAATCAGCTGATCGGGCACGGTTGTCAATGTGATGCTAAAATCCTTGCATCAAGGGAAAGTGGTAGTGCAACTACAGGGCGATAGATGGCGTTTACATGAATAATACCAAAATGTCAAAGGTCTGAGTTTTATAACCTATATGATGCACCGCCAAAAGTATGTTTTTAGCCATTTTTAAAGACATTTTCTGATATAAAACCCAAAAATTTTGCCATCTAAAGTCAGTCTCTGGTATATATATTATTATTTCATGTATCCAACATATATTTTGTTAAATATTCTAATATATAATTAATAATAATCCTATTTACCTCTCTAACAGCTGTTAAAGGTAACAAAGGTCCATTATTATCCCGTTCTGCCTCAAAATAGCGTATTAAGGATGACACCAACTCTTGACTCCGACTATTTAAATGCTTCGGCATTTTAAATATAGGAAACACAAAAAAACGATATATAACAAACACAAAAACGGCAATGAAAACTTAAACGATATAAAATAACACAAACAACAAACAAAATAAACGAATTAATACACGAATTAAACGAAATATTCAAAAACACAACTGACAGCTTCGAAATTCTAAAACGTCAAATTCTTTTTTATGTGTCATTTAAATATGAAATATTTGAATGTAAATATGACAACATCTTAATTGTTGCCAACTGAAGATGTTTAAAATGCATTCAAATATTCAATTACAGACTTCGATTTAGTCATTTAGTGTTGGTACCAATGCGTAAAATTTTTGTTTTATTGATGACGTGTACGTAGTTTACTTTTAAATTTACTATAGCTTAATTCCCTTTGTTTTTGCTATACGCTAAAGAAGTATCGCTAGTAGCGCCACCACTCGGTTGTTATCACCGTAACAAAAGTATAACTTTTAATAACACAGTAGTAACATCAAAAAGACACAAAAAATCGCCGGTACACGTAAACTTAATTATTGGGCGTAGAATCCAGTGGTGTAATCAGTTTTTTAATGTTAGCTCGTTTTCTTAAGATATTTAATATTTAAGTTTTGGTAACTTTTTGGTTTATTATTTGTGTACATTTTGGGAAATGCCAAAAAGACACAAAAAAACGCCGGGACACGTAAACCTAATTTTTGGGTGTAGAATTCAGTGGTGTAATCCGTTTTTTAAAATTAGGTCGTTTTCTCGAGATATTTGAAATTTTGTGTTTAAATATTTTTTTATTTGTTATTTTGCTATATGTATAGGTTTATATTAGGGTGTTTCATTTTTAGGCGATATTTTTTTTCTTTCTGTCCTACCTAAAAATCTGATAATTTATATATAAAAAAATATATTTCCGTTGGAAAAAAAATTCTAAGTAAATTAGAGGCTTCACTCTTTCAAAAATTCGATTTCCCATATAAATTACACGGAAAAAAGTTTTTTTCGGCTTCAACTCAATTTTTTGGCGTTTCAAATTTTTTTTGGAAAAAATTAGTGTGCAGCTTTTGTAGGGAATCAAATTTGCTACAAAAAAGTTCCCTTGAGCAAATGCTTTCCGACCAACAGTTTTTGAGTTGTAAAGCTGGAAAGGTAAATGTTAATGTTAATTAATAACAAATTTCCTTTAAATTGAAATTTATTGATAGGTAAAAATAAAGGCGTATGCAAACTTTTAAAGAACAAAATTGGAAAAAGTTTGTTGAATTTTGTCTGCCGGCCTCATATTAGTAAGCTGATTTTACGTTGTGTTTTCCAAATGTACTGGCCAACAACTTCAGGCCCAAATGTACCAATATTAGAATTAGAATTCTATTTTATACCACGGAGGCGATGCAGAATACCATCTTTTTTATCAAGTATAATCGAGGCTACCATGTGGTCAATGACCACTGGTCATCCAATCTTGTTTTATAATTATTTTTATTTATTCTTGGCCATTTCTGTTAAAACTTGAATATTGGTACATTTGGCTGTCAAACGCTTATGTTACAAACGAGTGTTTTTGAGAATAAAGCCGGAAAATGTTAAAAAATATCGAAAAAAAAACCGTGGCTCGATTTGTTGTGGTGTTGGGTGTATTTCGAGAGGAAATCCTGGGTTGAGTTTTTACCGGTTCAACAATAAACAATGTTAATCTGAATGAAGAAATAAATTGCATACAGTCTCTCTAAATATAAATTGTACCTATTAGATACAATAAATACACATTTTAGTAGTGAAAAGTGTAAACATTTCAATTTAGTAAAAATCGTCAAACAAATAAGTCGTCTAAATTTAAACAGCATTTAGCATTATTAAAAGCGTTGATTAAGAAAGTCTCCACTTAACGGTAAAATACCATTATATTATGTATTATATACCTATAATAATGTTTGTGCAAAAATTATTTTTTACTAATTTCTTAAAAATGTCCAAACTTAAATATAAATTATATTAGGTAAAGTTATCATTAGTTAATTCTGCACCAACAAATGTACTTACCGAATTGGATCCTTTGGCAAAACATGAAAATGCAACGATTTAGTTCTTGAATTTTTTTTACAATTAAAAACACAATAATTCACCATGATCCCTTTGATAAAATACACACACTAACGTAACTATATAAGCATTTAAGCGTTGAGTTTCTTAATCAATGATATAAGGAATAATCAATCGAAATCAGGTGCTAAAAAAGTTTAATATTTTTTTCCTTGCAACGTAAAAAAACTACCTATTTATTTAAAAATGATGTATTATACATACATACATACATCATGTATAATTAATTATACATACATACCTTCATACATACAGATTATAATCTGTGCTTTAAATGTATTGTTGACAATTTTTAAATTCACGAAATGCATTCGAAGTCCACCAGATGGCTCGCGCGTTGCGAAAAACCGATACTTCTTTAGCGTTTGGTTTAAATAATTTGTTTCTTGTTCAACAAAATTTCCTATCGACATACTATAGCAAAAATCAATGAGTTTTAGGAACCATAAAAAATATTCACAATGGAATAGTCACTTAAAACAACCATACTGTGAAAAAACGATTTTTACTATTAAAATTAAAATGTAACAGGCGTGCCAAGACTTACGAATTAAGTATCTGCAACAGTCGTGACAAGAGTTACGTTTAAAGTATTTTAAGTTATCTACAATGAATTAGTTGTTTCCACATTCTCATTTCAATATTTACATAACAGGCAAAATACAGTTCATTTTTTTTATTTGGAAATGTTTAGGATAAGCTCGTATGCGTAATTTAAAATATGCAATAAAAAAAATTACATCCAAACCCCATTGTTATATTTTAATTTTATTACAAAACTCATTAAATTTCAAACACAAGCATAATTTAAATGTAATTATTAATAAATATAAATATAAACAATGTCATAAATGTGATAAATTTGCCTTATTACATTTTGCTATTTTATGTAAAATCGCATTAAAATAGTTTTGTTTTAGTCACGTACACTTTTGTTTATAAACATTGCGCTGATTAGATATCAATTTAGCAGTTTTCTGATAAAACTACCACTCAAAATCCTAAGGGAATTACAAATTTGATTAAGTATAGATACTAGTATCCGCTGATAGATAGAACATCAAGATAAGTTATTGTTTTTATTATTATTGTTTTTTCCAATATTTAGACAAACAAAACTTTAATTGGCGTGAAAACAATATTTTTCCAATTAAAGGCAATAATGACATCCTCACAAAATTCTTCAAGAAATAACCACTCCTACTGATTGTAATTAGGCAACTAGGTATACTTTTTATGGTTTATTTAAACTATAAAATTTAAATGTGTTCCAGGAAAATGCCATATAAGTTTAATTGTCAATATGTACTTATTTAAAATAGAAAATTGCGGTATTTTTCTTGAAATCTATTGCGTCAATTGCTTCTTATTAAAATGTATATGTTACTTTTGTATAAAATATATATATTGTAAAATGGGGTGATCAGTAACGAAAAATTAAAAATATATGTCATGCTTTTTTAGTAATTCTTCGAAAACTATTTAGATTTGTATTGTTTATTGGTACATTTTTTACATTTATTAATTAAATGTAAATTATCTTATGCTCCATTTTAATGATCCCAACATTTTTAACTAAAGCTAAAACAATAAAACGGGTAATCCCATCTTAAATAATTTTCTATTTTAATGGCCACGTGTTGAAATTTAAATGCCCGCTTTCGCAGAAAGTTGCGGTTAACGAATTGTTTACAAACAAATCAGCGGAGACGGTCAAAGTAACCGAACCATCACATTTAATAACACAAATAAGTCTCGTGTTTCTTTTGCGAATTTGCGACCATCTCAGATTTAATAAACGTGAGATTTTATTGTTCAAACCAGAAGTTCCAAAACGATATCGATATTTTATATTTACTAGGTTTTTAGTACAAAAATAAAATAGTTAACAATAGTTAAAGAAATTTGTATGTAATTAATAAAAAGTTTTTTGTTGGAAATTTTCCAGCTTCGCTATTATTGTTTTTAAGGAGCATTTTAATTTATAAACAAACTATAGTAATGTATATACAATTAAACTACATGTAAAAATAACAATATTTCTAAAATTAGTACTTGGTTATAAAATTAGTTTGTGATAACTATAATCTATAAAACATAAACAATTTTAGCACAAGATATTATATCTAAAGGTTTTTATCCTGCTAAATTTAGATGTGTTTGCACAGAACTCATGATCAAGAGCAATTTTTAATTATTTGCTTTATTTGGTAAAATACTTCAAAACTGGTAACATGCCATACACCTAAATTCAACCGTTTCTTAAATATTCGCATTTGAAACGTTATCATCAAATATTTTTTAAACTGTTACAAATCAACAAGCCTCAGGATAACAAAATGTTTATTGAAAATAAATAACTTCTGTAAAACGTCAATATGTCTTGTTAAGTAAGTAAAAATGCCCTACTCAGACAGAGAAATGCAAACTATTTTAA